AGTGAGTATATTTCCATAATGTTTTGTTATACCTATAACCTTGGCTGGAAGATCGCAACCTTGACGCCTGATATCGATGGCTGAACACTATAAATATATTATAACTAGTGACTATATTCCCACAACGATTTGTTATACCTATACCCATTGCCGGGAAATCGGGTCCTTGACACTTGACCTGGATGGCTGAAACTAGTAATAGATAAAAGCTAGTGAGTAAATGCACATATGGTTTTGTTATAACTATGACCATAGCTGGGAGATCGGAACATTGATGCTTTTCTTGGATGGATTGGATACTACAAATATACAAAAACAAGTGGGTAACTGCTCATCGAGTTTTGATGTACCTGAAAACCGTGGACCTTGACCTGGACCTTGAAGCTTGACCTGGATGAAATGGATACTACAAATATACAAAAACAAGTGAGTAACTGCGCATCGAGTTTTGATATACCTGAAACCGTGGACTTTGATCTGAAAACCGTGGACCTTGACCTGAACCTTGAAGCTTGACCTGGATGGAATGGATACTACAAATATACAAAAACAAGTGAGTAAATGCCCATCGAGTTTTGATATACCTGAAACGGTGGACCTTGACTTGAACCTTGAAGCTTGACCTGGATGGAATGGATAGTACAAATATACAAAAACAAATGAGTAACTGCTCATCGAGGTTTGATATACCTGAAAACCGTGGACTCTGATCGGATCCTTGATGCTTGACCTGGATGGAATTTGATACTAAAAATATACAAAAACAAGTGAGTAACTACTCATCGAGTTTTGATATACCTGAAACCGTGGACTTTGACGTGGACCTTGAAGCTTGACCTGGATGGAATGGATACTACAAATATACAAAAACAAGTGAGTAACTGTTCATCGAGTTTTGATATACCTGAAAACCGTGGACCTTGACCTGGACCTTGAAGCTTGACCTGGATGGAATGGATACTACAAATATACAAAAAAAATGAGTAACTGCTCATAGAGTTTTGATATACCTGAAACGGTGGACCTTGACTTGAACCTTGAAGCTTGACCTGGATGGAATGGATAGTTCAAATATACAAAAACAAATGAGTAACTGCTCATCGAGGTTTGATATACCTGAAAACCGTGGACCTTGACCTGGACCTTGACGCTTGACCTGGATGGAATGGATACTACAAATATACAAAAACAAGTGAGTAAATGCCCATCGAGTTTTGATATACCTGAAACGGTGGACCTTGACTTGAACCTTGAAGCTTGACCTGGATGGAATGGATAGTTCAAATATACAAAAACAAATGAGTAACTGCTCATCTAGGTTTGATATACATGAAAACCATGGACTCTGATCGGATCCTTGATGCTTGACCTGGATGGAATTTGATACTACAAATATACAAAAACAAGTGAGTAACTGCTCATCGAGTTTTGATATACCTGAAACCGTGGACCTCGACCTGAATCCGTTGACCTTGACCTGAACCTTGAAGCTTGACCTGGATGGAATGAATACTACAAATATACAAAAACAAATGAGTAACTGCTCATAGAGTTTTGATATACTTGATAACCGTGGACCTTGACCTGAACCTTGAAGCTTGACCTGGATGGAATGGATACTACAAATATACAAAAACAAGTGAGTAACTGCTCATAGAGTTTTGATATACCTGATAACCGTGGACTCTGATCGGATCCCTGATGCTTGACCTGGACGGAAGGCACTAGAAGCATACAAAAGACAATGAGCATATGCTCCTCGAGTCTTGGTGTACCTGTGGCCCTGGATGGAAACCTGTTTTTGATTGCTTGACTTTGCCTGAAAAGTCCCTACAGAAATATCAAAGACAGTGAATGATTAATCAACGAGCCTTTATATACCTGTAGGCCTGGATGGAGATCTTATTTTTTATCGTTGACCTTGTTTGTCAAAAGACTAGACAAATATAATCTTCACAATTTGTGTCTTTGATGAATATCATATACTCCTTGAAATATAGTAAGTCCTGTCAGTTTATCTCTTGTTTCTGAGTGTGAATAGGCTTTGGATGGATTGATGGTCAAACCAGTGTTGGACCTCAGTATTTCATTTTCGCTGTGTACTGGTTTTGACGTATTGTCTTATATCTTGCTACTGACTGTTTTACATATGATAAAATCCTGAGATTTGACTAGCAAAATGGATTTGTATTGGTTATGATTCGTCTTTAACGTCTATGTTGATTAAAGCAGTTTGTGAGAGAGCAGTAAAGAAGTGTATAAAGTATTAATGGTATGTGGAAGAGAGTTGTTTTGACGCGTTCTGTTTGGATAGGTGTTTTTTTTTATAAAACTCATGACGTCTCAATCATGAGTTGCTGTTCTTTTTTATTATTTTTATTATGATAGTTTGATAATATATTATAAAATTCGGTTTTTTTCTTATTCCTTTTTCGGTTTTCTTTTATCTTTTAGCCTTGACAACATGTATATATTATTACTATTTTACTTCTTTATTTAATATCTATGCTTAAAATATGGGTTTTGGGTTTTAAAGAAGTATCACTTCTATTCTGAAGGACGTGCTGTGCAGGCACTTGTTTTACTTTTTGTTTTTTTTTTCTTTTGCCTCTTTTTTTGTTTTAGCTCTTTTTATGTCACATAAGGTCCGTGCTGTCCGTGCAGCATCACATGTGTCATGGGGCTTAGAGGAGCATAGTAGCAATAGTGGTCCAGACTTTACTTTAGCATGAAAACATTTAAATGATGTCTTCCGATTGGTGGACTATATGCATGTCAAATTATTCAGTTGCTATGGACCCCCATCCCCTTTTTTATTCTACTTTCTGTTGTGATTCTGTTAACAAGGCTTATGCTTTTGAACAGCCACTTGTCGAGACACTATATATGCCTCTGTGTTCATTTTAGCTGTACTACTGATATACAAAGTATTAATCGGCTAGACGTTAAACTACAATAAAGAAGTGTAAAGTTGTGTTGATTATAAAGCTTTAATTAAAGTCTTGTGTATATTTATTTGTTTGTTTTCTTGTTTGTTTGTTTCACATGCTGTGACTTTATTAGTTTAAGAAGCACCCCCGAAAAAAATTGCTGCTTATATCTTTTCTTTTCTTTCGTGTGAAAGACTTCCATTTTTCTTCTAGCTTTTTCACCAGTGTCTTGAGTTAATAAACACAAAGTGTAGGAATACTTTCTTGAAATAAAAGTACTTTCAGTGCTTCAGTATGAAGGGATTGACAGCCTGACTATTGAAAGTCGTTGGTACCTCAAGTTAAAGCATCGTTCTTAGAGTAAAATAAAAGTAAAAAGAAGAACAGGGTCTAGCCTAGTGTTTGTCAATCGACCTTGGTTTGTACTACTTTATAAACCAATCATAATCCAACCGAGAAATTAATACAGCATAACCCAACTGCCTGAAACACTTTACATTTATATGTGTTCAAATATACACCATTCTATCGATAATTATAATTATTTATATAAGTTACATTATACACCATGAAAAAGTAGTGGTGCTTGCAATTGTGCTAGCCTGGTCACAGATAGATCAAGCTAGTAAAATGGCTATTACATATATATAAATCACCTTTTAAAGGCTCTGCTTATTTACTATTTTTTTCTGTTATTGCTCAGACTGACTGACGGCACAATATGAAAGCAAAGAGACAATCTACTGCTACTGAACGTATAGGTTTTGTTTGGTTGGGAGCAAGACGCTATCGATTACTAATTATCGATTTATAGGATCTAGTGCTTTTGATATTTTGCGCTTGTATACCAAACTCAACTGGATGCACGAATAACCTAGAAATAATACTCTGTTGGATTAAAGGCTTTGATTTATAACTTTTGTTTTGTAATACAATATAATGCGCTACAGTACTGTATAGTATGATTCCACTTATTACTTTGAGGTTCATAGTCTAGCTTTGGTTCGCTTGAGACTATTTTAGTTTGAAGCACAGAGCCTTTGTATAAATGAACCTTTTCTATGGTCGATTAAATATGAGTGTACTGGAAATGATATTTTTTAAGATTTCTACAAGCATATGCAAATGCACACCAATGGGAATCATAGCTTTTCAATTATAGAAAATTAAAAATTGAATCAAATAAGCAATGTTGTTTTGTTGGCTTTAAGTAACCTGGTGAGACACATTGTGATCCACCTCTTTGAGGTTTATTATATTACAATTACTCGAATGTTGATCAAAATATCCGATTTTTTCACTCTCAAAAAGCATAGAACCCTGAAATTCGGGAAACTTGCACCACTTCAATAAGCTCTTTAATGCCATTCACCAGCGTACGAAGGAATTGTCTAGGGAATTGACAAATATATCAATTCGGAATCGAATAAATTATTATGAAAAGTAATTTTTCTTTCAATTCCATCGTACGCTGGTGAATGGCATTAATCGACCCTGTTAACAAGCTCTCTATTTAATTTTTCTAAAGAAAGAATTTATTTGATAAACAAGCCAAATAAGCTAGCTTATATTTATGTCGGTTTTAGTTGTCACTGTGGTATATACATCACAAATGAGAGAAGTACAAACTCCAAAATCAGACTCTAGCTCTTACTTACTAATCACTTTTTCATGATGCCAATCTTTGGAGCTGTTGCATTCCAGACACTTGTAAACCTGGAATTTATACAATGTATGATAACCATTGTACAACGGGAATTGGAACATTAATAGTTATAAACAATCGTATTTCTCTCTCTTTAATTGATAACACTCTCGTAGCATTTAGGTTTTCCTTTATTGAAGATATTAACTCGTAACAAATTCTAGATGCCTCACTTACGATTATGTGAATTATCTAAGTACCTTAAATCGTTTATACTATTTTTTTAAAAGAAAAATGAATGACTTGATATCAATATTATATATATATATATATGCATGAGTAAAACTAGGCTATTGCATAACTATAAAATAACCTTAATAAAAAATATGAAATATTAACGAAGTACTTAGTTTCCTTTGAATATTTCAACTGGTTTGTAATTTAATAGCAAAAGGCGATAGAATTGTTGGGTCATTCAAAACAGCCTCTCTCTTGAACTCATGGAATGTGTGGTCAAGATGTAATGTGTCAATTATTACTGCTGCTAGATTTTTGTGGGTACTGGCAAAAGAAAAAGATTAGAAGTGTAGTTAAAGTATGGTTTGTGTGGGCATAATTTAAACTTACTTGAAAAGGTTTTGCAAATCATCTGTGTTCGTAGACAATCCCTTGAAATCGATGGCTACAAGGCAAATGTCTTTTCCCGATGCATTTATATGAGAGATCATTGCTAATAAAGAGATAATCATTAGCTGTTAATATATATTGACATATTTTAAAATAAGTTGTGTATTACATTGAGTATCTCCATCCACACCTCCCATACTATTTATCAAACTACCACGGTCAGGCACATCTCTTGAGGCAAAGGTATCGGCATGCGAGCAAGACCATGACACAAAGACCAGGTCACACATAGACCTTTCTTTTAAGTCTTGCACCATGGCACTTAAAGATCTCTTTTTCTTTCTTCTCTCACTAGGATCAAAAGATCTCCTAGCGTACCCAATAATGGTGCATTCTTGATTCTTTAACGAGTTTATATGCGTTTGATAGCGTGGAATAGAAGTAACAATGTTTTTTATAAGATTATCTAAAAAAACAAATAAGGAATTAATAAATAAATAATGGCACTTTATTTAATAAAACCAATAGTGTATTACCTCTGTGCTCATTGTTCATTACATAAACTTTTCTATACCTTCGATTGGCCTCTCTACTTCTTTTTCTTGTGAATTGCACATCCATAAAACTGACTTTTCTCTTAGAGCACCAAGTTGCAAATGCAATCTCGGATTTCTTGTTCATATGTCGAGCTTTTGGAATAACCGAATCGTAAACATCTTTGATGCTAACTTCTTTATAGATATATAGAGCTTCGTTATGAGGGTCAATAGCCTTATAAACCTCATTTATAAACATAACTGCTTGTTGATCTGAAGCTGTATTTACCATGTTAGTGCCAAAATATGACGAATAAAATATATAATCTTTTTGTGCTTACAAAGTTCAAATGTTGCTTCTTCTATTTCCATGACGCCTTCTGTTTCCATAGGGCTTTCGGGTAATTCTTCAGGTGCTTCTTCAGTTACATAAAGCTTATAATTTACGGGATCATTGCGAATCGCATTTAAATTCACCAGAACAGGCCGTACGGGATCATTTTCATAGCACACATCGAAAGAACCAAGTTCTTCTATCTTTTTTGACAGTCTTGCTACGTTTTCCTCGCTGTAATCTTCACAAAATAAAGTGCAAATTGCTTTATTACGAGTTATGTTCATCTGATGTTGGAATGTAAAAGAGTAGATTAAGCGTCTAGTCCTGAATCCGGTTGAGAACCAGGTTCCTTTAGTTTTTATTAAACTTTATTCACACCCCGGTTCATAACTTTGTTCCATAATTTTTACACGGGGTGTAGTGGACTTTGTCAACCATTAACAATGAATATGAGATGCTGCTAACCCAACCAGTGACATGGGGTTGGGCCACAGGTAATTTCGACAGCTTTATATTTTTCATCTTCTACTACTTCTTAACGATGGTCCAGACCTCCTCATCACAATTCTGTGTTTTATGTTGGTTTTATTTGTAAAAGACAAAACTTTACTAATTTGCCTAAGTCAGGTCTTTTTTTTTTCAACATAGAAAAAGGTAAGAATATTTAGGGAGATTTTGCCGAATACATACAAGTGCGGGAGTAGAATACAACGTTTCTTGCTTGAGATTGAGACGATGTTGGGGGGGGGGTTTGGACGAATGAAAATTAATTTTTAGACAACTTGCTTACCTTTTTTGGACAAACAAAAAAGAGAATTAAGACACAGAAGAATAAAGATTGGGATAGAAAGGGGACTTCGTTGAGACAAGGTAAAAATGACTTAAATGTTCTTTACCTATAAGCATCCTTAAGTTTGCCCACCGGAGTGAGGAGCAACCACGTTTATTGTGTTGTTGTATTGTTGGTCTTGGTTGAGGGTTGAACATTTCTGACCTACCATTGCCACTCCAAATTTCCTGTAAATATAGAACATGTTTATTTATTTTTGCTGCCATGACATCCCTATTCCAAAAAATATTACAGTTATTGCAAACATATTCTAAATAATTACAAGCGGAATGGGATAAAGACAATGGGCTATTGACTAAATACCTTAGCTGGACAGGCTGGTACGCGCTTTCAGGACTCCGTCTATTTGTTATACGGCGTCTCTTCTTTCTTTTTTATGACCAGATCAACAAGCAAAATATAGACATTCTTAACCAATCAAAGGCAGCTTTCAGATTATCAAAAAAGAATGGTTGATGGTATTATTAGAAATGGGCCACTCACTAACATTTCTCAAAAGAATGATATACCTCCAAAGTACATCATATACTATCATTAAAGAATGGAGAGATATTGAATCTTCTTTCCTCAAGAAGCGAAAAGGGCAATTTGATCAATATGGTTGAACAAAATCAATACTATCTGATTAATAAGACCAAGGATAAATAGTTGCACAAAACCTGGAAGTCCTGTAACCCTTATGTCAGATACTCTAAATCATTCAATCTCGGTGTCCGTGATGTACTGGACTCCCAATAGAGCTAGAATAACTTCTTGTTGAGTTTGCGTACAAACAGGTTCTTTGAAAGGTACACTAGAAGAAACAGTCCAGTCTTTACTCATCACTCGAAGGAGAGAGAGAAAGAGAATAATAGAAAAATAAATTATCTGAAAATTAGTAAACAGTTTCACTTGAATGTGTGTCTGTGTTTGTGTGTGACAAAGTAGATGAAGTAGATGAGATTCAATGAATTTAGCAAGATGCTTATTCTTGGAAAACACAATAAGGAGTCTAGTCTTTGCCGTTTTCCAATTCCTTTTATTGACTAGTTTTTTTTTTCATTCTTCATTTTTTAAGCCCGTCACGACATTTACTGTTTCACTGGTATTAAGTGTAAAAAAAAGAAGGTACCACTTGTTTATCAAAGCAATGACATTACGAATTACATTAGTACGCCATGGAAATACAGATGCAAATGTCGAAAAGTGGCTTCAAGGCCACACTGGTAAGCTTTGTTTTCTCATTTTCTCCTTCGCTTGCTTGCTCAACAACACAAACACACACACGCATACATACAAACGCAAGAAGGATATATTAATTGATTTAAAATAATATAATACATATGTATATGTATATGTATATATAGATACAACTCTTAATACATGTGGCTTGAGTCAGGCTGATCGAGTTGGTGAACGTCTTTCTACTGAAAAGATTGATAAAGTTTACTGTAGTTCTTTAACCCGGTGCCATCAAGTAAAGATCAATATATGTGTATAGAATGTCAATGATTGATTTGGTGTGTCTGATTAGACTGCGGCAGCTATTACAGCACACCACCCTGGTCTCCAGACAGTTTATCTAGACGGCCTTCGTGAACGTGGTTTTGGCAAGCTAGAGGGACAATCGATCCGTGCTGCGTTCCGTGGTTACAACCGTTCTCTTCAATCTTCCGATAACCACGTCAAGGCGGCCGGTGGTGAAACGGAAGCCGAATTTCGTCAGCGTATTTGCACTACTTTTCAAGAAATAACAGAAGAAGCCAGGGCTGCCAAAGAAACGAATATTCTTGTTGTAACTCACGGTGGCCCACTTCGAACACTGACCCACTGGTGGGTAAATGAACTTGGATACATATCAAAGGATGATACGGTTGTTCCGGCTGGAAACCATGGCAATACCGGCGTAACGTGTGTTGTATTGCATGATAATAAAGATCTTGGGAATGTTATTGAGATCCACAACTCAATGAGTCACATCCAAGAAGACACTGGTCCTGCCCCCGAGTCAGTTTAACAGCCTTGAAGAATCTACAATATACAAGAAGAAGAATCAGGAGTAATTCACAGCTTGAAGAAAAAAAAACAATAATTATGCTATCCTAAATTCTTGACCCTGGATCCACAAATATCTGTGCGCTTCAAGGAGAGGGAGAGATAGAGAGGAAGACTAACATGGTTGGTCTTGATACTACCGAGATAGTCCAGACTTATTTAGCCTTCATTTTTGTTTGTTTGTTTCTTATTTGAAGAGTATGTTATTTTTATTTTTATTACAGAAATTGCTGCCAAGAAATAAATAAATGAGATATAGAGAAATAAGCAAATGAATAAATAAAGAAGAACATGGTATAATACAGATAGAATAACGAATAAAGAAATACAACTGTACAGATATACAAAAGAAGAAGAAAAATTTCAGTAAAATACTAATATGTATATACACATATAAAAACAAGAAAGGAAAATAAAGATATGGATAAAGGGTTTGAAGAAATAAATAAATGAATAGATAAATGAATTAATCAATTAATTGACTGACTGATTGATTTTGCTTTTGTCTTTCAAGATGGGTATCCATACACACACAAATAAAAAAATAGTAGTAGTAAAAGAAGAAGAAGAAGATTTAAAGAAATCAAAAAGGATTAGTAAATGATTTGCTTTTCAAAAGTCTTTTCATCCGTAAAGTTGCTGCTGATGGTATCTTTGGTTGTTTGGAATTCAAGCTCTGGTTCGACAATACTTGTCTCGGTGACCTTGTTGGCAACCAAGAGAATGAGGGGGAACGAGACAAACACAAGCATCCAGCAGATGAGACATTCCCAGCGTAAAGGGATATCGACTGCATCGATACCAAAGGCAATAGCAGCCCCTGCAGACTGGACAGCCTTGTAAAAGCCGGCGTAGCGAGCCAGTAGGTTTGGATCGTTAGACATGGCACCCATGAGCCAGTACATGTAGGACTGATAGAGTGAATCAGAAAGACCGTAGAGTAAAAAGAGAACGAACGGACCGCCGAAATTGGGATGATCCCAATGAATGGGTGTGCTAAAGTCGTTGTCAAACGTGAGCTGGAAGGCAAATCCGCCGGCCCAAACGGCCATGACGATTGCAAATATGATGGCCAGACCAACAAGTCCGCGTCCTCTGCGACTCATTGCTTGGCAGTCGAGCAAGAAGCCGAGGAGGATTGAGCCGACGATCTGAAAGGCCCAGTACATCAGGTCGTTGAGTGCACGCGTAGAGGGATCAAAGTAGATGGCATTGATGCGGAACTGGTAGGCATAGAACCAGTTTGAGGCCAAGAAAGCAGGAATCAGGGCCATCATGCGCCACTCTTTCCAGATCATCAGTGCACCTTTTAGTTCGCTGGTCCAGTGGGCCGATTTGGCTATGGCGATCTTGGTTCCGTCTGGGCGGACGACATTGGCTGGATTAGCCAGGCCAAGAGAGACGACGACGCCGATCAACATGACGACAACGAAAGCGGTGTAGGTTCCTGTAGATACGCCGCCTGCCTGGTTTTTGAGATTCAATCCGAGGGCAATGACTGAGCCAAGAATGCCACCGAAATTGAACAAGGCCCAAAAGACAGCAACGTATTTGCCCTTGTTTTTTTCTTCGGGATAAGACATCATTATAGCACCCTGGGCAGACCAGAATACACCGGCACAACAGCCAAGTATTGCTCCTGCTGCAATGACAAATCCGGAGATCTGTTTTGCATCATAGACCCAAAATGCTGCCGAGTAGAGTGCGTATCCGATCGAGCCGATCTGATTTAGGTAGAGATATATATATAATAGAAAAAGGGAATAGTGTGAGTGATGTTGAACATAATAGACAGAGATATGTATTAGTGGTATTACTTACAGTCAAGGTGGCTTTTACACCAATAGTGTTAGTAACTGAGCCAGCAAAGAAACCAACGATAGCAAAACAGCCATAGAGTGCACCATTTGAGGAATCGACCAAGGAAACGTTTGAGCTCATTGAACCACCTGCACCAAGACCTGACAAAGCATTGAACATTCCTGGACAGCAGAGACAAATGAAGCCAAGTAGGATAACCTGGTTCAAAGGTGTAGTGAATTTACTCTTTACCCCTTTAAGCATTTGTAATTATATTCTTTAGCTTGATTTGACTTGATTTGACTTGCTTTGATTTGAATTTATAAGATAAAGAGAGAGAAAGAGAAAGGAAATGGTAAGGAGGAGGAGGAGAATAATTATTTTATAATCCAAGGGATTTTATTTATTTATATTTTCATGTTTCTGATGTGGTTGTATATATATAATATTATACATTATACATTGTATGTATATATGGCTTATTTATATCGGCGTATTAATAATAACTCAAAGAGAAGAACCACCAGAGATAAACAGTCGCTCATTCTTCCATATAAAGATAAGAAGAGGTTATAGTGATGTGAAACCCTTTAGACTGTATTTATATTTTATATTAGGTACACGATTCATAATATGTTTTAGTTTAATATTTATTTTTTGGCTGGCCCCCTCTACGTACAAATATATATTTTCTTGACCTTACTTAAACCCACAGGAACACGTCAAAACATATAGACCAATAGGCCAATAGGCTAATAGGCCAATATACCAACGTATATAAAGCTATATAAAATTATATAATGTATTGTGTTAAACGTGTATCTATGTGTGTGTACAACATTGACAGGGTCGAAATAAAAATAGGAAACAAAAAAGAATTAGAACCCTGAACATGACATAATAGGACAAGGGTTCCCTCAGAATGTAGCATAGGCATTTTTTAAGTATCTTTCTTTTTTTTTTTCTTTATTTCCCTTTCTTTCCTTTTTCTTCCCATCGAGTTTACCCACAGTATCTATATAAAATAAAAATAATTTGTATTTGTATTTATATAACACCGCTTTCCCCGCATTTTACCTTGAGAAACAAAGCTATTTTATATATATCTTTATAGCTGATAAATATTCAGCTCCACTCCATAATTAAGACACTGTGGGGCAAAGAGAGAGAGAGAGAGAGAGAGAGAGAGATGATCTGATTATTGAATTGGATTGAATAAAATCGAATTGAAAGTCTATATGCTCTTTATTAATCTTGATAAGAAATGAAAAATTGAATAGCAAATATTCTCATTTTGTTGTTGTTAAAAGAATTAAAGTAATACAAATTGTAATACAAATGAAAAAGGTGGATAATCGGAGTGTTTCTCATGTCACTTCAAATCTCGGTTAAGCTGATTTATGGTGTTTTTCCGCTTAAAATCCAGACCGATTATTACAGGAGGATGTCGATTTGAGAAAAATGAAAGCGAAAATTAAAATTTGGTTATATGGTAATCAATGTTAACTTGAGCAAATTTATATATAACATAATAACAGCAATGTTGACTGTAGACCTGTAAATTATTTAAATTCACCATTACCACCCTTTGGTACAGCCATTTGTCAAGTCAATCAATATACAGTGAGAATTATACAAGTAGATTGTTTTCCCCAACACACACATGGGCTCAATTAGTAAACAAAATATTAACGTGCTTGTCGTGGCTTGTCGTGGCTACCATTATACTAAGCGGTTATTTTATTGTATATTCTTTTTGTAGAATACACTCCATCTCTAGTTCATCCAAGACCGGTCCATGATCTGTCCACTCGACCTTTGCCTTGACCGCCTCACACAATTGACTGGCCGTAAACTTCTTGAAATGAGGGTGGGTGTGCATTCTTTGCCATATTTCTGAACAAGACAAAAGACGTCTATCACTTTGACAGCAATTGTTTACATCCGATGATTGATCAAATGGTCTGGCCTGCTGTCCGAAACCAGTATTAAACCCAAGCCCAAAGGAAAAGTCAAAGTCAAGGCCAAGTGTCTGTGAATCTGGTGTGAACATAATAGAACCTGGTTTATTTGATATAGTGGGATTTAAGGCACCAGTCGTAGTGTCAAAAATTGGCTCAGACAATAGTCTATCAAGTGCACTGCGGAGTACTTGCTCTTGTAACATAACACAAAAAGACTGACATTCTGCGTCAATGTGACAATCAAAAAGTTCATTCTCGAGTTGACCTATACTATGGTTACTGGGTAAATGGTTTGGATTATTTAAACAAGAAGAAGAATAAGGCGGGTCTTTGTGTGACGTTGTTGAGGGTTGAGGAGTTGTACTTGTCATATCAGGATGTCTTTTTTTACGTATCATTGCAGGCGTCGAAATGTCAAACACATATTGAGGCCCTTTACTTCTCCACGAAAAGGTGTTTGTGTTGTGTTGATTAATTGACTTTTCTATAGCCGAGACCGACCGATGGTTTGTTATGGGGAACTGGATCGGATCAAATGTGGTAGGTCCCGGATTACCTTGGCTAGTAGCTGTGGCTAAATGCTGGTGCAGATGAATAGGCCTGGAGGCAATATGAACCGGAAGGGTCGGTAATAACGGAGGTAGGCTTGTCGTTTTTCCCGTTGTCTTTGGCGTTGTCATCGTTGCTGTTGTTGTTTTTTCTGTACTACGTTGAAGTAATAAAGGATCATTTTGAATAAAAGGGGTGGTGGATGTATAATTGAAGACAGGTTCAGCCAAGGACTCGGAATAACCGACTCTTTTTAAGGCGTGATTCTCGGATTCGAGGTAACGTATGATCGACCGAAGGTTTTCGTTTTCGTAAAAGATTTGTCTGGTGCCTAGTACGTGGTTGTCTTGTACCTCCCTTAGCTTCTGTTTTAGTTCATTCACATAATTTTCTTTTCTTTCCCGAAAAGCTCTTTGCGCAACACGGTTTTGAACTTTACGCTTCACGTCTAGCAGACTTTTATCTGACTATAATGAAGTCAGGTAAAGTAAAGAATTAATTAAAGGCGAATAAGAAATAAAATTGAATAGATTCATGTATGTTTCTTACATCCGAATAGAGTTCTTCTGTTGGTGATTTTGTAATATGTGCTTCTATAGTTTAAATTAAAGTATATACATAAATAAATCATGAGAATTACAAGCTTTAGAGAGGTAGAGAAAAAGAGTTTAATTTTATTAAAAAAAAAGAATTACCATTATTTTGCTCTGTGTCCTGTACATCTAATACAAAGATTGAAGAAATGTTATCATTAACATTAGTGTGTGTGTGTGTGTGTGTGTATGTGTGTGTGTGTTTGATAGCAATAAAATATAATAAAATATTATTAATAGGCGAAATACGTTATTATTACTTTGTGCTTTGATAATATTAGAAGATGCTTCTGCTTGTTCTTCTGGTGTAAATGATGCATCCCATTTGCGTTTCTCACTCAGATCCAGGTGATTTTTGACAGGGTCTTTCTGGTTCAAGTTTGATTGATGTGTATGGTTAAAAGAAGATTTTGATTCAGGATAGGGTGTGATTTGGCCAGTATTCTCGGGGTTAGAGATAGTTTTAGATTTTTGGAGATTGCTGATAATATTTTCGGTGTTGCTTTGGTTTGAAGACCTTGCTGTATTTTTATTCATAATTCACAGATATGTATATGAAGGAAGTAAACCGTTTAAGTACACTGTTTATAGATTACTAGCAAAAATAAAAATCCTCAAAAAAATAAATAAATATATAGATAGATAGATAGAAGTAAAGAAAGGAAACAAAAGAACTGTAAGTAAAAGAGTCAAGGCTTTTCTTTTCTTTTCTTTTCTTTTCTTTGCTTTGCTTTCTTTCTCTATCTATTGGTAACCTTTTATGAAATATAGTTTTTTTATAATACGTGTGGTTTGCAGAGTACAAGTACAAGTGCAAGCGCAAGTGCAAATGTAAGAGTAAGAGTAAGAGTAAGAGTAAGAGTGAGCGTGAGCGTGAGCGTGAGCGTGTGTTAAAAGAAGAAGGGGAAGGGGAAGGGGAAGAAGAAGCTCAGATATTATCATGTGCCCGGTGTATTTTATTTTATTTTTCTAGCTGGGCTCAATACGTTTTGTCCAAAAGTAACACATCATCATCATCATCGAGTTTCTATTTATTTAGCAATTAAAAGAAATATGATAAAGCTGATAAAGATGATAGAGATGATAAAGAAAGAAGAGTAAAAGGGAATAAGTAAATATCTCACAACTGACATTTATTACCATAATTACCATGATTACTGTCAGTGTTACTATTATGATTATTATTATTATTATTATGGCTATTACTTTGGTTTAGTGTAATCAATGACCTGTTTTTTAGTTTACAAAAGAGTAAACGTTAAAGAAACAGCCCTTATATGATCAGTTGATATGCTATCTATCTGGTTTCTAAGCAACAAATGAGATGAACCCTTTAAGATATACATATTCAGATTTACTTCTTTTTTTTTTAATCACCATGGAAAAAAATGAAAAACTAAAGTCGTCATTTTCTTGCGTATCTAACACCAAACGTTCGCCACAGCTCGATGCGGTATTGAGTTGTATTGTGTTGTGTGTCGTGGGTATTGTACTTCCATTCCCCAAAGTTCTGATTGGAGGTATATTGGTAAGCATTAAGAAACACCGATTAGAATTTGCCTTTTTATTTCTATACTCAATAACTCCACCTAGAAAAACATAGAATCATAATAATCATACTCATAAGTATAATAATTAATTATTCCGTGCCTTTTATTTTATATTTGGTTTGCTTTGTTATCTACTGTAATACATATCTACTGATGAATTACTACTACTATTATTATTTTGAAAAATAAATAAAATAAAATAGTGATCGATGCACTTCTGCTTATGATGGTGATGGTTTTGTTACATTTAATATAATAGTTATACTGTATACTGTATAGCTTTAAAGTTGAGATCTTGATTACTGACCTTAAGATACATTTCATTCGATTCAATTAACAAAGGGAACAAAGCTGATAATACAAAGATACATGTATATATTATCATTATTCTCTATCTATTGTACATTTCTTTGTAATCCAAAGTACATAACCAAAATTGGCCGTGTGAAAGTTGAATAAAAATAAAATAAAATAAAATAAAAAGGCGTGTATTTAATTAAAGACAGTACAACGTCAATTGTCATTATCTACAAACACAGTGGCAGCAAATCATTGCTAGTGAAATAATCTACCGAAAATGAAAGAAAGTATTTGTATATATAGTAATCTCATATTATGATTATTCCCCCTGTCTTTTTCATTATATTTTTGGTTTTTCTTTTCTTTTCATCTCAAAAAGCTGTGTAATCAGTAATGAAGCCAAACTCTCGTCTTTTATTATAGCTTGAATGTTAAGGACAGACACAGTATTAATCTTATCTATTGTGGTCTGATAGCCTATACATCTTTAGACAAAGCATTGCAATTTGTATAAATATATTCATTTATTTATCTACAGTTCGTTTGCACATTCTTTAAATATATATATATATATGGGTGCAAATAGCTTTGAAAGATCGAGGCTCAAAGAAGAAAGCAACTATTAAGCCTGTAAAGCAGATGTCTTGAAATGGTGATTTCCTTATGAAAGTCTTTACTAAATTCTATAAAATAAAATTGTGCTTTTATAAAACTTTCTTTTGCTGTTCTGGTGTATCCTATATTGTTCAATATTAAAAAATACATACACTCTTTGGTATCATTATAAAAAAGCTCTGCTATTATTCTTGTAATAGTCAAAACTCTATTATATTTCTAAAAAAATCAATCAGACATCGGCTGCACGTATATATATCAAGTATGTTTAATACTTTTACAATTTTTAAACGCGTTTGTATTCTGTTTCCTGGGCTAAAAACTCTTGCTTTCTATCATGAGTTGCTGTTAAAAGGATGCGCGAATCAACATCAAGCGTCAGTTTGAATGAGAAAAATAGAAAATTGATCTTTAATGCGCAATGTTCTGACAAACTCATTTCTGCAAGAACATGATGAGAGTTATATATAAGCTAATGAGCTATTAGCATTAACAGAATTGTAGTTGTTGATGGTAAATAAGGTTTCGCATCGTTGTCGCTCATCTTTTTCTGTTTTTTTGCGTCCTTTTTTGTTTACTTTTTGCTTTTTTTCATAGTCTATAGCTCTATTAGTCACATGCATATGAAAATAGTCACACATTCTTCCTCTTCGTTTTTTTTGGAGATGTACGTATCAGCGATGAAAGGATACAAGAGATGTGTAAAGTAGATGTAAGACTTCATTTACTTTGGTCCTCTTTACTGAAAAGGAACTCTTAAAATCAACTCCGTTAAAGTAGTTGAAATGACGATTGACCTTCTTTCAAAAAAAAGTTTATTTTTTTATTTTTTTTATTTTATTTCTTGTATTTGTTGGTCGGCTACAGTGCAAAGCAGTGAGCGACTGGCTTAATATGCCTGAATATTTGTATTACAAAATATATATGAGAGGAAAAAGGTAAAAGGAGACTAGGAGAAAAAATTACTTCAAGAAGTGCCCTACCACCACAAGTGCCTTGGCTGCTATCACACCAGGAAGGAAGGACTGTTTGTCCAAGACAGAGATCCAGTGAGCTCGCCAAATGGCATGGATTGTGGAAGCTACAACTCAGAGTTTGTTTGTGTTTGGAGATGGAAGTACCAGCAAAAGTCATCGTGGTCAGGAGAGAGGGGAATCAAAATGTAATTGTCATAATATTTTTTGCAGCATTAACATCTCGCTGGCACAGTGTATTACCGGCTTTACAAGCCAGTAAAAAAAAGGACAATTTTAAATCATCAAAAAGTTCAAATGTTCTTTTATAAAATAAGCACAACTTGAATATCTCTTTTCGACCTGTATTCAATTCTCGGTGTGGCGAGTATGCACTATATATAATGTTTTCCGGAATCTAACAGCTCAAGATGTTCTTAATAAACCTGAGTGCTTGCTCAGAAATAAAAATACAAAATTCAAAAGTCTAACCGCTTTCCAAAGATCTGCTAAAGACAAGCAGGCAAGCAAGCAAGCAAACAAGCAGCAATTACCACAGCAACAGCCACATCAAGAACTACAGCAATAAAAATTAGATAATTGTATCTAAATTAGTTTGTCTCTTTGAGACATTTAGACATATAGGTAAGATGTCTGATTAAATGTCTACCTTGTCCAAGCTAATTTCTTTGTTCAAATCCCATTTTCGTTACGTCGACAAAAGGTAAGCCTATTGTCTAAAATTACATTTTGATTCGTCTAAAGCATTTCCTAATTTGTCTCAATCTCAAGTTCAAAAACTGTGTTCCAAAAAAAAAAGTCAGACTGGTACTGTCTTTTTTTTTCTGGTTTTTGACTGTCATTTTCTATTTTATTTTTTGGGAAAAAAAATTGTGACGTGTTTGCCAATAAATTTTTTTTTCTCTCTTATTAAAGATAAAAAATAAAAACTCCATAATTTTTTTCTCTCTCTCTCTCTCTAAACCCCTACCCTGGTTGTCTACAAAAAGGAAGACAAAAGAGAGTTAAGAATTTCTCTTTTGTTTTTCCTTCTTTCTTACATACCCTCACTCTTACTCTTACTCTTACTCTTATGAACATACAAATACATACGTACGCAAACAATGCCGGGATATTAAGAACCACAAGGTAATTATCAAATTTATTTTGCTTAAAAGTGAGAAAGAAGAGGCCTACGCATACACAAGGATATATGTTATGTGTCATCGTTCACACTGATGAATAATGCCAGGCGTGGCTGTCTTATTCTGGGGAATCACGCAGGGGCACCTCTTGTCGTTGGTAAGAGGCGGACCCACCCTTGTGCCCCAGAAGCTGGGGAAAATTCAAACGCAATGTCTGAGTGAGCGATAATATATAAACATTTATTATTATCACATATAACATTGTGTGTGTGTGTGTGCGGCACTTGCTTCTCTTATAAACATTTTTATTTAAAAGAAATGAAACTCATGTATACTTTGTTTATAGGTAAAACTACAAGTCCACTCCTTTAAAATAGCAATAATTTAGCTTATTATGATTTTCAGAAAATAAATAATAAAACAATAAAAAAAATCAATTTTTTTCAATTTCGATATTCAAACTTTTTCAAATACTGTGCCTAGCTTTTTGTTTCGCTTCATCTTGTGAATCTTTTAATGACAAATTGAATTAAAAGTAAATGCATGAATGAATGATTAAAAAAATAGTTGAATGCAACGTTTAATAAATGAATGATAAAAAAGAATAGAGCTGGGAGATGAAATGAGCAATTTTTTTTTAAAAAAAAAACAAAATGTGTTTTGGATAAAGGTTGAAGAAAAGGGAAGGATTTTAAAAAGTCAAATGAAACGAGGTTAATTTTTCAGGAGGTGTAAAATGAAGATAAGAAAGAAAGGGTGAGTGGGATGCATAATATAAGTAAAGTAATAAAGAAAATATAAATGGAAATGGAAATGAATGTGTAAATGATTGAGAGCTGTGAATGTGTTTTAAGAGAAAAAGAAGTATGTTAATTTGGTCTTCATCTTCTGATCTGACCTGACCTGATCTGATCGTTTTGTTTTGTTTTGTTTTGTCTTTCTTCTATATTTCTTTTTCTTCTTTAACGAGATGGGTGGGGTGATGTTTCAAGAGAGTCGTAAGTGGGTAAAGAAGATGAAACATTGGCAGGTGCAAATTGAACAGCAGTGCGATACGATGGAACCCTGGAGAGATCCATGCCTTGCCACCACATGCTTACTGGACTAACTGGACTAGCCGAGGTCATGTCCATACCTGGATCAAATCGTCTGAATCCTCCCATTCCTCCCATCCCTCCTCCAGATCCACTCATTCCTCCCATCCCACCACTGCCCATTCCGGCTGTTCTTCCTTTGATGGGAATATCCGTGGCTGCCAAAGAGGTGCTTGGTGGAGTGGAGGACAGCAGAGAATTAGAGGCAATTGAGAGTGCGCGTGTACGTCCAGAGATTGTAATCGGTTGGCGTTCTTGATCGACAGACGGAATACGAGAATGATGAGGATTAAAGGCAGCAGAAGCTGAGAATGATGATGATAATGGTGATGATGTATTTGCTTGAGTATTGATGGATAGTGGTTGTGTTTGCTGTAATGGTTGCAGTGGTGGTAAAGGTGTCGAGCCTGAGAATGAGCCAGAGCCTGATCGAAGCGCATCCCATACACTGGGGTCATAAGGGACTGAGCGCCAGGATTGGTCGTATGCAGGCAGGTTGCTGATTTCAGCCTGTTGAGCAAAAGAGTCGATAATGATGATCGGTACAGAGCATCGTAGCTCAGAGTAGTGACCGTCGGCATTGACAAGAGAGATGACAAACTTGAGTTTGTGACGGATGCGGATCATTGCATTGTCAGCATCACAAAACACGAGAGGAGAGGCGTCTGGGACTTTTAAGTCGACTACCTTTGTCCAATATCCATTATATTGACTCGGTGATGCTGTTCCTGTTGCTGCCAAAAGTGCTGCTGCGTCTGCCGCTGCCGCTGCTGCTGCTTGTGGTGTTATGGTTGAGGCAGATGTTTGGGTGTCTTGTTCGTGGAAAGGTTGATTGATACGTTCGGTTCCAACCATGCGAGTGTCTGTCTTGGAATAGTCGTTTGCAGTATAAGTACAGTATTCTTTTAGGAATGCGGTTAGGAATCTGACTCGTAGTTGGCTGGCCAAGGGTAAGATATTGAATGAGATTGGGATGTTTTCACCATTGGCATACACTTTTGAGGGTAAAGCAATGTCATAGACCATCTTTTCAGCCCAGGTGTTGTGGATCTCGAGGGTTTGGGAGAGACCGAATTCTGATGGGAGCATGCAACGAATGATTCTGATGGATCGCTTTTTGACCATGTTGTGCACAAAGGCTGTTCGTTCAATGACAGCCTTGAGGCCATAAGACACTCTACCGCCTTCTGTTTCGAGCGATTCGGGAAGGTCACCTGGCAGGTTGAGTTCAAAGTCCCACTTGTGGTGACCTGCGGCAAGGGTATAAGTTTTCTTTGGAGCTACACCAGCTACAGGTACGAATTGCCATTTGTGTTGAAGGATAGTTCGTTCTTGTTTGTGATAATGTTGATGATGACCTACGCCTAATAATAATTTTTATATGAGTATCTTTTTTTTCTTTTTCTTTAAAGAAAAGAAAAATCATTTCTTTACCTTCAGACCATGATACTTTCATCTTTCCAGAAAACTTTAGACAGATTGATTTGACTTTGATGGGTTCTGCAAGGGTCAAGAGCAGGGATCCTTGGAGCAGTTTTCCTGCCGATTCATCAGCTTCACCAAGAAGGACGATTTCATCAGTGGTGAGGTCGATTCTGAGTTCGTTTGTCTTGCGAATTGCATTCACCATAGTTTGAATTGGTTGTTGAGGAATAGGAATCATTTTGTTGTTATGGTTACGATTGTTGATATTTGTCAAGATTAAGATTAATTTTTTTTAAAAAAAAAATCAAAAATAAAAGCAAGTTATGCTGTCAATTGCAGCCAACAAAAACAATAGTAATAATATAAAATATAGATATAAAAATATTTATATATTTAAATATAATTTGAAATTAATAATAATAATAAAAAGAACAAGTATTGAAAAGTAGAAGAAGTAAAGAGAGAAGAATGATATATATATATATATATGATTTTATGAAATAAAATTAAAAAATTAAATGAAATGAAATGAAATTCAGTGGTGTTTTTTTTTTTTAAATTTTTTTTTTTCCTTCTATTCTTCTATTCAAATTTTTTATACGCCATATTTCACGCCATTTGAAAAATAAGATCGTATTTTTTTTATTTTTTTTTGTCTTTTTTATTTTATATGTATATTCTTTGGCTTCTTCATAGTATATAAGCGCCATTTAATTCGACCATCAAAAGAGAATGAACCAAGAAAATTATTTCTATATATATATAAAACACAAAAGAATAACCGTGATTTGAATTTCAATTTCTCTCAGTTACGATTTGTTCTTGTTCTCGCTCTTGCTATTATTATTCTTAATTATTTATACTATAAATCCCCAAAAAAAAAAACAAAAAAAAAACAAAAAACAAGATGTTCAACTTATTGCGTGCTTTCTGCCATCTATTCATTTATTCATTAACATCTTCTTGCAGCTAAATAAATACCAAGAGTAACAGTAATAGTAACAAAAAGAAAAAGTATTTTCATGACTGCGAAAAACAAAAGAAGAAGAAGAAAAAGTTTATAGCTAAAATAAAAGTAAAAAGAAAAAAATTGGTTCATTCAAAAGGTTCTTGGGGCCGTGCACTCTTTTCTCTCTCTCTCTCTCTCTATCCCTATATCTTTATCTTATTGTTATTGATGCTATTATCTAATCATAAAAAAAAAAGCTTATTTTGATTTTGTGATTTTTTTATTGTTTGCTATGAAAATCTTATCTTTATTTATTTATTTTTGAGATTTTGGATTTTGATCTATTCAACTATGAAACACAAAAAAGATGTTCAAAAATAAATAAAATAAAAAAAAAATCTCCTTAAAGGAGATGGGCCACGCGATTACTATTAGTATTTTGAAGTTACAATTATCGGACAACTAATACCAAAAGGAAAAAAAAATGAGAAAATATAATGTCAAATACATGAAATATTTCTCTCTCTATATATATATATAAGATGTGAGATGTGTAAAATGTGAAATATAATGTAGTGTAGTGTATTGTGGTGTAGTGTAATCTGATGTTCTTATTCTACTCCTACTTCTCCCTTATTCATCTGATTAATAAAAAGTGCCCTGAAGAACCATAATTAAAAGAATCAAATAGAGAAACCAAAAGGACTTCTTTAATGATTTCTTGGATTTTGTTTTTTTTGTTTTTTTTTCATAATTTTATTTTTATATTACACACTTCTTTTTCTACAACAAGTAACAATGAGCGTGGGAAAAGCAGAGATAATAAGGAGATCCGACATCGGGTTACTCCCGGGGATAAAATAATAATAATAATAATAATAATAATTTTAGTATCCATGGCAGCGGATCAAGAATAAATCTATTTATCACTATGGAATAACATGTGTATGAATTTTACATCTATAGATTAAATCTTTAATCAAAATTTGGCAAGTGAACGTGGAGAAGCAAAGAAATGAAACTTGTCAGCATAGTCAGTGTGAGCACCGACATAGAATCCTCCAAGCGACCGACTGCAATCAATGATTCGGACTGATGGTGGCAATGTCACTCCAGGAAGACCAATCTCACCCACAGCCTGCTGTCCCATCAGAAGCGCTCGCAGAAGCACGCCCAGAGTCAGATCCTTCTCCGAATAATAAATCACCGTGTTTTCCCGTCCCAGCCCTTTTTCCGCTCCAGCAAAAAACCGCTCGAGATCACTGGCCACCAAAGCAGGAGCACACAAATGAACCTCGTCTGGTCTTACACATATAAAAATATTAATAAAATAAAATAAAATAAATCGTTCGATTAAAATCAATATTTTTTTATTTTATTTTAGATGCTTGCATGTATTTGTATAGCTTAGTCTTGTACACAAATCAGATTCCTTTTTTTTAGTGTATATACATACCTCTCTTCGGGGTACAATAGAGCACAGGCCTCTACTAAATGTCGACAGCCCAAGGAGTGACTCACGACACGTAAATAATCATGCCGGGTTCGTAGTTCAAGCAACCTGCCTGCAAGCATTTCCGCGCGCTCTTTGCTCTCGACTGTTGCCGTATTGAACTGGTAGGCCAGGCGTCCACAGTGTAGTCCAGCGTCCACCACAAGCGCTCCCATCAATGACGCAGGTGTTGGTAATTTCCATTGTCGTAGTCTCTGCACATTCCGACCAACCACATAAGCCACCGATCCTAAAGTTGCCAAAGGTACCGGTATATGGGACACGGCAGACCCCGATGGCCATGAATAGCTTTTTTATAAGTATAAAATATATAGATGAATAACACGTACACTGCACATTTTTATTACTCAATTGAACTACCACCACTATTTCTATTAATATATATTTTAACCATTAAATTAAATAAATAGAAATATTATTATAAAGCGTGTTTATTCTATTCACCCTAGAGCTGAAGGAGCCCATTTGTGAGCAGGACTAAGGACCAATAGCCGATGGGAGTGCATCCAATCTCCAAAATTCTCGGGAGAATCTCCTTCAGCAAGGAATCCTGACAATCCGATTTGAATGTTGAGATTTTTGAATTTTAATGCATAAATGAATAAATGAATGTTTGATATTTTGCAAAGTAAAAATGTATTTCAAGATATAATACGACTATATATAAATAAATATAAAATAAGCCCTTTTTTTCGTATTATGATTATTACCTTTGATGTAAACTGTCACTTCTTTACGTGCATTTGAAGGACGCGAGAGTACTTTAAGACTAGGTAGCCGTGTAAACAGATTGGCCATTGTATATATATATATATATAGATATAATATTATTTAATTAAGTAATCTTTAAATAAATAAATAAATAAATAAATAAATAAATAGAAAGGGAGAAAGAACAAGGAAGAAATGCATTTGCCCTAGGTGATACAAGACCCTTTTTGTCTTGTCAAATACCAATTATCACTAGTTGATATTAAATTGAATTATTAATATATAGGCACAGTACATAAGCAAGGCAAGTACATATAAAATACACACTCCAATAGGCATATATATACGAGAGCATCTAAAAATATTATCCGGCAATATATGGTAATATATGGTAATATTTTGTAATATTAATATTAATATTAATAAGAATAAGAGTAATGATGTAATACTATAAAGGAGAAATAATATGTGATTGTGTAGTATGTGGCGCTAATAAGCGTATTAAGATGAAGAAGAATTAAACAAGGGTTATTTTTTGGTTGTTAGGTTTGGTTACTAGGTAAGTTGAATCGAATTGAATTGAATTGAATTGGATTGAATTGAATTACTATTATTTTTATAAAAATATATAGGAATGTGTGTGATATGATATGATATGATATGATATGATATGATGTATATATATGAATGTGATGTTTCCTCCTTCTTCCTTTGTTAGTCTGTAGGACAAGAGAATCCATTGACAGGCTGGATAGTATCTGTTTTTGTCCATGCAATTCCAACAATGGAGTATGTGATGTGGAATACGACTTGGAGGGTCTCTTGTTGTTCGGCAGGCACAGGATTCCTTACTTGGACTCCACATGCATTGTAAAGATCTTGGAAAGTGCGATTTCCGGCCATGTTGGTTGAATAGAATATGTTGAGAGGTATGGATATCGGCTGCTTTTTACGCCCAGAAAGAATCAGTGGCCCTGACCCTCCCTGTCCAAACTGCTCGAGCGTATTGACATCCGTCAGAGTGACGGCAATGTTTGTGAACCGGGTGTGGATCCAATTGGCAGAGTTGTCGGCGGTCATGTTGAGGCGCCAGGATGTTTTCATCGACAGAGTGCTGTTGGTGGTCCAGTCTGTTTTGTTGGTCACGTCTGCACCTATCAATGCGACGGTTGGGAATCTGGGCCACACAAAATACCATGTGACTCCAACAGCAATAAGAAACACCACAAGACCTGCAAGTGTGCGCCGTTTTTTCCAGAATTTGCGTCGTTTGCGGCTCAACAATAGATTCTCGAGTGTAGAGCTTGTGGGGTGCAGATGGTTAAGTTTCTGTAGTGGGTCTTGGCCGTCTTTTTCGTTTTCTTTATCTTGTTGTTGTTGTTGGTTAAGAGCAGCCTGCTGGGCTCTGATGTCAAGGATGCAGAGGTCGTCTTGCAGCATAGACACAACACCGCCTTCTTTGTCAGGTATAGGGAAACATGGGGGGTTGTCTTCGATGTAGATGGGCGCCGGTTGCTGGCATGGGTCACGGTTGTGGCGAGAATAAGGAAGATAAGAGTTTGCTCTTTGGGTGGGTAAGAGCCGTTTTTTTTCTTTGAGACCTCGACTTGGACAATAGGGGTCAATATCAGTGCTGATTGTATTGATGTTTATGTTTATGCGTGTGTTTGCATTCGTACTTTTGTTTGGACCTTTATTGATGTTTTTGGTGATGGTATTGGTGTTGTTGGTATCATAGTCAGAGTAGTTTGGTCGTAGTGCAACATTTGCAGCGTTTGTTGCCAATCCGCTCGTGCTACTGTCTGAACCTTGTCTTGAATGAGCTCCATCTAAAGGATCCCGGTCCGAAGGAGTAGAATGAACTGTTTAACAATTTCATTTTAAGTTTTTTTTTTATTAAATATATTATTTTATTTTAGTAAGCCCATTACGTATTATAAAATATAGATATATAAATATGATGATAGAATTACATTTATCTATTTATTAAAAGGTAAATAAACTAAAGGATAATATGGTATGATATAATATAATATAATATAATAAAAATAAAGCGCCTTACGCTTTCGGTACCTGGGACTGCCTTTCGCTTTCTATAGGGGTCATGTTCACTGTCTGGATAAGTTGAGTTTTGATGTCTATGGCTTGGGGACTCAAATTCATAAATTTGCCTATTCATGATGATTATGGATAAATGATGACGATAATATTATAGAAAAAAAAAAGAAAAAAAAGAGGTATTTTTTTTTTATAAATATTTCCTTTTTTTTTTCCTTTTCTTTATTTAATTATTTATTTATTTAATTAATTAATATATATAAATATAAATAAATTATTTTAAATTAATAATAATAATAATATAAATAAATAGAAATTAGAAATTAGAAATTAGAAATAATAATAATAATAATAAAATGTATGTATGAAAGAAAGAAAGGAGAACAAAAATAAAATAATAAATAAAAAAATAAAAATTAAATAGGAAAAGAAAGAAAGAAAGAAAGAAGGAAAAGAAAATAGGCGGAAAATAGGAAAGAAGGATTTCAACTATAAAGATAGAAATAAGAAAGGAGAAAGGAGAATTATTTTTTTTTGGGGGGGGGGAGGGGGGGGAGTGTAGGAGGAGTAACAAGTAAGAATTGAAGAAAAAAGAAAGCAAAGTGAGATTAAGCGTAAGAGGGAGATTGTGAAGACTAGTGCTTGATACTTGATACTTGATACTTGATATTGTTGTTGTTTATTATTATTTTGGGGGAGCTTAGAAGAAAAGGAGAATTGAAGGAGATAGAAGGTATGGAAGGGTGTAGAGGTTTTATTGTGATTGATATAAAATATATATATATAAACCTATTTTCGGTAGGAGAGGCGGTTCTGTTTCCTTTGCCATCAAAAGGCCGCACAGACACCCTCTCAAAAAATACAAACACCACCACCACATTCACATTCACATTCACACTCACCTAATCTAATCTAATCTAACTTAAGCTACTTGCTTACTACACATAAAGAAATAGGCATAAAAGATGATGGTGGAAGAGGTGGAGATATTACATACAAAAGGATATAATTGTAACAGCCTGTAGACCCCAATAAAAATAAACTATACAAGGAAAATAAAGCACAAGTACATAATCACACAAGCAGCACAGGCACAGGTACAGGCACAGGTACAGGCACAGATACAGGCACAGGTACAGGCAACACAAACACAGCTGTACAGATAATACACAAACATGCACACGCACACACGCACACATAGCTGTACATTGCTGTACATTGCTGTGAATATAATACACAAATATGCACTCGCTCAAATAAGAGATATTTATATACACATAAGAAATAAATAAATAAATTCCTGTCGAAAAACGCAGAAAATGATAATTTTTGGCAGAAATGAATACCTTCTTTTTATTATATAAAACATAGCAGAAGAGAATTCACACCCAATACTATCAAAACAAGCAAACACCTATAGATACATATATAGATTATAGATGGAGATGTAGATATAATTTTGAACCAATTGAACCAATTGAAACAATTGAAACAAATAAAGTTACCCATGCTTTATCTTTCCTTTCTTCCTTCTTTTTACAATCTCACCTTTTCTTGTTTGTTCTACTCCAAAATTAAATAATCATTATATACCAATATTTACATAACATTTCCCTCTCTCTTGATTCTTTTGGTCTATTGTATTTGGGTCAGTAACTAAGCTATGCTATAATCATATGTATATCATATATTACACTGTTTACTTTATTCCATTAATTTCTCGCACCTTGCTTTACCTGACCACCCTCTCTCCCCCATTTAATATCACACCTATATACTATAATATAAAATTAATTAAATAAAGGGAATAAAGTTCATTTTTAAAAAAAGTCAAGTAATCAAATATTCTACGTGTGTGCGTTCGGTTGTTGGTTTTTATTACCTTTTATTAATAATATTATTTTGACTATAGACAACTTCTTGCATGAATTTAAGCAGACCTGCAAAAAAAAAAGTTGACCTTACAATATTTTGTAACACCAAAGGGTTAAAATAAAATTAAAGCCAAAAAAAAAAAAAAAAAAAAACGAGGTCTATGAATGAACCTGTTTCTTTAATCCCCGCCAATTCTCCCACTCTATCTGTCTACCTGTCTTTACTTTCTTTCTTTCCCTCTTCTTCTTCTTTAATAATCAAGTAAATAAAACCCAAAATAAAACCCACAATGTCAGAAGCATCTATCAGTCAGTCAAATTTACTACTCTTCTTTGCTTTATTTATTTTTTCTTTAAAGCAAATAATTAATCAATTTTACATACGTATTTATTTATAATTCGTTGTATAAAAAATACACAACTTCTCCTACCACAGACAACCTTTTGCTCTCTCTATGCAGAAACGACCAAGAAGAAGAACTCGAACAACTTTTAGAAGAAAACGAAGATTGTGATGTCAACCACGCAGATGGTGCCGGAAATACTGCTGCTCATTACGCGTAAGTTGTATTAACAATAGCTTTATTTTTATTTACAATGAAATGATATCATTATTATTATATATATATATATATATACATAGTCTCTGAGAAATTTCTAATGAGATGCTAATCACCCTTCTTTCTTATTTGGTTTATGTAGAGCAAAAGCAGGAGCTATTGGATGCTTAGAAATATTAGTAAATCATGATGACATCAATCTCGACATCCAAAATCGCCTGGAGGGAGATACTCCTCTTCACAAGGCTGTTCTTTATCAGGTCCAAGACCACGAGATGGCAGTGGCCATGGTGGAGATTCTACTGATGGGAGGTGCTGACCCAAGGTAAACTAAATAAACCTATATATTTATTTTATTTTATTTTATATATATATTATATATATTTTATTAATATTTATAATGATGATGTAGATTGATGAACCGTAATAAGCTCACACCTGCAATGTTGGTCAATCAAAAATACAAAGATATCAAGGATATGCTGGAAGAGGCTACTGTATCCTATGGCATGGTAAATACCAAATATACCAAATATACCAAAAAAAAAACAATACATATAATTGGATTTTATTATTTACTCTTTTTTTTTCATTTTATCATTTTGCTTTAAATATTAGGATGATTCTGATATTGCACAGGAGGATGACAGTGGTAGCGAAATCCCGGAAGGTGAAGAGGTTTCGGATAGCGATTAGTCCGCTATAAACATAAGCACATAAGCACACATACACATACACATACACATACACATAAATGTACACCTACGTATATAAGAGAAGAGTATATATATATATATATATGAATATGGTGTGTGTATGCGTCTAAATGTATGTATAAAGTGGGTGTGTCTATGTGTGTGTGTATAGATTTATATGTAAATGTAGGTGTATATGTGAATACACACAATACACACATATACTTTGCATTACATTACATTACATTACATAGCATATCATTACATTGCATTACAGATATATATCTATATATCTATACTTGCATATTTGTGTGAATATTCTATTTGTACATCAGAATAAGCTAAAAATTAAACTAAATTGACATCTTCATTTTGCTTTAACACCAAGAGAAAATTATCAATTGTAATGATCATTTAAAGATAAAAACAGAGGAGAGCTGGTATAGAATTGGACTATGGTAGGGAAACAAAAAGAAAAGAAGGGCAACCACTAAAGAAAGAAAGAAAGAATGAGAGATAGATAGATAGATAGATAGAGCAGTCACTCGCTTTGTAATATAGATATTCTACTACAAAGAACGCTTATAGATTACGTCAACTTTTTTTTTTAGAAAAAAAAAAGAAGAATATATTTGTTCTTCTTTGACGCATCATGGTAATATATTGAACTTCATTTATGCATTTCATCATCTAACATTCAACGCCATTTTTTTTATCTACATCTACATCTACATCCACATTCGCGCCTACGTCTCTATCTCTATCTCTTTCTATTACTTTTACTTTTACTGTTATTGATGGTCATTTGTTCATTTGTTCGCCTTGTTCGCCTTGTTCGACTTATTCACTTAGGGAAACGCACAATCAAACCTGCCTCGTGGTAACGACAAAAAGCAGGATAAAAAACAAGAAAAGAAAAAGTGGGAGCCACCTGTGCCTACTCGTGTTGGCAAGAAAAAGAAGAGAGGACCTGATACAATTGCCAAATTACCACCAGGTAAAATGATAGCTATATAATTATATAAATATGCATTGTTGTATAATATATTCCAGCTTAAACTCTCTCTCTTTTTCTCTCTCTTTTTTTTCGCTTCAAGTGTTTCCTACTACACGATGCCGTTTAAAGATGTTGAAGATGGAACGCATCAAGGATTATCTTTTGTTGGAAGAAGAATTTGTTCAGAATCAGGAACAGTTGAAACCTCAGGAAGGCCGAGATGAAGAGGAACGGACACGTGTAGATGACTTGCGTGGTTCGCCTATGGGAGTCGGCTCACTTGAGGAAATCATCGATGATGACCACGTCATCGTATCTTCGTCTACTGGCCCAGAGTACTATGTGTCTGTCATGAGTTTTGTTGACAAGGACCTGCTTGAGCCAGGATGTAGTGTATTACTGCACCACAAGACCATGTCGGTAGTTGGTGTGTTGGCCGACGATGCTGACCCCATGGTCAGCGTAATGAAACTTGAAAAGGCACCGACCGAATCATATGCCGATATCGGTGGTCTTGAACAGCAAATCCAAGAAATCAAGGTAACCCCCCCCCCTTTTTTTTTTATTTATTATTATTATTAAAAGAGGAAATACGGATAAAAATAAAACTAGAAAGGGAAAGCGTGGAGAGAAGAGATAAAGAAAGGTGAAAGGAAAGGAAAGGGAAAAAAGGGGGAGTTTAAGTAAAAACAAACAAACAAACAAACAAACAAACAAGCAAGCAAGCAAGCATGTTATAGATAGATATTTAGATACATTTTGCTCATTTTGTTTTTCTTACATAAAAATAAACTGTACAGGAAGCTGTGGAATTGCCTTTGACCCACCCAGAACTCTATGAAGAAATGGGTATCAAACCACCAAAGGGCGTCATTCTTTATGGTGTTCCTGGTACTGGCAAAACATTGCTTGCAAAGGCGGTTGCCAACCAGACCAGTGCAACCTTCTTGCGCATCGTTGGTTCTGAACTGATCCAAAAGTACCTCGGTGACGGCCCAAAGCTGGTGCGCGAGTTATTTCGTGTAGCCGAAGAGAATGCACCTTCGATTGTGTTTATCGATGAGATTGACGCAATCGGAACCAAGCGTTACGATTCTACGTCGGGCGGTGAGCGTGAGATCCAGCGTACGATGCTTGAGTTGCTCAACCAGCTCGATGGATTCGATTCACGCGGAGACGTCAAGGTTATCATGGCAACCAACAAAATCGATAGCCTTGATCCGGCCCTGATCCGACCTGGCCGAATTGATCGTAAGATCGAGTTTCCCTTGCCAGATGTCAAGACAAAGCGACGCATTTTTGGTATCCACACTTCTCGCATGACTTTATCCGAAGATGTTGACCTGGAAGAGTTTGTGATGTCTAAAGATGATTTATCTGGTGCTGACATCAAGGTAATGGTTTTTTTATTTTATTTTATTTTATTTTATTTTATTTTATTTTATTTTATATATTATGCTGGACTTTAATTAAACGTTTAAATGTATTTTTATTGTGTGTTTCTGTAGGCCATTTGTACCGAGGCAGGTCTTCTTGCGTTACGCGAAAGAAGAATGAAGGTTGTTGCAGAGGATCTTAGAAAGGCACGCGAAAAAGTGCTTTATAGAAAGAGTGAGGGTACGCCCGAGGGTCTTTACCTTTGAAAAGAAAGACTATTTCTTGGTTTCTTTCACATTACCACAATCACTATTTTATATATTATATATTAAATATTAATGATAAAAAAAAATTATATATATACATTATACATATATTTTAAAAGTTTTCGTGTGCGTGTATACTATTTTCATTTTCATTTATAATATAATTATATCAAAGTAAGAAAATATTCAGATCTTATTAAAGCACGCCCTTTGTAACAAGGTGGGTGGCCAGGCGTGTTACGTCATATCTCGGTTCACAAAAAGCGAACAGAGGGTAGTCGTATGGCAGCCGGAAGATATCATCATTATTTCCAAAACTTGGAAGGATCAAAGAACCATCAAATGGATATTCCCGGAGTTAAAGAAGGCTTTATGTTTAGAGCCAGACTTGTGGTATTATTCCATTAAATTATATAATATTTGTTTTTAGAAGCCAATAATTTTATTTATACAGTGGGGGAAGGGCAAACGTTTTAATTCTTTTAAAATCCCGTTCATGAAGTTTATACTTCTCTACCAACAAACCCACCACATCCTGTGTCAAGAGCCTATATTAATGATAATACTTTCTGTCAGAAAAGATCATACTGGGAAGGTGTACCAATTTTAATAAATAGACTCCATATCTATATGTCTCTTCTCTGCTTTTTTAAATTATTACACAGTAATTTACCAAAGCCAGTTTTATTTACTTACATACTTCATTCAAAAAAGCTCAAAGTAAGCATTTTGAAGATGGAAAGGAAAGAAATAATATGGAAATACCTTCCTTCTAAAAGGAGCCCAATAAAAAGAAGAAGAAAAAGGCAAGATAAGTAGCAATTATTAACTAACTTGTCTAGTACTAACCACAAAACTAATTATGCAATAAACACCACGATCTCTGCCCCACAAACAACGCCTGGCACCTCGAACGGGTATCACGAAGCCTTTCAAGAAGACTCGGATGATGACTTTCAGCCTGATCTTACTGTTAGAAAGAGGACAATTGCGTTTTATTACAATATACTTTTAATGCATGACCAATCTAACACTAAAAAAAACATAAGGCAGAGAAAATACTTAAAATGAAGGCTCTCAAACAAAGATTTGCTCTTACTAAAGATATGTTTGTAAACGAACTGGCAGCATGCATTGAATTTGACTTCGAAACTTTGTCAACAAGGGTTTTTTTGCTGAAGTTTTCTTGAGCCTTGATATTAAACAAGTACATGATGGTAGCCAGTCTGAAGAATTCAAATTTGAAAAATGCAACAACAGCATATAAACAATTGATTGCTAAACACAAAGAATCTTATTTTAAACATGCCAGATATATACCACCACATTTACCATATACACAACACATAACTTTATAAGAATGTGCTAAAATTCAAACCACCTACTAAAACAATATCAAAGGCAATTCTGGTAATATATTACGTACGATATTGAACACATTGCTTAGAAAAGAGGACACGCTGAATAATATCTGCAAGAGAATGAAAGCCGAAAGGTCTACTGAAGAAGCTATAAAATAAGCTGGTCGTAAAGAGGTTCTTAACCCTTATATTCAAGCGAATTTTGATGTTCCGAATAAAAACGTATCTGAAGATGGTGTCTTGAACCAGAAATCAAGATCATATATACGAGCTTTGCTTCCCTTTACGAGCGACATTCTATTCCGGCATATAGCACATTATATAGCAAGATTGTAAATCATCGTGTTCTCAAAAACAAAAAGCCTGTAAAGAGCGAAATTGAAACATGGGATCCAGTGGTTGAATTGAAGAAAAGAAGCCTTTAAAGATCAAGGTATAAATTAGTTCGTTCACTTTAATGGAACTATTGAAAATGGCGGCATTGGTGCTTCTATCCTTGAACCGAATATTGCTACTACTAGAAAAAACGCTTCAGCTGATGATGACTCTAAAATTGCAACCAAAAGGCATAACTAAAAAAAATGATGACACGAAATACATTGAAGCGATAGCACGAGCGGGATTAGCAAATACGATTGACAAATGAGTTTTTAGTTGATCCTGGGCGACGGGACATTTTATACTACATTAAAGAAACCAGCATGGCCCAACAAAAAGAATTGCTTATTTTTTTTAGGAAAAATAGCAGATCAAAAGGGTCAAGAAACTTCAAAAATTTGCGAAAAGCAACAATGCCCTTTATGATAAAAAAATACAGAAATGATTCTTTCGAAGTCTCGATCATCTACTGTAAATGTAGAGAAGTTTGTAAAGCATATAAAAACAAGAGCTTCTGTGGGAAAATTGTTATGGCAATACCAAGGAAATGAGATCCAAAAGTCTAAAGAGGTATATTTCCCTGATTTTTTGTTTGACTTTTGTGTGGATGAGAGGAATAACTTATATTTTGGGCACCTATACGTCACAATAATTCGCGACAACGCTACTTCTCCTGAGAGCTTCACATAGTCTCGGCTATATACTACTTACATACGATTAATGCTTTGACAGAAACATGTCTCAGAACGATTGTATAATGCAGTCAAGGCTAAAGTGCTTGTACTTGCAGATAAGATGTTCACAAGTGAACAAACCAGCTGTTAGAAAAACTGCATGTCCTACCAAACTCAAGTTGGAATTGTCTAGCAAAGTTTATTACGATTAAAATAACAATACATTGATTAGACACTTCAAGAAAAAGTTTGGTCATGGCACCATTTTGATGTTAGGGAATTGGTCGGTCCAAAATACAAAAAATTTATGAGCCAACAAGGAACAAGGGCTTAATTCGTATACTGAAGAAGAATTGGATTACAGTATATCTTATTGACGAATTCAAAGCATCTTCAAAATTTCCAAATTGTGAGGAGGATTTAGAAACGTTTGAGACGATAATCAATCCTTGCCCTTACAATAGAGGTGATATGCCAACAGTGAAGTGTCACGGACTATTGGGGTATATGATAACTCTACTTTTAATTAAAAACCGAATTTGTAAAATGATAATAGCTACTTTCTGGCTTATTAGGTGTAAAAACTCCAAATGTCTTGCTAAAGAATCTAAAAGAAAATCATGGAACAGGGATCTAGCTGCAGTATTAAACTTTCGAAAGATATTGATCAACTTAAGGAACACAACCAAACACCCAGATATTTTTTTCCAAAAAACCAGAATATAAGAAAAAAAAAAGACTAGAAACTTTCCGCCCTGGTTATTGCCAAGGCAATTTAATGCAGGTAGCTCATATACATGCTTTAGCTGAATGAATGGGTTTTTAAGGCGGTAAGAAAATAGAGTTTTTGTTAATTTGAATGAATTTTCATCGGACGTTTAAATACATCAAGGCTTTTGCGCTTTCAGTATTACAGCACTAAAAGAGAGAGAGAAAAAACAATGTCGACGTTTCAAAAATAAGTTAAATTAGAGCAAATTCTATCAGGGAAAAGGTCTTGCCAAGGCCGAAACTATTGAGGAAAAAATAAGAGCAAAAATACAATTTTTATTATTAGCTTCGTAAATATTTTGCTTTTTCGTTTTAACAGGAAAATAAAAATTAAACTTGGCTTATAAGAAAAAGAGAGGCATTTTTATATATAAATAAATAAATAATTAAATAATTAAATAATTAAATAATTAAATAATTAAATAATTAAATAATTAAATAAATATATATATATTTATTAACACCATTCTTGGTTTAAATATCCGCTATTTCACCTTATACTCTTCTTCTTCCTCTTCCTCTTCTTCTTCTTATTTCCATATATATATTATTTATCTAAAAAGACTATTAAAATCATTAATATTAATATTGATATTAATATATTAAATATATTAATAAAGATATATATATATATATACATTTAATAGTAATAATAATAAAAATCATTCAATATGAAACTTCGTACTCGACTGATAGTTGCCGTGGCCAGTATTAGCTTTCTAGGCTTAGTGGCAATTTTCGGCCTATACAGAGAATCGATCATGACAGGCAAGCAAACAGCTAAGCAAGCAAGCAAGCAAGCAAGCAAGCAGACAAATAAAAAACAGAATTCAAATAAACACACACACACACATACATACATACATACATACATACATAAATATATATAAGAACAATATAACAGAATATAGAATCCGACAGTTTGGATAATGTCACTCATCATTCCATTTGTTCATTTGTTCATTTGTTCATTTATTAGTCATTCAGCATGGTGCAATCAAATTGCGCATCACACCATACAGTTCACTCTTGGCTGTTCTGTTGATCGTTATTGTGTCTATCCCACCTATGATTGGATTTGTGTCCTCAGTTACTTTAACTGGTTTTGTCTACGGTTTTCCCGGGGGCATTATACCGGCCACCACTGGTAATATATATATAGCGATATAAAGAGTAATAGAGAGAGCATTTTACTAAATCTATTATTATTATTATTATTATTATTATTATTATTAATGCTCAGCTTTTATTTTATTATAAAATGTATGGTATATAATCTAATTAAATTATTTCTTATATTTTCAAGGTGCCATGATTGGGTCCTCACTTGCTTTTTGGCAAGTAAATACATATGTCTTGTGTAAAGGAAACAATATACATGTTTTATGCATATGCATTTAAATATATCAAGATATATATAAATACTAAATTTTTTCTTTAAAATTAATTAATCGTATTTTACTTTACTTTATTTTATTTTATCTTATAGGATTATTCGCCGATACCCGCTTGCTCGTTTTGTGCATCTTTCTCCTGCCAAGCAAGCTACCTACAAAGCACTCGAGGAAGCAATTGAGCAAGGTGGATTAAGGGTAAATTATTCATCTATTTGGTGTTTCAAAATATATGGCCAGAAAGAAAAGAAGCCTTTTTTTTAAAAAAAAAATATGTACACCTTTCATGTTATACACTTTAATCTATTGTTTGTTTGTTTGTTTGTTTGTTTGTTTTTATCATTATCATTATTGGATTTATTCCCATGCTTTCTTTTTCATTCTTCTTTTTGCCTTTAAACGTTCATTTCACTCAATGATATGCCTTTGTTGTATAGATAATGATACTACTTCGTTTGTGTCCTCTTCCTTGGCCATTAGTAACCTTGCTGTTTTCCATGATTCCAAACTCTCGGTGGTCAGATTTCCTGATTGCTACTGGGGTCGGCATGATCAAGGTTACGCTTGAGGTGTGGATTGGCTCCCAATTGGCCAACCTATCCGATCCAAACCTTCCGCCATCTGCACATCGGGTAGCACTGGGCATGATGTGCGGCGGGTTTGTATTATTGCTCGCAATTGGCTTCTGGCTCTATCGTCTGACGATGGCTAAAGTGCGGCAATTAGCAGACAGAGAAATACCCGAGAATATAAACGAAACACAACAGCTATTGATCTACAAACAGCCTGATCTCGAAGCTCTCGAAACCCTCGAAACCCTTGGCTCACCCTTGTACAAAAACGATACCAAGATTCAATTGAACTCATAAAAAAAACAAGAAAATCCAAAAAAACAAAAACTTATATCTACATTTATCTATCTATATAATTATAGCCCTTATGAATATAAACCATAACCTCAACAACGACAGTACCAATAGTAATACTTAATACTTAATGATAAAAAAATAATAAAAATAAAAGCAGTCTTTATTTGATATGGACAAGAAATAATTAAAAGAAAAGTGAGGTAGAAAACGCAAAAGCAGATATGATTTCTTACTTTGCATATTTTACATTTTTCATTTGATACACTACTTTCCTGAAGAAGAGGTAGCTTAAGATTAGATTTGATGATTTATTTCATTTAAATAAATAAATAAATAAATAAATAAATAAATAAATAAATAAATAAAGAGTACACTGCTTGTAAATATTAGTGTGGAGCAATTGATATTAAAACAAGACAGGGAGTAGGGTAAGGTAGGGTAGAATACAGTTAAAAAGCGTATGGTGGCGTAGGAAATGAATAATAATAATAATAGTAGTAATAATAATGATAATCTAAAAGACGATTAAAAACCATATTTAGAAACCAAACCAATTGATTTATGTACAAAATTTAATGAATTTAATATACACGTATATTTATGGGTTTAATATTCATAGCCTATTTTTTCTTACTTACCTCAATCATGGTTCTGGCAATAAAATCGTAGGAAACTCTTGCTTACATTTCTTGCAAACACACTATGACATTATTAAGGATTTTATTAGAAGAAAACAACAGACTTTCTAAATTACTCCATTACCACTCTTTTCCCTCGATAACCACATAAATAGGGAAGAACGAGAATAGCAAACAATAGGGTTCCGTTAGTGTAGTGCATCCTTAGTTCATGCAGTCCACCATCTACACATGTTGGTCCAAGCGATTCTTGAATGCGATACCGTTCTCGAATAAATTCTGGGACGTTTTCCATAGTAAAATGAATAAAGACAAAGATATATTTTATGTGAAAAAAGAATAAGAAGAAGAAGTAAAAGAGAATATTTTTATTTATTTATTGATAAAACACTATTAGTATGATGGTTAAATGATTGAGTTTGAATCACATTTTTATATTATATATAGATATTGTATATATGTTTGTGCTTATAAGAGTGTAATTGTAATTGTGAATGTAATTGTGAAATTTGTGTATATGAATGCATGAACAAAGTCACATAATTGATTTAACTCGACTCTTCATCCTCTGGATGTTTTACTGCAACTTCCTCACGGGTACGACATTCAGCCTTCAGTGCCTCTGTGTTCCAATTGCTGGTCCACACAACCGCAACGGTTACAAGACAGGATACAATGAGAGCGCCTACCAGACCAGCCCAGATGCCAGTGAGACCCCAGCCGGAGCGGAAACAGAGATAGAAACCAACAGGCAGCGCACACACATAGTAAGCCACCAGATTGCACCAGGCACCGACATGTTGACGGCCTTGTCCGTTCAAGACACCATCGGCGATTCCGGCAATGTTGTCTGCAAATACAAACAGGGCGACCCAGGGTAAGAGTTTCGCAACCGCAGACACGACGTCAGGATCGCTGGTGAACATGTAGGCCCACTTGTGACGGAAGACGAGTAGCAAAAGACTGTTTAATCCGGCAACGAGTACGGCTGCGTAGATTGCAGTGTGGGCAGCGATTCTGGCCTGCTGTGGGCGCTGGGCACCCAGCAGGTTTCCGACCCGGTTGGCCGAAGCGATTCCGACACCAAATGCGAGTGTGTAGAGTGCGGTAATGGAGGTGAGGACAACACTTTGTGCTCCCAGACTAGTGGTATCAATCCAGCTTGCTCCAAACGCAATGATCTCATAGGCCCAGGTCTCTGTACAAATCAAGAGAATTCCAGGGATGGCAAGTCTGGACATGGGACCCCAAGCACGCCATTCGAATGCTTGACGGGTAGACCATGCTGGCCAGACCTGGTAGCCGTCCACACGGTAGATATAGAGAGCCATAAAGATAACGATGAGCCAGTAAGTCAGACAGCTGGCCAGTGGAGCACCCGAGAAGCCAAGTCCAAGCGTCGAGGACCAGACCAAGACATAGCTGAGCAGAATGTTGATCGGAGCACCCATCAGGAGAACAAGCGTCGGGGCGCGGAAGATGCCTTGGGCCTGCAGCATTTTCTTCAGAGCTTCAAAGATCGCAAAGGCTGGTGCACCTAGGATCATCCAGCGGACGTAGCAGCCCGCAAGACGGGCCACTTCAGGATCCTGTCGAAGGAGCAGGAACACCGATTCGGCAAACCACCACAGAACGCAGACGGGGATGTAGAGGACGGATAGAAAGGCAAGACAGCGCTGGACATGCAGACCGACGATCTTCTTGTCGTCTGCACTTGTGAATGCCTGGGAGCACAAGGTATCGAGCGCCAAAGTTCCACCTGTGGCAACTGAAAGGCCAGTGACAGTGACGAACATACTGCCTAGGGAAGCCGAAGCGAGTTCAGTGGCACCCTTTTTTTTTATTATTATTTATAAAAAGTAGAAATAATTAGAGAATTAGAATACAATGGTATGAGTTTTAATATCTGATATAAACCAAAAAAATAATAATAATGAAATGAAATAGAAGAGTAGATCTTGATTTCTTTATACATACCAAATGGCCAGCGCTAATTACGCTTACACTCTGGAGACTGTTCTGCAAGAGGTAGCTGAGGACAAGCGGCATGGCATTGTTGATGAGCCATTTGAATTCTTGTTTATAGGCCTTTGAGACCAAAGGACTCTTTGAAGTCAAGAGAGGGGTATTTTCTGTTGGTGACATTTTTGTGTATGTGTATGTGTATGTGTATGTGAATTGGATTTATGGTAATATAATGATATTATTGTCGTATATGCTTTGTGTGGGTTGTTTCCAATGTGTGTTCATCAAATCAGAAGTGAGAAATGCCGTGTGTGGAAGGGGCTTGTAAAGGCACAAAGAATATAGGAGTAGCAAAAAGCCAAGGAAGAGGTAGAAGTAGAGATATAAAAGGAAGTAGAAGAAGAAGACAAGGAGAAGAAGAGCAAGAAAAATTATCAGAGCAGCAGGAGTTGGACCCTTTTTATTATTGAAAAGATCGGATGCCTCTTGGCTTTCTTTTCCTTTGACGGCGCCTCATTTTGGACGGAGTGCAGAGGATAAAAAAATAAAATAAAAAATAAACCTCCTCTCCACCCCCCCTTTTTTTTTTCGTTTGCACTTGAACGCAGCCAAAAATGAATCTTTCATGTAGTGCGATATTCTCCTGGTCTTCTAGAGATTTGTGCACCTACTAACGTCAGACCACCAGCCCCATTTTTCTGTTTCCCTCTTGAATCCTAAATAGAAAAATAAAAACCATACATTATCAGTATGGCATCATCGGCAAGCTGCCCAGAATGGATTTCTATTGTTCTGCTTATTGGACACCATTTCCCACTCTCATTTTATATCATATACACTTTTCTTTTTATATTTGGCTGTGAATCTAAATCTAAAAGTGAATGTGACTTTGGTTTTTCTAGAAGTTTGAATTTTATTTTTATTTTAAATTTTTGTCTATACAAGTAACAAGGTCGTAGTGCTTACCAATAAGCTAGTGTTCTCTTGCCAAACATAGGTGTGCTAGTTGTCTTTAGGGGAATAAGCTCTGATTCTTTATGGATAGTTGAACAAGATGCAGATATAATATATCATGTGTAACTGATTGCTATACTTAGAAGTGTTATTATCTTATATATGAAAATATATAAAAGGCTCTCTGACTTGCTACAAAAGAGGTATCGATTGGCCAAATACGGTCCCACAACTCTTGATTTTACCTTAATCGTGTCTCGTTCCTAACACACAAGCAAATTATCTGTTGACCCCGCTCCGACTTTAGATGTGATCACAAAGCCCTTGGTAAGAAGAAGAAATGTTTAAATTTTGAAACCCACCAAGTGTATCCTGTCAAAAACCAAAAAAAAAAAGAATAATATACATGTACGTGGCTAGAAAGACATGAATAAAAGTGTTTTTATTTAATAGCTTTGGATACCTTTTGTGAAATTAAATTCCTCCAGGAAAATACAAAGAGTTTATGATGCAATAGAGGATTGGTGGTGGTATATGACATGTGTATGGTACATAAAAGCAAGACAGTAACCTGTTATTTATATAATCTGTAATGATGATACTACAGTCGTGTAAGGAATGTAAGGACAGCAGCAAATACTGTCAAGAATGCTTCTTTCATGCACATCAAAACGAACCTGCAGACCATGAAGCAGCAAAGCACAAAAAGAAAACGCACAAAATGATAGTATTCTTGTTTTTTGAATATTGCTTGGCTCGTACCTTTTGGTCTTCTATATCTCTGTGGCGAGGGTCAACGGTAAAGCCATATGCCGCTACCATATTTGTACGCTTCCACACAATCACCAAGAAAACCATTTCAATAGTCAGAGACTTTGCTGTATCATAATCGAAACATTTCAAAGGTCGCACGATGTATGCGTTGGCGGTATTAATATGATGCAAAAAAAAGAATAGAAAAAGTATTAAAGGTGTACAGACTGAATAACAAGGTTTGACTCTCTTGTCACCTTTACTCTCACACCATAATTTATTTATATAAAAAAAGAAAAGAAAAATAGCGGAGTTGGACCTCTTCAAATTGAACAAAAAAAAAAAGCTTTTTCTTTATTTCTTTTTGGTTTTGCTTATCCGCTCAACTTCATTAACACCATCCTTAATATACAAATATATTAAATGAGCTGATGCACATACACTATAAAGATAAAAATAAGAATAATCTTTTGTCCAGTTTATATTGATATAATAATATTATTTTGCGAGTCAACCATGTATGTGTGTATTGAATTTTAGTCATTTTCTTTAATTCATTTATATACTTCTTGTAATTACTATATATATATATATATATTCAATTGATGTCTATCTATTGTTGTTATAATATATTTGGGGTACCTTGATTAAATCTGTAATATAATAAAACTAGACAAGGCAAAGTCTATTTACCTTGTTTGGTTCTTCTTTTTTTTTCTATCGATAAAGCAAATGAAATCTAAAACACAATACATAGATACATATAACAACTTACATTTCTTATGATAAGATGGTTTATTCAGTTGAATTTCAAAAAGAGAGAGAGAGGGAGAGAAAAAGAAGAAGATCTTATAGGCCATAGATTGAGATAAAGTAAGAAACTGATTAGCTGGGTTTTCCTGCATGTGTTTTTATTTATTTATTTATTTATTTATTTATTTATTGTAAATCACATCTTTCTGATAGTTTCACAAGATGAATAAATCAATACGGTTGCACAATAGCCTTTTTTTTCTGTACAATAATTTTATTTTTAAAGACTCTCAAGACTTAAAGAAGTGTATGGTATTACAAACGTACGGTCCAGACAATCATCTCTAATTCAAACGTTGTATTTATTTAACTCAAGACCAATACAATAGTCCTTTTTCTGTTTTTTATTATTAAATATCAATACACATACTTTTGTATTGTATTTGTTTTAATGAACGCTAAGAGGTATCATAATAATAGACATTTATTCATTAAATGAAGACCCAGTAAAGTAAAGTAAAGTTAAAAAAAAAAGACCATCAAATCAATCAATTAATCAATTGCTTGTTATGATAGAGCTACCAGTCATTAACCTTGCAGGCATTAAGACTCTTCCCTTTAACCATTTCATTACCCTCCAAGTTAAATCTCCAATTGTGCTTCGTGCACACAAGTGTGTTACCCAACACATTTCCCCAGGTCACCAAATCAACTCCCTTGTGAGGACAGAACCGATTGCATTCATATACACCATCAGTTGTCTTGACCCGAATCCGGTTGCCATTCACAGGCTCAATGGGTCTACCAGAGAACACCTTTTTAGAACCAGGAGAAGTCTCAGGTGTAGGACCAGCAGCATCCGGACCACCACCGCCATTATTAGTAGTAGGATCAATGGTTGAGTCTTTTGTAGGTACAGTTGCATGTGAATTGTTTTCATCCTCAGAGCTGTCTGATGAATCACTCTTCTTCTTGTAAGATTTGTTTTTCTTTTCTACAAAAAATAAAAAATAAAAAAGAAGAGCATTGTCAATGAGCTTTCATTCTGTCCCTTTTCATATTTCTAATCCTCACTATATCGTGTTTTATATAGATGCTTAAAATAAATCCAAGTCAATCTTACTCTTTTGATATTTTGGGCTAACGGCTGCTCTAAGAAGATCTCTAACAAGGGGTAACAGTGGAATAACCTATTGTCAATTGGTGCGCACACGTAAACCAATTGATTTAATAACTGTGATTATAGTCTGTAATTCATGAATTCCCCTCCTTTAATATAGGTAGGTATATCACCTTCCAGCTATTATCTGACAGATCACGGAGATCGCGAACCTAAGGATCAAGCTCATTAGCATTTCATTTCATTACTTTTCTTTTTGTTTAAAAAAAAATAAGATTATGTGATTCACTTACAAAGCCAAGACGATTGGCTTCAAGAATGTCAATGTCGCTGTCAATCTGGTCTTCAGTCCATGATCTTTCTTTGCCGATCTGTTCTATCAATGTAGATGTTCTCTAAACACACCATTGTCAGTTTACGCTACAAAAAAAAATCCATATATACACCACAGTTCATTATATATGCATATATATATATATATATATATGTGTGTGTGTATGTGTATACGTGGGTATCAAAGAAGCTAACCATAGAGTCTGGCAAGGGAACGTTCTCAATCTCTAGATATACATTTATATGTTTAAAACAAATGATAAGACTTGTGACTTTACAATCGTTTTTTATTATTATTTACCATAACCTGCATTCTTTCCAGAAGAGGCAGGAAGGGAGTCAAGATAAGACTGGTACATATCAAAGCTCTTCTTGTTCTTTCCCATGGCAACAACGATAAGGTAATGTAAGAATTTTGTTTTAAAAAAGAAAGAAAGAAAAAAGAAGTGAAAGAAGAAGTGAAAGTGAAAATGAGTGAGAGGAAGAGTCTGACTTTTAATTATGCGATTGCAGAGGGATTCAAGACTTGAATTTCATACATGCATTCGGTAATACAATTCATCAAATGATCAATTGTTTGTTGTCTCTGAAGAGTCTGATGATATTCATCACTCGCCAGCATCTCCTCAACCATTCCCTTGACCTCTTCTACGGTCTGGTATGTCTCTGCTGCTTCCTGAGCTGTGATGTCCACCTTTTCCTTCAATTCAAGATATCCAGGTATCGATTCAAACGACAGTTGGACATCCTTGATTTCATTCTCAACCTCTTCAATCTCCTCCTCCATCAATTCAACCTCTTCCTGGAGTCGTCTGGTCTCCTTCTTTTCGGCTCTCAGGCACTCTTCTCCCTTTTCTCGCTTTTGCCGAACAAGGTACACCTTGTGCCGGAGCTGTGCCATGTGTTGATCGGATACTTTGGACTCCGGTAAAGCATTGACCTGTTCTGGTTTGGGTGGTACGACTAGACGAACACCTCTTTCTCTTTCTCTTTCTCCTTCTTCAGAAACTGGACTGTGCGCCTTGAAAGTCTGGGGTGCAATCTGGTTTTCCTGATAAGCCACCATCCCAAGACCATTTTCAGATGGTGACCGACGAGGAAACTCTAATGGATCTTTGTAGATGTCACGAAGAGGACTTCGGTGTTGAGTGTCTTGACCAGACAACTTTTTTTTTTTTGGATGTTATTGTTATTAAATAAGCGAACAAACAAAACAGATAAATAACAAAGTTCTTAATTAGCATATATTAAAAAATAATAATATGTACTCATTTATTTATAAATGAGTACAAGAAGTAATAATACCTTGTCTTTAGGATTCATTGGACTAACATGGCTTTTGGAATCTAATGTATCTTTGACTAATGTGATCTAGATGAACATTAATAAGAATAACAAATACAATAAATGTTTCTTTTTATATTAATGCTTATATATATTTATTTATTTAAAAAAAAGTTAAATAGATAAATGAGGCATGTATAAGAAAGACATATATAGGAATCCAAGGTTGGATCAGAGTATACCTTGTGACTAATGGTTCCTGGTGATGGTGATCGTGCGTTCTCTCGGTTGATCGTACTCATGATTGCTATTGGGTGAATGGAACAAGACAAATGGTGGTTTAAGAATGAAGTTACTGATTACTGAAAAGTGACGTGGATTTATTTATTTCCTCACTGCATTTATTTAATTAAATGTATATATATATATATATATATACATATACATACATGCATACATATATTGTCAAGACAATACACCTTGAACAATGTACATCATACTTGGATTGGACCTTCTTATTCTACAAATATACAAGAAATTTAAACAACTTGATTCACATACGCATACATCATTTTTATTGATCTGTTGCTTTTTTTTTTTAAAAAAAAAAAAGAAAAACAGGAAAAGAACAAGGATGAATTATCCATAGTTGATAAAAAAGATATACATTCTAATCAAATGGTTTTCTTCCCACTTTCTTTGTAAAGCGTTGAATGTCATCAAGCAAAAGAGCATCTTCTTCAAGTGCAGCAAAATGGCCACCCTGATGATAGTTAATATAAAACGCACAGACAAATTTGGTTAATTATCACAGCATTTGTACAGTACCAAGAAAGAAACCAAAGAAGAAGAGTTAGAAAAGATTAATTGAAACTAATTTTGTTTTCTTACCAGATTATGTTTTGTGAAAAATACAAGGTTAGCCGTGAGATTAATCCATTCGGCTGGCATCTATAAATCCCCACACGCATACGCATATACAAATATTAAGAATATTATGTATAGACATTGGTATTGGACTTACTTTCATCATTTCGCCTTCATAGATAGTGTACCCATGAGGAATAGAAATGGCCTCAAGTGATAGAGAATTCACCTGCTTTCCCTGGAAAACCTCATAGTACAGACGAGTAGAGGGACCAATGGTTTTTGTCATCCAGTAGATTGTTCTTTCATTAGAAAGAAAGAAAAGGGACACATGTCTTGTGTAAATATGCAGAATCTGTGTAGGTCTTGCCTGTCATTTGCTATACTATACATTTGAGTCAGGAATTCATCTTGAGTGATAGTATCAGGCAAAACCGTGCCCTCAGTGTCTCCAGGGTGATAAGTCCAGGCGTGGTATTTTTCCAGTAGCCAAGCTTAAGTAGTCCAAAAAGTTAACATATATGTATATACATATATTTATAGATTGAAACAAACTCAAAAACACACACACACACACATACCTAAAAGACCAACAGGACTATCTGTGAGGGAATAGGCCAATGTATAAGGACGTGTGCCCTGAATGGCTCGGTACCCAGCATCATTATTGTTCTCAACATCCATAAACGACCGACCAACAATTTTAACCGCACCGTTTCCGTAAACAGCGTCAAAGCCAAGAGGAATACTGGATAGAAACTTGACAACCTGAAGAGGGTGGGACATGACATTCTTGACTGTAGGTATCGGAGGAACAGACAAGGGCATTGATGTCAAGAAAGCTTTACAGTTTTCAGATCTATGGACAGCAATCCACTTTCCAATCACAGCTCCCCAGTCGGTACCAAAGACCACTTATAAAAGAAAACCAAACAAGGATTATAAGTATAATACATGAGAGCTGTACTAGTATCAGACCAAATCAAAGCAAGATACAAGAAATAAGAAATGAAACAAAGTAAGATTACTGTATTTGGTATAGCCGAGTTTGACCATGAGAGTATTGAAGATGCTTCCCATCTTCCCACAGTCAAAGCCGGTGGTCGTAGGAGGGGATGAGAACCCATAGCCTGGAAGACTAGGAACAACAACATGGTATGTCTGGAATAACTCCATTAATCAATAATGAATGAATTGATAAATGAATTGATAAATATACATCTATGAATTTAATGAAGTTACAAGAACCTGTCTTTTTCTTTTCTTACCTGTCCTCCATTGACACCATCTCTTAGAGGGTCAATTAATTTGTGGAACTCATAAAATGTGGATGGCCATCCATGGAGCAAAATGATAGGAATAGCATCACTCTTGGTAGAAGGCTCATGCACAAAATGTAGGTTGATATCCTCAATATCTCCTCGGTAGTGCTTCCAGCGGTTCATTTCTGCGCGTGATTTTTCCCAATCAAACGCGTTTCTCCAGGCATCAACCATGGGAGCCACAGCCCAACGAGGCGCACCATAGGACCACCCGACATTGGCATCAAGCTCTTGAGGATAATGCACATTCGCCAGTCTGTTTGCCAGTTCTTCCTTTTGGCTTTCAGAAAGGCTCGGAATACTAAAGGGTACAAAAGACATATTTAAAGAAGTAAAAATAATGATGAAGAAGAAACTGAAAAATATATATATGCACATAATTTCTGTCTATTTAAATAGAAATAATGCTGACTATTATTGTAGCTGGACCGAAATTTCTTTCTATTCTTTTTTCTTTTTATGAAAAAAAAGTCTATAGAGAGGAATTTGGCGTTAAATCACGATGTTTATGTTATACAGAAACTCTAATACCTCAAGACAGCCACAGTAGCCATGATCCGCAGCACTTACTTGAATTAATATCACAATAGCTTCCGAACCACGATCAAAATTACATAGAGTAAATAAGGAAGCCCTTTAGTCAAATGCTAGTTGTATAGATATATAAAATATACATTTGGCTAGTAAGTGATTTATTGTTGTTGATAAGAACTTTTTTTTTCAGTCAAAAGAAACAGTCATTTGTTGGATTTTAGTGTGAGACTTGGTAATAAGAGATTAAATATAGAATGCGTGGTTAAAGGCAGTCCTCGGATGTCTTGTAGATGGGAAAGTGGATTCTAATGCTATATGTTAAATAGCTTTGAATAATTATATAGATTGTTACACTATTCAAAAGAGAGAGAAAGAGATAGGGAGAATTGAGTGATGTGAAATGCTAAAGAAACAGACCTGATCCACTAATTCACTCCATTAAGCAAGAATCATAAATACTCAAATATTGAGTAGATATTTTACAAGCCAAAGAATCGTCCAAGACCTTTTCAAATAATGTACCTTGTCCTTGTCCTTACTCTTATATAATACATACTAATTGAGGTAAAATAATAAATTAAATTAACAAAGGATTATTAGGGACTATTGTTAAATGAAGCACCCTAATCAAACACAATAGAAGAGACACTTATAGATATGTACCTATGCGCCACATCCCCTTTACTCTTCACCCTTCACCCTTCTCCTTCTCCTTCTCCTTCTCCTTCTCCTTCTCCTTCTCCTTCTCCTTCTCCTTCTTCTTCTACTTCTTCATATGTATATATTATAAAGGCCATGTTACTTAAAGGGATGAGCTTCTATTGTAGGAAATAGCATTCTATTTTAGAACTTTATAACAAATGGTCATTAAACTATCCCTTGACTGTGCATTGTACTTTTATTGACATATGTCACTGTCATACGGTGGGATCCTTGGAATTACCTCTGTAGATCATTACAATAATCCAATCCAATTTAAATTTAAATAACATAAATAAAACAATGTACCAAAATAATAATAATAATAATGTTATCCCCTACCCCTACTTCCTTCAAAGTAAAGAGAGAGAAATTACAGCATTTCTACACCCTTTGTATTCATTTGTTTTGCCACATCAAGGGTCCACACACAAACCTGTATTTTTCAAGTCACACAAGGTTGTCAGAATAGTGAATCTGCTGCTGCCTGTGCAAAATATTGATACTATTGCCTTAATCTAACCCAACACTATAACCACATTATTAGAAATTTGACAAAAGGAGTACCGATGCCAATATGAGTAGCAGTGCCAGTAGCAGTACCGGTACCAGAATTGGAGAGAAATGAAAATGAACAGGTAAAATAATACAAAACAAAAACGGCCATGGCAAGAGTTCCATTAGTGTGCCATAAACACACAAAATCCGGTTAATGGATTTTGATCATCGCCAGCTAGAATAGATAGACTTTGCCAGGTGGGGTTTTTACCAGGACAGAATTAAACGATCGACATCTTTGATATATAACTATATATATATATATATATATATAAATATATATACATACAGTTGATAATGGAACTTTTCTTTTTGCTTTACCATTCAGACGCTTCAGTTCTTTATTCACTTTGATGATATTTCGAAAAACTTAGTCATAATATCTTTCGGGAGATCTTTTTCTCCCTATAATTATAATTACTATTATACATTATATATAATATTAATATTAATATTAATAATAGTAGATAAAATATTTAAAGAAGCAGGAGCGTTTCAAAGATACCAAAACACGGAGATCAATACCGGACTACGGAATTCCTCTTTGAAAAAAGCTAAGCATAGAACACACTTCACTGATCTACACCGAGTACTTAAAAAATAAAATAAAAATAAAAAATAAAATAAAAACCGATGCATGTGCTCGTATTTTAATGTTACACGGACCTAACACATCCTACAGTGTACCACAGCATACTCTGAAAGATATATATATATATATATAAATATATACATATATAAATATATACATATGTGTGTGTGTGTGCGTGTGTGTGTGTGTGTACTGCAACAATGGTCAATACGCTTTTAGTCAAAGCTGATCCTCATCTTATTTAACTCTTCTCTTGATAAACTCGTAGTGCAAAAATCAATTATGTACCCAATAAGATGAGTTTGATTATGTTTACGCTTAGTGAGCAAAATAATACAACAACAACAACAACAACAACAACAATAACAACAACAACAACAGCACCAGCAACAGCAACAGCAACAGCAACAAGAAAACCAAGAAAAGCCAATACTAAAAGATAAAATACCATAGAATAAAGGCCGCAGCGTTTCAAATTAGCCATCTAATTGCACCTACTAAAGTCTTACTTGGACACTTGGACACTTGGACACTTGGACACTTTGATATATATATGAGTGTATATATAAGCATATATACAGTCCTCACAAAGTATCGGTTAGTAGGCAGGTGGTCCAGATCACTGCACCATTGTTTCCCAAAGCCGAATGCGGCGTCCCAACCTAGCAAGGCAAGAACATAGTGACACATTACCTGATTTAGTTTCCTTTACTTGATGACGACAAGCCATAATAAATTCAAGGGACAGAGAGAGAGAGAGAAAGAGCAAGCTTTTCCCTTCATAGTTATTCCCTCCTTTTGGTTTATTTATTTTTTTATTTTTTGGTTGCTTTTTTTTTCTTCCAACCCCAGGCTTACAACTCAAATGCAATCACACAATGATCCCAAAATCCCACCCAGCCAAGAACTATCATCACTGATATCTCAATTCAGTGAAGAAGTTCCAGCTGCATCTCCTGTGTTTGAGGGTCATCTCTACCTGAGGACAGAAAAGAAACAATGGCAATGGCGACTCTTTCGCTTTGACGGATCCTCATTCACCTGTCTCTCTACACGTAAAGTTAAACTACCGCCCAACACAGCTGTCGATGGACCTAGCGATCCAAACTTACAACTCAGCTTCCTGCAAGCCTCTCCACCAACCTCCTTTACCTCTCCACTTCTTGCGACACCAAAAAAACAACCCCACATTCGATTAACATCAAAAAGCAACCAGTTAAAGAACCAATCTCAAGACCCAGAACGTGTCATGGCTAGCTACTACCAATTACCAAAATTCACTATCGATATAGCTAACATTTCAGCAGTATCGATGCTGAAACGGCCAAGCAAAACAAATAATAATAGCAACAAAAACAACAGCCAAGGATTTTACTCAGCAATTACTATCGCACCAGCACCTTCAAAGTGCTTTTGTGTGCGTACCTTTGATGGACAATGCTTTGTAATGAAAGCTCAAAAGCAAAAGGATCTCGAAAGATGGCTTTTTGTACTCACAAAAATGTGGAACTTTGTCCAAGCAGTACGGACACAAATTACACAACCATCACCACTTCACCAACAGCAGCAGCAGCAGCAGCAACAACAACAACAACAGCAACAGCAGCAGCAGCAACAACAACAGCAACAGCAACACCACAACCACCAACAGCAACAGCAGCAAATACAACATCAAATATTCCAACACACTACTCCAACACCTGCAACACCAACTTCCCGCCTTTATTCAAATCAAGAAACTCCAGACTCCCACGGAAATACCCCAATCATGCATACCATAAATAATCTACCCCTCCAGGACATCTTGCAAACCCCTCATTCCCAACCATCCTGTCAGATCAATCAAACCGAGCCGTCGCAATATGATCAACGCTACAGAATGCCAATCCTCTCTTTTGAAAAAACCCACTGGATCGAGGAGTGGCGAAAATCGCTCGCTGAGCTCATTGCATACGACCCGAACATCAAAGTAAGCCCTCCTCCAATCGAATCAATCCCAGACGACGATCGTATGAGTGTCTATAGCGACATGACAAGTGTTAGCAACCGTAACCAGCAGACTACCTATGCTTACGGAAAGCCATCCGGCTTGCCTTCTCGACGACGCACACCCACAATTAGTTCTAAGCGATCCAATCGATCGCTACAGAAACTTCCTACTGCAGTTGAGCTAGAGATGCCTCTTCAGCAGCGTACTCGATCCTCGTTGAGAAAAAAACGGTCGGACGACGTTAAGAACTGGATAGAGCCTGCTAAGCGCATGGAAAGACCTACTGTCGCCCATCCCAATACGACACCCACAGACCCATCGATACTACGCAGAAACTTATCTGTGCAATCGGCATCTCGATCGGTCCGCACAAGCTCGATGAGAAAGCCAATGATCCAACGTCTCTCGACGAACTTCAACCCTGGACGAGTGTCTTCTTCTCCAGAAATTTACCACATCGATTTTTTCCAAGATACCATGACAGTCGATACCGACGCTCAATTGGATGTAAATAATGATGAGCAGGACAAACGACTCCCTACGGTTCGTTATCACCCGTCTGTTCGCGGCAAAGCGGTTCACATCGTAAACCAAGATAGACAAAGTCAGTTTCTCCTTAGAGGCGCAGAAGAAGAAAAAGAAGAAAAAGATACCCGCAACTCTCAATCGACATCCAGAAGACGCTCTTCAGTCCCTCTCGAGGTAGAAATGCAATTGAGTCTTCATCCTCATCATCATCACAGTTTTGGTGACGAGCGTCTTTCTACTATTTCACCTTTGCAGAATCTAGCAAACGTAGAGAATGGACTGTCTTTCAAGAGAAGACGGGAACGTACACCATCAGGAAACCCAGCCACACCCCCACCTCTCATGTCCCCCTGGACAAGTGATCTTACTGTAGATCAAGATGAAGAAGTGTGCTTAGCAGACATTCAAAAATCCCTCCAACAGACGCATTTAAACGATGGTTGGCAGCACACGCGATCCCCCTCTGCATCCTCTATACTCGATCTCCAGAAACAGCAAAATTACATGTATGGCACACCGATAATGCCTTATCCTCAATCATGCTACCCACCTCCGTCTCCGTCGCCGGCTATGGTCAACAATGCTGCTACTAACAATAATCAGTCTTACCAAAACTTTCCTTTTGTATCACCTATTGTTGCACCTGCTATTCCACCCGTTCAAATCATCCGACCTACAACAATTACTTCTCCAACTTGTTTTTCATATGAACGTCCATTCTTACAAGACAAATACAACGACAAAGATAACCTTGAACCTATCATGTCTCGGTCCTCTAGATCGAGCACAAACCGTAATACAAGCAGTCGAAAGGGTTACGAGCCGCCCGGTGTAGATGCCCAACATGGAAATTACTCTAACCAGAATCAAAAACGTGAGAGTTGGGCCATGAAAACATGGACCACACCCGATTTTCAACACCCCACATCAGCAGCAACCGCAACAATAGGAGGGACAAATGCTCGCCCCCAGTCAATGGCACCCGAGGATTATTATGTCAAAAAATCAAGACCAAGAAGCTGGATGATTCCTTCTAGGTCAGCATTGACAGAGAAATTTCCTGAACGTCTTGAGCCTAGTGATGTTATCGTAACTGGTCGGCGATCAATGGACCTAATAACCGAAGGTCGAAAGGGAAAACGATGGGGCTGATCATATATACAAAAAAATTGTTTCTTTCTATCTTTCTATTTATTTACTTATCTATTTATCTATTTATTCTACCTACTTACCTACTTACCTACTTACATAATGCGCATAATCATAATCATACCACTAAACCTATTTATCTTTGTATTCAATTTTACATGTCCTTTATTAACATTCTTTTACAAGAAGTGTAGTATACATACACATATACATATCTAGATAATATATATATATATATATATATAATTATATCATAATGAATGAATAAATACTATATATATCAATATAATTTTTCACCTTTTTATTTATTTTTATTATAAAAGAAAAACGTATAATTAGGTTGAAAGAAAAGGAAGGAACATACATTCGATTGAAGTATTATTTATTCAACCACCAAGTAAAGTTCTTTACCTTCTTCTTCCTTCCTTCCTTCCTTCCTCCTTTTTTTAATTTTATTATTATTATTATTATTATTCTACGTATCATTGACATCTACAATAGCCCATTCATGGTCATAGTAAACTTCGCGGGTATGTACATCTTCTGCATGATGAAGGAATTCAAATTGACCGCGAGATAAGAAGCAGAGCGGTAAGCGGTAAGTAACAATATTATTATTGCCAGGAATCTACAAGTAAGAGTCACGGATTTTTTTTAAAAAAATGTATTAATAAATTAAACAAGCATATATGTATAGCTCATATTATTAATGTATGTGTACTTTACCTCTGGTAGGACAACTTGCTGAAGACCTTGCATTAGTAATTTATCTGACAAATCATATTCTTTTGCACCATCATTGTAACTCTGTACAGGCTGAATGCGTAAAATCAACTTTACAGGGTGCACTAGAATATTCATGTTACAAATAAGAGGCAAAGAAACCGTTAGAACATTTGATATACTTATCTTCTCTTAATACGTATATATAAACTTACTATGCCGGTTTCGAATGGAAACATTCATTGACACAAAATCGTTACAATTACACGAGAAGCGGCGATGCCCTGCTTTTTTAACATTTGCGCCTTCCATTTCAACAATAAACTCCATATCTTCTTTTTTCAAAATAGTCAACTGAAGTGGCGTCAACCTCAGTGAAGGTCTCAAATGAAGCACACCACGGCGATCAGTAGAAGTACAGCGCCAAGTAGCCTTGATGCGCTTTAAGAGTGACTCGCGATACCAGAACATCTGGAGTCTTGCCCTCTCTTGTTCTGGAGGCATCTTGGGAGCCTGAGAAACAACAAATTGCTTATTGGGCTCAAACGATGGAATGGGCTGGGTACATGTCTGAGGTTGCAAAAACAAGCGCTTCACAGGCAGGACTACACGTTTGGTCCATCCCGGCTGAATGGTAACCACAGAGTGTAAGGACTTTTCGACACTATCAGTACCATTATCAATCATGAACTCGATGTTGAATGGAACTGTCCAGGTATTCCTGACATCCAATGTTACCAGGCAGTAATCACTTTGAGCCTGTTTGTCATTGTCAGCCTGTCGGGTCACAAGCAAGAGGTCCTCTACAGGCTGCTCAATATCACTCCCCTTGTTGATGTCGAGACTCCTGATGTCCTCTAGAGCCTTGTCCATCATTTCCTCGGAGACAAGAGCATTGTGGCGTAAATACAAGACATCCCAGTTGAGTGGCTCCAAGTTTTGGTAAACTGTGACAAGTACAGGAAGGTAGAGTTGGCGGGTATAGAATATGGAAGGACTGTGTGTAGCGCCTTCCTGATTATTTGCTAGTTGTTTTTGAATCGCACGCTCAAGATAACCATACTCGACCTGAATGGTTCCGCCGGTACTAATGAATAGCAAAGCGTAAGATACGCGTATATACAGAAAAGAAAAGAAAAGAAAGTGGAGCCCAAGGCGATTTTTGTAAACTCACCATCCACGTTTTCCATAAACGTTCACAATAATTGTAGTTTGAGAGCCTGGTGGAAGCACAACCTTTTTGCCAATGATTTGTGCAGCCTCATTCATCGAGCCTTCCCAGGAAAACACATGTGTTCCTTTTGTGAACAGTTCAATTTCATATTGTTCTTCCATAGGAAGTTCTGGGTTCACCAATAATGGATTAATAGTAGTCGAGTCTGTGAAAGACAAAGTAATAAAGTCGACAGGAATATTTCCAATGTTCTCCAGCTCAATGGAAATATGGGTCCTAAAGTAAGTCAGAATAAGCACACACACACACATATATATACATATACATATACTACTTTAAAGAACAGTTCAAGATGTTTAATTGGTACATACATTTCACCTTCATACAGCATCACTGCGCTATGTAAAAGAGACGTTGACTTTATTTTCAATAGAGGTTGCTCGTCGATAACAGCCAATTCATAAAACTCAACAGGCTTCAATTCATTCGATGATTCTGTGTATATATATCGATAAATACATTTTCTCGATCATCAAGAAATTATTTAATAAACCAAAAAAAAAAACTTGCCTCGTCTACGGCCTGATTGTAGGGCACTAAGTCCACTAAATATTTCCAATAAAAACAGCAACAGCAAACGGTTGGATTTATTTCTATAATTCAAGTAGCCTTTCTTGCTTACCTCTGCTTTAACTTTACAAATTCTTCTTTTGATTGATCATCTTTTTTTCGCTCTCTGCTGTCCTTCGCCTTTGGCTTCTGGCCAAGATCCACCAAAAACTCTTGCTCAGCAAAACCAACAATCTTTACCAAACAGCCTCGGATTGTTAATACCCCCGACTCTTCAGGCGTGCCCGCTAAACGAAGCGTCAACGTTCCATTGGCAGGTATGATCACTGAAGCAGGAGTTGGGATGAATGGTACACCCGATGTACTGTATATTTATTAGTTGACCATAGTGTAACATATGTTGTTTTGGCCTATAGTTATATATATATGTTTATCTATCTTACCTCAATACTACATTTTGAACGTCCAAGTCAAATCCAAACGGATTTGTCAACATAACCTTGAACTCGCACATCTCGCTCTGGACCAAAGTAACTTGGAACTATATTACAGTAAATCCTATTTTAGTTACCATGAAAATATACTGTTTTTTTTTGCACCATTACCTTTTCATCTTTCTTTTGAGCGAAAGGATTGTAAATAAATGGATCACCTGTGGCACTCGTATCAGCGGCAGAAGCCACAATATTACTTTGAATAGGATGCTGATAAACAGCCTTGCGAGGTATAGGTAACAAAGCCTCGATAGATGAAACAATATTGACACCCCAATAATTGACACTGCTCTCAACCTGTCCTGTACGTTTTCCCATAGCAACAATACGTTGGATAGAAGTGGCCAAACGAATCTGCTCTTCTTTAGATATGTGCCGGTACATATTTTTTAGAAGAACTGTAGTGTAATATAACATCGCGGCGTAATCTAATAGACCCAAAACCAAATACATACACACACACACACACAGAGAGAGAGAGAGAGAGCGAAAATTAGGTCAACAATACCAAAAACAGGTTTCAAGTTGATTAGTATTACCAGGAAGTGCTTCGGCAATGGCAATACACTGGCGCAGAATGTCAATTTGCAAAGCTGGCCAGCCAAACCTAAAATGCTCTTTTGCTACAGCACCACGGACGCCTTTATTGTTAGATACAGTATTTGTGTTGTTTTCGGTCTCTTCTTGGGAATGCATTGCTTCCAGTGCACCTCCATCGTGAACATTGCGCTCTAAAAGTTTTTGTTAGAAAAAAAGTATCAAGTTTGGAACACGGTTATACACCTCACTTATATATACAAGCATTTATTATTTAATGTACCTCCAAGACCATATACTTCGCAAATTTGTTTCATAACATCAAGAACTCCACTGTCACTTTTGCCAATTGTCTTTTTGTTTGGATCGCGAGAGCCAGTCATAGAAGCTCTACTCTGAATCAGAAGAGGAAGCATACGAGTGGTGCTTTCGTAGAGTACCCATGAAGCCTTGCGATGATATCCAATAGTAGACAATACAGTAGCCATTGAAGTCATCAAATGAATCTAAAATTTGGATTTTTTTTAAAAAAAAAAACAGTTAATCAGAATTTGACTTTTTGGTTTTGTTTCATAGACATATGGCATAAATAAACAAACAAATTTACCTGATCCAAAAGAGATAGGTCTTCCAGGTGTACAACCCAGATTCTCATAGCCCATTCAGCAATCTCGAATCGAGGAATTGTACTGAGCTGAGACTGGGTTGGATTTATGATAGAAGAAAATTGTCCAGGGTGGATCTCTGTTCCATCTTCCCATAGTTTCCCTTGGACCAGGAGACCCAAAACCTTTTCATGCCAGCCTCCATGTACATGGACAGTCAGCAAAAATCGTGCAACTTTTGCACATGCTTCGGCGTAGATGAGACCTGGAATAGGTACGCTCGCGGTAGTGCTTACCCTTGCGTAGTTGTGTAGAACCTGTGTATATTGTTCAACAATATCTGATACGGTTGATTTTGGTCCATCGAGAATCGATACATTTTTCTCAGTCGTAGGTGAAGTCGGCTGCCCGTCGGCTGGAAAAAGCTCGGCTGCACTTGGACCTCGGGAAACAATATGACCTACATCAGCATGCAAATATTCAAGCAAGAGAGTCGCGCATGCTAAGCCTTCCATAGCACTCGCGAGCCACAAAAAGTCGGTCATGGATCGAGTCATCTCAATAGCTTGTTGATAACTAATGGATTGTTATCAGCCTTTTCTGCTAATATATACTAAAAAAGGAAACTCAAAAGAATATGTATATATATGTATATACACATACACATACACATACAAATGTATGTGATGAGTTTTACAACACTCACTGACTGACTGCATCTGGTAAACGACCAGCTAACAAATAAAAATCAGCCAGAAGTTTCTTTATCCGGCCTGGAGTTCGTCGTTTAGTTTTTCCAATGTCACTTGAATTTGGACCATGAGCACTGGTGGACCTGCTCATTGATGGATTAGGAGAGGGAGCTGGCATAGGCGCGAGTTTTGTGGGGGGAGGTCGATTAGCTGAGGCTGTGGAAGCTCGTTTGAGAAATGAAGAGGATACTGATTGAGTAGGTACGGGTGCTGGAAGAGGTTGTGATGCTCGATAGTTTGGACGGGTTTGATCGCCTTGAGGATTTGGTGAGCTAATAGAAGGTAAAGGAGCACGTTGTTGCAACGATGATTGAGGTTGTGGCGAGTGAGTTTGCGATTGGTGTACGGGCTCGAACCGGTGGGCGGTATAGGTAAGGGGGATGGGCGACTCGAGTACCTGAAGTCGTTCGATCCGACCAGCCTAAGATGACAAGTAATATAATATTCTTTGTTTGTTAAAATGAACAAAATATAAAGTATAGTAAGCACCCCCCTTCTAATATTCTTCTTTATCTATTTATGTTCTTGACATACAATGGTTGCAAATTGGGTAAGTATTTCGCTGGCAAAATCACAAATCATAGTGCTAATATAAAACGACATATTGCCAACATTTGGGATCATTATTAGACCCTTCGTATCATCTGGTTGGGTCTCAGTCGGATCAAAGGCATAGCAACGAGTTGCAACAGCGGTAGGATACTTTAGGTTCAGCGACTATTTTAGTAACGAAGGTTCTTTTGGTTGTCGGTTGAGTTGGTAATCCCGCCCCTCACCTTGTCAAGAGTCTCCACAAAGCTTCGGTAGCCTTCACTCAAATCCTTATCCTTCCATTCTTGACAATCCATAATACCAATAACCTGACGAGTATATCAGCTTATTTTGATTTTTTTCCTTTTTCTTTTTTAAGAAATGAAAGTCTGTGTGCGAATATATTTCATCACTCACACCAAATATTCTGCGGTGAGGTTGGAAATCCTCGAGATGAGCATGGTCTCGTTTATAGTTTGTCACGAATTGAAAATGCATCTGCCCTTCCTGGAACACTTGACTGCTGAACATAGCTAGTGTTGGAAGGTATAGGTCAGCTTTCCATCTAGATTCCGAATGAAGCCATAGATGGCTTACCACCAGCGCCTTTGTGTAGATCAGGGGTCACATCGCCTAGTCGAACTACACCGAATTTCTTCACCAGCTCAACTTTCTCCCAAAATGTGGATTTCTTGATGGGAGACACAGGTACCAGAAGTACACGGACACGGCATGGTGAAGTGATGTTGATGGCCAGATCCATGGCTTTCAAGCTTATTATCGAAGGAAACGAAGTGGGTCACGCGTTGAAGTACAAGTGGGGAAAGTTCAATCCATTTTTATTCAATAACCGACGTTCTGTCCTGTATGGAACTAGAAGCAACTTTGGGTCCCGTTCCTTGGAATATATTAATACTATAATACTTCCAGAGTATATCATTTAGGTTTATTAGACATGAAAATATTCAAAAAAGAAAAAGTACTCACCTTTTTGCCAAAGCCCCCTTTCAACTTTGCTTTCTTTTCCTAAGAGAAAAAGCCGATGGTTTTTATAAGTTTTTTAAGGATCTTTGTATTATCGATATGTAATTATGAGCAAGAGATTCAAAAGTAATATCAGAGAATCTAGCCCTTAAATTCATACCTTCATTTTTTATTTTTATTTTTGATAAAGAGTAATAAGGGCTAAGTTACTGGAATACATATATGGTTAAGTCAGGCTTGTTAAGCCCCTTCGTTATCTTTTTTGTTTGTTTGTTTGTTTGTTGATGTTGTTATTATTAAATTATAGAATATACTCCATTGAATTTCTTTCTGTATTTCTTTCTTTCTATTGGTAGTACTCTTTTTGTAAAACCAGCCTAATAAATTATTTTCGTTGTGTTCTGTAAAATACTGCCTTGAATCACACAATAAAAGGACTTCTTTAAGAATTAAATGCCAACCCCTTGTTTTGTTTTTACATATCTTTTCAATTTTTTTATTGAAATAATTCAAAATCTTTTATATAATAAATTGTATATAATCAATCTCAGCTGGTATTGATTTGTGGTTTAATTAATGCTTGTTTTCAAGATAGTATCCAGTTTTCCATTGACTGAATACGATACCACGAGTATATATATATATATAAACATTCAAATTATAACAAGACCTCAAACCTTCACAAGATACTACTACAGCTATTGTCATTATTTTATGAAAAGTCAATTTTCCAGTATACCTGCCCATGATCCTAAAACAGACCAAATCAGACCAAAGGAGTGTATCTTAATCAATTACTTTCTGATAAAAGGAACCCAGAAGCCACTCAGACATGATTTATTATAATTGATTTTTAGATTGCTTTACTTGGAGATCACTATGTGAATTACAATCAAAGCCATATATAAAATCATATGGTATTGTATATGCTACATATATAATTAATGCATCAGTAGTCATACAATCAAAGCTCGATATAGTGATGTCCGAGATGTTATGCTATATTTTTAAGCTTATAGACCTATTCTTTAACAATCATCACTATTTATGTATGCATATCGTGTTGCTTTTATTGGTTTTATTTTGGCCATTGAAAAAGGAGCTAAAAAGAAGAAACGCACAAAAACACTTTATCAAAGTTGGTTATACTATTCGTTTAATCCATATCTTGGGTTCTTTTTTTTTTTTTTAAAAAAAAAGAGTGTATTTCTACTACTCTTTTTTCTCACGATAACCTTACTTTTGCCGATGGCTGTTATTAGCAGCTTCTTTATTTTTAGTACTGCAGCTGTTTTCTATAATAAGCCCAAGGGGCAGCTTGAGATTGTAGAAGAAGTACTCGCTCTTAATTTTAAAAGATAAATATCACCAAATTGAGATTTGTCTGTAATAATAGTTTAAGTTGGATGTTTATTATATCAAAGTCTGTATTTTTTGTACGAGCAAAATGTTGGCCCAAAATAGCTGCAAATATGTTAATTTCCCATTCAAGATTAGACATGGTAATCTTATTGAAGATAGACTGTGGCGACAATAAAGCATAAAACTACCCAAGTACAAAAAGTCGCAAGGGATCACAAAAAAGAAGAAAAGAATAAGGGATCCTTCCATTTCAGACAAATAATATCAATTTTTATAAATATAAAACCCAGTAAGGTTACAGGGGATCCTTTTTAGTAGATCATTTCGAGAACAATGAAAAGACGGAATTGTACAACAATATAAAAGCGTCAAAGTTTGTAAGCAACTGGATCTTTACTCTTTGGAAATACATATCCTACTTTTGAAATGCATTATCCCACCTTAGATTCATTTTCAATCTCACTATATGGAATAGCTGCTCTCATGAGTGTATTCCTTCCCTTGCGTGAGCTTAAGCCCGAAACACGTATGGGTTATTCTAAATTTGCCGTCCCATCAAAGAAAGCAAAAGTAAGTTTCATTTCTTAACTTTTATGTGTATCTTTATTTAATACTTCTTTATCAGTTTTCTTCACGCAAAGGAATGATTGTTATATACAGTCCAGCCCTTATTGCCTCTGCAATTGCTGTCATATATGCTTATCTTAAGTCCATGAACACGTATATCATCCTAAGCGCATCCTTAAGTAGCTTGCATTATATAAAGCGTGTCTATGTACGTACTTTTTGATAAAAAAATACTCAGGTAAACTTATAATCTTACCGAAAATATATGTATATATAGGAAGCATTGATGGTTCATCGATATTCGGGAAGTTCGTTCGTTCGTGATGTCTTGATCATCTCTACCAGCTACTTCTCTTTTGCTGTATTCGTGTTTTACCTCTCCTCCCTTGTCCCAGTTAGAAGCGTAGTATCGAAAGAAATACTCTTAGGAGCTGTATTATTTTTCTTTGGAGAAAGTTTGAATCATTATCACCATATTATATTAGCTGGTTTACGAAAGGATGGAAGCAAAGAGTACAAGGCAAGTAATTGAAAAGTGAGATAATACGGTTTTTTTGGTTCTTATAATACTTCTTTAGATTCCAAATGGAGGTTTATTCCAATATATCTGGTGTCCGCATTATGTAAGTACATGAATAATAAGCACTATTACTTTAAACAAAAACCTAATATCATGTGCTTTTATAGCTTGGGGAGGTTATTAGCCTTGCTGGTGTTGCTCTTGTCTCGCAAACGTTTATCATTGTTGCATTCCAATTTTCCTCCACCATATATCTTCTTGTAAGGTCATACAATACTCGCAAATGGTACGAGAATCGGTTCCCTGGTGCTCCTTATAGAGCAAGTGTCATCCCTTTCATATTCTAGACCGACATATAATTATATCTTATCTACAATCACAAAATACCATACCATACCATACCATGTCATATTATCTCATTTCATAGCATTTCATAGCATATAATAGCATAACATAGCATAAAATATCATCATATCATGTCAAATCATTCAAGTCTTGTCAAATAAATAATTGTTTAAAGTGTTGCATTAAGAAATAAAATAAATTCGGTATAAGAAAGTACAGCTTGTGATGTGTTTTAAAGAGAACATACTATATACTTATGGATTAGCGAAATATGCAAGGGACGAACTAGTGATTGCCGTGATAGTAGCTGCAATACTCAATGTTATGGTGGCTACTCTTTTTGGGGATTCCACTGATTGAGATATTAACCGAGAAAGGCCAAACTCAACTGGACCACGTATACAAATATATAACATTATCCAGTAGACTAAACTATATCTTGGATATGTTGCTCGAACAATCCGTTTAGTGACATCCAATACTGTGCTTCCATATGGCCAGATAAACATTGTAGGAAGGCGGGTTTGAAAGAATGATGCTCTACGCAAACGAGTTGGTAAGCTACGGGATTGGAACCTGGGATCAGAGTTAGCGACTTGATGAATGTTTTTGTTTCTTGAAGAAACCCTTTGTAAACATTTGCAGTCTTTCAGAGTCTCCTTAGTCTTATAATGGGTATGTATAAACGATTTGTATACTGTTATTCCCGTATAGATCCCTAACCACGTAGTAAAAGGCATTGGTGTACGCACAATGGGCCAAAGAGGACCACATATATTTGGATTTGATGAATCCGAATGGGATGATGTACTCATATCCACTTCTGTTATAGCTGCATAGTCCGAGGTTCTATTACTGATATGCGTAAGCGGCATTGCAATTGCCACCGATGTTGTTCCTGATGTATTCAAAAGTGCTCTTGTAAAAGTCATACGAGGGGATGGCTGTGGAGATGGTAGAGGTAATGGACCTGTCAATAGGTTAATCGGAAGTATATCCTGGCGAACAGATACAGGTTCTTTTCTTGAGTCTTTAATTCTTAACATATCGCCAGAAAGTCGAACACCGCTTGGACAGTCTACTTCTGTAACCACATGGGTTGTGTTGAAAAGATCCGGACGTTGTGAAGTGGATTTCTTTTTGGAAACACTACTTGCTGAAGAATGTGATTCCAAACGCTCTTGTGTATCTGATGGAGAAAGAAGCACACCGTTTTCTGGGACCAAAAAGCTCTTCATAAAACTCATCCGTTGGTCATAAATCCCTGTTGCCGGTGCGCTTGGTTCCCTTGTCGTTTCTTTACTACCAGAATCCAACCGAGCATTGACACAAATAATTGATGCCTCTAATTTTTCTTCGAGAACTGATCTTGTTGATAAACCGTAGCGCTCAGAATAATTTTCTTCGGAAACATTTGCTTCGCATGCATTATTTTCTCCTATATTTACATCCCCTACTCCAGGATCATTCATGGTTACCATTTTAGTCGTGTCATTTTCTTTGTATTTTTCTTCACATATAGTGTTCGTTTTAAATAGCTCTTCTATACGAGACTTTTCATTGTGGTTTTGAGAAGTTCCAACAATTTTGTTATCCAATTCTACTGTACTCTTCAAGGTGACTGTGTTTGGAGTCGCTTCTGAGCAAGACTTTATATAAGAAACGCTGAGAATATCCGTTACTAGTGCCTTGCTCGTATTTGTATAATTATTGGTATTTTCACAGATATCTTTGCTTTCTGAGTCAAAATCCGGCTCCATGTCTTTTGAATTTACAGTAATAATGTGCTCATCAAAGGTGGAAGAATCGTATTGAATAGACTGTAAAATTGGGACTTCATCAGTATAAGAATTTAAGTTAAAATTCATTGTTTTATCTGGCGTCGATTCTTTGTTTGTGATTTCGGTGCCGTGTGTGGGTGTGGTCTCGAAATATATTTCTTCTTTGTTGATATTTAACTCGGCACTGTCAGCCAAAGTTTGTGTCGCTTTATCCAAGAGAATTGTATTGCTCGTAATAGCTAACAGAAAATCCTTTTCGTCTTCATACGTTGTAATTGAATCATTATCCATGGAGTTTATCCCTTCTGCAGCTTGACTTTGTATATAAGACATTATCTTCATTTTGATATCTATTTCATCTGCACAATTCCTTGAAACATGTCGGCTAGAGGGTATAGCTCGATTTGCCTCGCTAGATTCTGGATTATCGTACGAAATATTCATCAAAAGAACAACTTCGTCTTCATACATATTCGTATCAGCAAATGTAGGATATGGAAAGCACTTTTTCTTGGCGGAGTATGGTATATCATATTCGATCTTCATCATAACACCGACTTCGGCAATAAAAGTATCTAGACCAGGAGATCCAGGAAGGATAGTTTGTTCTTTAACCAATAAAGGGAGATCGTATGTAATATTCATCATTGTTTTGATTTCATCAGCAAGAATATTTGAATACGGTGAGATAGAGTAACCATAAGTTTCGTTTTTAACTGATGATGAGACATTAAACTTGATATTCATCATAGTAGCAGCTTCCTCGGCATAAGAGATTGAATCAAGGTCTTTAAAACAGGTAATTCCTTCATTTTTAACTTTCGGTGCTTCATAGGATATATTAGCCATAGCGAGAATTTCCTTGGTATAAGTGTTATAGTCAAAGCATTCGGATCGAGTAATTTTCTCTTCTTTGGTAGACCTTGTCACTTCATACGAAATTTTCATCATTAGAGTAATCTCGTCAGTGTAGTTTGAATAGGTATAGTATTCCTCTTTTTCTGACCTTGGTGAGGTGTATGTGCTATTATTTAATTCAGCTGTTTTGTCTGCATAAGTGCTTGAACACATGTAATCCCCGTAGATATCTTTTCTCTTGTTGATAATATATGGGCTGTCGTATGTAATATTCAGCAGCGTTTCGATCTCATTATCATATGTTTCCAAGTCGAGAGATTTAGAATAATCGTAAGGCTTGGTTTTACTCGAGTTTATTAAGTCGCCTTCATTGTTCTGAATTAAATCGACTCGGTTGTAGAATTTCTTGGGAGTGGTATAGTCATTTTTATCGAAACCATCTTCAGTAAATAGATCCAAAAAGTTGGACACATTGGATAAAGCCACTGCCAATTCGCCATAGCTTGAAACATACTTGCTGCATTTCTCAAGCCCCTTGCAGTCGGATTCAATTAAGGCACATATTTCTGATCCGGCAGCGAGTGATTCTTCTTTATGGGTCTTATAAACAAGAGATAGTGAATCGTCAGATGTCTTACTAGATATTGTGTCTGAGACACAGTTTGTGGAGTCTTCTATGCGTAGCATTCCTCCATTATTAACTTCTGGGACAAAAGGCTTGATTTCATTAGGTAAAGCTGTTTTGTCTACCGGGCGTTTTTTGATTATGCTCTTTGACATAGTTGGATGATACTTTATATCTGTTCCCACATTCGAAAGATCTTCAGTTTCTAATGTTTCGTCGTTTTCTTTGTTTACTTCTGCCTCTTCTTCCTCGATAGGCTCCAAAGTAGATAATTTTCTGTCTTTAAATATTGCTGAAGTGTCTGAACTGATATTGCAGGGAGTATCTTTCGTGTCATCATTCCCAGTTAACATATCGTCAATACTAGCGATCATATCAGTAAGAGCTTTTACAGCAGGTGTATCATTGAAAGAGTCCATAATCTCGATTATGCTAGGTTTTTCTGGGAAAATATTACAGACAAGAGTCTTTTCTTCAATAACGTTTTCGTAAGCACCATTAACCAGCCTAGATAATTCATTTTCATCTGCGAATATTGATAACGTTTCGCTATTAACGGATGCTATAGTAGCCATTATATCTTTAGAAGGTATATAATCCAAATATTCGGCAACATTAGATTCATCTCGTTGGTCTACGCATGGGGAGCTATCGATACTATTTTCGTGGATTTTATGATTTTTCTCATCAAAGAGGACTAAAGACTTGTTAAATATGTCATCGTATTCTTCCACATTTGTGTCGTATTTTTTGGTCGGTAAAATAGGAGTAGTATATTCTTCATATTCATCAGAGCAAATGTTGATAATGTGTTCGGTAAGCCGATCTTCATTCGTAACATATGTACCCATACATTCAATTTGGTTAGGCGAGTCCAAGTCTTCTATTCTTGCGAGGATCTCAACAAGATTCTCCTGGAGAGATTTTTGCGCTTCTCTCGCTTTTGAAAAATCAGGGATAATATTCCACACATTCTCTGTTTGACCAAGGTCTACTTCAAGAGAATTTGTCTGTGTACTATCGTGTTTAGCTATGGCCGGAAATTCAGTTGTTGTTATATTCAAGGGAGAAATGTTAATTTTATGAGTATCGCTATCGCTATCACAAGAGTCGATGTGTTCGGTTACTGTGTGCTTTAGTGGTTCATCGAACTCATTGGTACGCAAAGTGTTCGATTGCTGGTAGGCTAAGGCAGGTGTACTATTAAAACCTTCGATTGCTTCGTAAGTGATTGTAGGTGACGGGCATACTACACTATTATAGTTCTGATCGGGTGATTCTAGGCTGGAGGACTTTGTTTTTATGTTGTTATCCGTAACGTAAGGCTTAGAAGGTAAGGTAATTGATTCATTGACGGATTTTACAGAGTCTGAATCTAGAAGGAGTTCCACAAATGATGTTTCGTCGTTGTATGTAACTTCTGAAAGCATACTTAGCTCTACATCATCTATTTCATTAGATGGTGTTGAATCTTCGTACAGAAGTGACGAATTGTTTTTAACAAGCATATCGCTGTCATTCAGTAGTATTTCAGAGGTCCTCGTATTGTGCAAGTCGCTTTCAATGTATGTCTCCGTATCTGATATGTCTTCTTCAATTAACTGTATTACGATGGCTTCATCCGTAATGCACGTTTCAATGTTTATGGATGTATCTGTGAATTCCAGAACCTGGTCTAAGCTTTGGCCTTTAACTTTAACCAAGTCTAAACGGTCCGAATCTCCAACTGAATCTTCTTTATACTGATTGACCTTACTCAAAGTTGTGTTCTGTGCATATGTGCATGTACTGGCTAATTTCTGATATGGATGTTTTTCTATTGAAAACACAAGAATTAATACGTTAATTTTTAGTGGCTTTTAAATACTTTCAGTTATATACATTCCCAGAAACAAATAGAGCGTCTTATTATTCGCAAACATATGCTTGTATGTACTCCCAATTGTTACCTAGTATTTCATTATATGTATTCAAGGGTTGCCGTTCTAGTTCCAGTTTTTGTAGTGCTCCTAAATCGTTATTTTGGGCTCCAGTAAGTCGGATCAAACTCTTAGATTGGTCTTCTTGCCCTGGAGCGGCCGTATAGGTCTCAGAATCCGAGTTGGTATTGATATTTTGACTAATTAATAACCTATTTGAGGTCAAAGAAATAATAGAGCTATTATTTTCAGCATCAAGGCCGTCGAGGGTCTGATCATTATCCAAGTCGGTATCTTTTCTAGGCTCATTTACTATGGCATTTTCTTTCGGCTCTCCGGACTTCTCTGTAATATCTTCTGTCCTTGGAGATCGATTTGTTATATCCGGAAGGGAATCGGGTATATGATTGAGTGAGGATGGTGGTTCTGGAAATAAATCTCGAATACTTATTCTCGACTTTTTTTTTGGGGGTACTATATCAGGATGATAACCATACTTTTTCCACACTTCTTCACTTTTTTCAACCCACGGGTTACTTCCAATGCTTCCCAGAACTATAAAATACATCAAGCACGTTAGCTAAATCGGATGAATATATAAATGTACCTGTTTGTTTATTTGTTTGTTTGTATTTTGTCCTTACTCCTTTCCAAATCTTCCTCGGCCATTATTTTCTGGAGCTCGTTTTCGGAATTGAATCTGATTATGTGCTTCAGGTCATCACTCAATAAGAACTTGACCATCTGCCACAATCCTTGGTAAGCCAAAGCAAAGTTAAGCACATGCACGGCTTTGATAGACCCAGGAAACCGCTTATCAAGTATGTCTCTGATGTAATTAATCAATTCGGCATTCTATCGTCTTCTTGAGTTCAACTTGTCCTTCTGATAAGTGATTATCTTACCACAGGAATAAAGGGCGCTTCGGACATATCAACCAAGATAATACATTGCGATATGAGATTGGTTATGTGTTTGCTCTCTTGATGCAATTGAGACAGATCGTGCATATACTGGCGTGTGACCTCCATCAAGAGACACGTAAGAGACCCTATCGAAGATTGTGCCGCAGTTGTTGTACCAGACAAAGGGAAATTGCGTGGATAAAGTACTATAACTGGCCGACCCATCCTATCAACCTTATCAAAGACTATACACGGGGTGTCAAAATAGGCGGGAAAGTGGTGGTACGATAGTTTTCCAATCGACATTTTTATTCTCCAGCGCACTGTGTCAAGTAACTGCTCGTGAGCTATCTGTGGATTGAACCGGGAGGCACGCAGGAACTGGAAAAGAGTTACTAAAATTGGGTTTTTTAAAAAATGATAATTTAGTTTGTATGATGTCGCAAAGTAATGAGGGTTGAAAAATGAGTATTGTCAAACACTAATGAGTACCTCGATCTTTAACATAGGAATCACAATCTTGCATTTCATATGGACTAAGATCAAACAGATCTAGATCTGCCTGAAGTCTGCTAGAGAGTTTCTCAATAGTGTTTGCATGCCTTAGGAACTCATCATTAAAAAGTGCAATGTGGGCTGACATGGTACTAGGGAAAGCAAGTACGAATTCGGAAGTAAAGTGCTCATGATCGCATTGATTTAATGCGTTTAAATGATTTATCCGACAGTGTAAATTGAAATGTGTGATTTAATGACAGGTGTAAGATCAAGTTATAAGGAAAGAAAATAATATGATCTAGTTCCCTTGTAGGCTCTTATGTACAAGTTTGAGAGTAAAACGAAATAATGAATGCGCATGATTATAAAGAGGAATGATAGAATAGAACGAGTGGAGTGTGTGTGAAGGAGTATAAAAGGGTTATTAGTATGGAAAGCCTTGAATTAGGCTACATGAGTAACGTAAAAGTCCACCGCATTGGAATTGCTTCGAGTCTCAAATCCCATCTGGACGTCTTCGTCTGAGCTGATGGTAATCAAATCACCGTCTTCATCTTGATATTTGATACTAAACGTTGCATCCAGCTCACGGCCGTATTGACGCAAGGTATGCTCGATTCGGTATAAAAGCACGTTGTATGGAATGTCTATTGAGACCATCACAACGTATACATCGCCCATAAAGTGAACCTTAATTTGGGTATCTTCTTCTATTGTTGGTTGGCCAGGCCTATCTTCAAATCCATTACTTGATCTCTTGGACTGATAAAGGGTCCTAGAGTTGATGGTTGGCATGTCTGGGGCATTGTCGAATAGGCCATTAGGTGGGTGAATATTAGGACTGCTTTGTGATCTAACGCGGGTATGATGGAAATGCTGGGATTGGCTTTCAGGTGAAACAAATGTGGTTGAAAGAAGGGCAGTTTTAGGCTGAACAACTGTGTAGCCAGTAGAGTAACCATATTGTACAGTATCATCCATGGTCGAGATCATGTGATCGCTCATCATTGCTCTTGCTATCATTTCGGTTGGTGCCAGCCCATCTTCATCATGACGGCGCCAAAGACCATTAGAAGATTTTGCGCTGCTAGTGGAAGCTCGGGTAGATACGGAAGGGGATGAAGGATAGCTAGTAGGAGGGGATGACGGGTAAGGAGGCGAGGGATAGTAAGGATGGTCTGCGTAAGATGTCAATGCTGTATCCTGCCCCGTCATCAGGTGAGTAGGAGAGCGAGGTAAAGGAGGAAGTGCCATTCCAGGCATATTTGGGTAATGTCTCCCGCTGTTTGGAAGTCCAAGCGAAACTGAACTTTGGGATGCTTTACGATGGTATTCCCCATGGTCCGGAGCTCTTGATCGGTGTAACTGAGTGCTCTGAGATCGCTGATCATAACGCCTGTGAACATCTTCTTCATCACTTGAATGTTCCTGGTACTCTTCTTCTTCATCATCCTCCCCGCAAATCATCGAATAGGATTCGTCTAGTCCTACTCCATGAGGAGTACGAGGGGTTTGGGGCAATGAAGGAGAAGAACGGCTATCAGCTCTCATCTCAAGTGAAAGACCCTTTTCAGCCTGTATGCGTTTATCAGCCTGGATCCGTTTGTTAAGAAGAGATTCCCATCGTTTCAGCTGCTCATTGTTGCGGCATCTTAGTACAAAGGATTGTAAATTGTAGTGTTGAAGACTCTGAGGATGAGATCCCTTTTCGGACCAAAATATGCGCAAAAGACATTGTCCTGAATGAATTAAAAGTAAATCTTTTAAATACACACACAGACACGCAAGCCCAACTTTCTATTCAATTCAATCTCTGTAGTTAATTTACCTTGACTGCTGGTGTCTGCTACTTGGGCAATTTTTGAAATCATGATCTTGCCCTTTACTTGCAAGGTGCTTTCTTTCCTCTTTTTCTTCATCATTCCATTCGCTTTCTTGCCCGCATCAATCTCTTCTTTACAAATAAGCAAAGTTTTTTCAAATAGGAAAGTTGTCATCTCTCGACCGGCATCATTTCCCATCAAAAAGAATGTGTCCTGAAGCAACAAGAGTCCAAAGTTTTCGATGGGCCCTTTCCAGCCTTCAATTCGTCGCTTGAGATCTTCCACAATCAATTCGTTCTCCTGACATCTTTTAGTTTCATTGACATTATTGGCTATTCTCTGAATAGCAGCGTGACCAGCTTTCATTTCGTCTGAATACGCCCAATCTTCAGGTGTGCTCTTAACTATTTCTTGCATCAGTAGAGGATACTTGCACACACGTTGAACCGGTTTGATTAGCATAGATGGGAGCTCATACACTGGATTCAATATATCGGCTAACTTCTGGAGCTTGTTGGCTTCCTGTAATACCAAATCTTGCGCTCTTTGGAAATTAGCGCAAAAAGGCTCATAGACAGCAAATGCCTCCTCTAGTTGGATAAACATGTTGCCAAAACGCTGTTCCTGCGGAGCACGGTCTGCGTTGTCTTCGAGCTGAATAAGAAAGCGTCTCTGAAAATCAACAAGAGCGTTTAGGTTGCCAAAGAGATGGTGAAGTGTGTCTCGCGGGAGAACATCTTGAGTTTGAGCCTCACGCATATAATTCTAAAACATGCGATAGGCATTAGTACTTTCTTTGTTTTTCTCTGTTATTTTCTATAAACTTACTTGGAGGGTTTCTAGGTCTTGGACATATTTACGTTCTGTTTCTAAAAATTCTACAACGACTTTGTCTCGCATGTTTTTAGGTGCATTTGGATCCGAGTTTCTATTAGTGGCTGTGTGGATCGAAATGATGCCCTGATCTTCTAATAAATCGAGAATACGTTTTAGAGTATCGACAACCTGCACAAATCACAATTGTCAGTAAATTAAAGAGATGCTAGGTTATATCTCAAGAGGTTACCTTCACAAATCCATTGGTATCGTTTTGCCAGAGATCTGTAAGGGTGAAGAGAGATTCTTCTGAGAAATGAAGTTGATCTCTACAGGCTACAATGAAGTGGTATACGTATGCTTTGGGTTTGATAACAATCTTTGGGTCGGATCGAGGGATAACAATGGGTGTATCAGGCATGAGGGTGTTGTATAAGAGACAAAGACTGTCACCTTGTCTGCATATAGACCATAATTTGTTGAGTGGATCTGTGTTTGTGATAGTGTCGCTGTCCTGAGGTTGTTCTGGGTTGAGATAGATTTCGAAGCCAGGTACGGCAGCTAATCCCTGAAGGACTGATCGACATGTATAATAAAGAGAGGCCTTTTGAGATGCAGGCTTATTTGTGATGGAATCATTGGCGACAGGTGAATCTATTGTCTGCACCATTGTGGTTTAGTTGGAATGTATGAAAACTGAATGAGCGGGTTAAGGTGCGACTCCCGTCAAGAAGGTTGAAATGACTGACAGCCTAAAGAGAGAGGAAATAGAACGTTTGAAGTAAATCGTCGTCCTAAAACAAGAAGAGGGAGAAGGTGGCAATGAAAGGAGGGAGGGAGAAAAAGAGAGGCGAGGGGTTTGAGGAGAAAGAAAACAAGATAGAGAACGAGAGAAAAAGAGAGAGGAAAGAAACACTTTCACCGCCATGCCATCCTTGGTTACACCCGCTATATTGTTACCCTCTGGCCTAACACGCGCTTTCGACTTGACCTCCTCTTTTTAACGCAGTTGTCCATGCGCAAACATGTACTCTGGCGCTGTCCGCTTTGTGAAACCATCTCAAGGGCTTTGGTTTTGGTCCAAGCTGCTTTTATTGTACAACGATTGCCACGTTGGTGTTTCTTTCCTCGTGGAGTGTTATTCTCTGGCTATTGATTCTCAGCATAGCAGCAGGAATCTCTTTGTATGACCAACGGAGATGATCATTAATGTCACCCAACATCAAGGTAGACCAAATAAGAAGATGCAAACGAGGACAGTCGGTCGAAAGGGTCCTTACTCATGTGGGTAATCGCCGGCCCAAAGGGATTGCTAATTGTTTTATAAACAAGTGTTTGATATATTTCATAGCACCATTGTGACACTTTGACAGCTGTTGGTCCATTCCCCACCTATACATTTATAACTACTCACAAGAGATTCTTTGTTTCTTTCTAAATTACAGACAATATTATTATTGTTTTTACTTTTATGATCGTAAGCCCATCGATCCCTATAATCATCAATCTTAACAGTACCCCAAGAAGTAATTCGTATTTATATATTTTTATTTTATTTTATTTTAAAAGAATAAAAAGGAGGTCTAGAAAGGTCTATTATTTTTAATAATCAGATATTATATCTATAATGAAGTATAATTCCATCCCATATACTTAATAATATACTCCTTCTATTGTTGCTTGTCAGCCCTTGACTCCACAAAACCAGTTATATTATGCAACATTTCTTCTTACTTCTTTTTTTTTTACCCCTTTTTATGAATGAAAGCAGTATTTATTTTTATACCTTTTAATTAAAATAAGTGTAAAAATAATACTTATTCCGTACAGCAAACTAATTGAAAGAGGGTTAATCAAAGAAGTACCAAGCTTTTATTGTCAGCCAGAATGCGCTAAATTGGTACAAAGAAATAAGTCAGATACTCAACTAACAATGCACTGCTTCCATTGTTGAGCGGGTGACTGTCTTTGAACCTACACTCCCATGTCATTTCAGGCGCAGCAAAAACATAGTATGAATGACAATCAAATCAGGCCATGGCATGGACAGCACGCATAGGATCAAGAACAACATTCAGCGTGGCATGCCACATGAAACGTACATTCAGCTCGACCACAGACGCCAGGTTGGCTGTTCTTGAACATGCTGCAAAAGGCGTATTTAAACCTCTATCACGTACTGCACCCGTATTCTACACCCAAGGCAGCCGTGTTATGCCCCTCTTTGAGCCCTCTGACTTCTATAAAGAACTCAAAGTAATAGACACAACTAAAGAGTCTTTTTTTTAAAATACTGATAAATGTTCTTAGAAACGTATATTGTCGGCAAAGGATAATATCTTTCTTGCGACACTTTATATCGGTCAGTCGGAGAAGGAGCTGGTGAGATTGGTAGAATGTTATATGCAGGAAGCCACAAAACTGATATACCCCCTCTTTAATTTATAGGTGGATACTATCCGTACAGCCTTGGAGAATTCGGACACACTCAAGGTTCATATCCTGGTGGATTGCCTAAGAGGAACTCGCGCTTCTCAAAGTCAAAGTTCTGCCACATTGCTTTTGCCATTGATCCGTGATTTTCCTGCCGGAAGAGTCCAGGTGTCGATGTATCATACACCTGATCTCAAAGGAATTCTCAAAAAGGCTCTCCCACAGAGATTTAACGAAAGTATTGGTCTTATGCACCTCAAAGTCTATGGATTTGATGATGCAGTTATGCTCAGTGGGTATGTAAAGTATCTTGTATTTATATCAGAGTACTAAAGTATACGCAAGTCTTGTTTTAGAGCCAATTTGAGTACAGACTACTTCACGAATCGACAAGACCGTTACATTGTATTTGACCAGCAACCTGAACTAGCAAAGTATTATCACAACTTAATAAATTTAGTTGGGTCCTTTTCGTACCAACTTGGTCTACCTCAACCAACACAAGAGTCCTACAGTCTGACTATGCCATCTTCTATGCCAGACCCAGTTTGTCAAAGTACTCAGTTTAAGGCAAAAGTCCGCAGTCGACTGGAGAACTTTATTGCGGACGCTATGACAGAAACAAAAAAAAACGATAGTGAGGATGATACAGCTGTCCTGCCTGTTATTCAGATGGGTCCTTTTGGTATCAGACAGGATGAGAAAATGACACTTGAACTGTTGGAGATTGTGCACCGTCAAGGAAAATCAAAGGACTCTTGGTGGACAATTCATTTGACATCAGGTTACTTTAATTTCACTGATCGTTACAAAGCATTCATACTGCGCACTCAAGCTCGCTTCCAATTTATTACTGCTTCTCCAGAGGTAAATTATTGTTTATTTTTATATCCAAAGCTATTATAAGAAATAAGATAATCCAGTTAAAGCAATCGATTGACTTATTGGGCTATTTTTTTTTATGAATAGGCTAATGGATTTTTTAATTCAAGAGGTGTTTCTCGGTTTCTTCCACCTGCATATACTCATATTGAACGTCAATTTTACAGACAGGTTACTCGTGCAAATAAGCAGGACGTTATTAGTATTGAGGAATATAAACGTTCTGGTTGGACCTATCATGCCAAAGGTAATTTGTATTTTTTCTTCTGGGGACTCCGACTAATTTTGGCTATATAGGTCTTTGGGTGTGTCTTGCAAACCAAGTATGGCCTTCAGTCACCATGATTGGATCCCCTAATTTTGGTCATCGATCAAGCAACCGCGACTTAGAAGCTCAGGCAGTTGTGATCACAAAGAGCAAAGAATTACAAGAATCTCTTCACAAGGTAAGGAAAGAGGCGTTTTTGTTGTTGTTATTGAAAGAAGTCAAAGAAATAATTAGATGTGCTTAACCAATCTATTATTCTAATAAATATACTATAGGAAGTAAACAGGCTACACGAGTACTCTAGTGCTGTATCTAGTGAAACGTTTAAAAAACAAGACAGACGAGTACCTTACGGTGTTAAGTTGGCCACTGCTATGGTCAAGACTATGTTATAAATCGCATTTTGTAAATGAACATCAGATAATAAATAGCAGAAAAATAAACAATAATACACAAAATTGATAGATATATCAATAGACTTTTTCGTCTGAATATGATTCCCATCCAAAAAGAAAGATCTTTATTATCTATATGCTTATAAGATAAGATGTGTGAGTAGGACAGGGTTTGTACCCGCTCTTCACAATTATGGAAGCACGTGTAAAATATGAATAAAACCGATCAAATGGAGCATTGGGTTCTTTCTCATTGTTAATTAATCGAATGAGTAGTATAATACTTGTTTAGACATTTTACTTGAAGCCGCAAGCCGTATGATTATATTAATTTCATAAGGACAGCAGAGCCCTTTTTTATTTGCTTAGTGTATGAAATACTTTATAGAAAAAAAAGGCGATTCTAGTGAATTGTTTCAAGTTTTCCGGGGTTTAAAGTGTCTTATAGTTGAATTTTAATTAAGCACCAATTTCTCTCTCTTTTATATATATCCCACTTTCTACGCCACCATGTTTTTGCAGTCGATGCAAAACATCTTTTTCCCAACTTCTTCAACCCAATACAAGAATTAAAGACGATAAAATTATTCAAATCTAATGGCTTACCAACGGTATCTTGGGTGTATCCCAGGCGGTAACCAGAATTGAATATTTTTATCTTCTTTGAATTCTAGTCAGTCTTTGTCTCCAACGACGACCCTCCTGAAGATCTTCTTCTGCTTGTCTTCTAGAACTTACCATTTTAATGGCACAGGTAAATCTATTTGGGACAGAACTATGTTTAAATCGGTTAAGTATATGCTAGAAGTTCAGTACAGCAGCAAGATTTCTATTTCACAAATTATGCACAAACTGTAAAGAAGCCATGTTCTCGAAACAATTTTGATTTGGTAAATGTGTATGGATTTATAGAAAGTATTAATAATAATAAAAAATGATGACTGGTTGTACTATTTGCCTTGGGAGACTATGGCATGCTATAGTTGGCGTTTAAGTGTGGCGATATGGACTAGTTTTCGGCTTACTTGAAGGTTCAAAGGGAAGACTGAGAGCATGAAGGACAGTGCCTGGAAGTACTAAATTCATCAAACAAACAAACATTAAATCCATGTTTGCGAAGTAGACATCCCGTTATTGCATCTTTAATGCGTCTATGGTATTCGTTGTGAGGTACAGACCAGTTTTTCACTATCAATATAGAAGACCAATCAAATTAAGCACTGTTATTTCTTGACATAAATTAATTGGCTTTGGATTGCTTAGTATAGGAAAAGAGACGAAGTGGGTAGATTAAATATTGACGGCTGCCTTGACTTTTGGTATTTGTCCAAGAGGAGCGGAGGATGGAAAGACTTACAGTAATATAAGCACCATCGTAGCGATAAATGAGCTTACAATTTTACCTTGTCATTTCCGTTATATAGTAAGAAGTAGTATTAAGGCCGAGCAACAATAAAGGGACATTAACAGAAATAGCTTCTTTAATTCATCCATTAAGGTCGAGAGATGGCTTGCGTGCTAACTCGGGAAGAAAGATGTATCTTCTGAGTGTGCAGGTGTGTAGGTGTGTAGGTGTGTGTGGAAATTGTATGGTCTTTAAAAACCAGACCTTGTACAGATTCAAAGAACTGTGGCACTCCCCCAAGCTGATTTTTTGTAGTGATGCCTTCACAGTTAGGACTCGGAATGGGGTAATGGTGCTTACTATCTTCCAACCCACAAAGAGATAGATATGCGAGGCTTACTTGCTTGGTGCTTTCAAATGTGCCAATTGATAGGGACGATATGCTAAGAAATTGTGTAAGATTATATATTGTAATTCAGTCAATTGACTACTTACAATGCGATTTGCAGTAAGTATTATCGAAATGAGATGCTCTTTAAAAAGATTGAAGCACTTTTTAAAATAACTTTAAGTCGCTCGAATATGACAAGATATACAAGAGTGTTCTCTATCAAACTAAATTAACATTCTGTCTTTTTCTGGACAGGAAATATTTTCTGCAATCTCTTCAAAGGTTAAGTGAAAAATAAATAGATTTTGGTGGTAGCTTAAAGAAAAATTGACGATATTGAAACGATAAAACAATAGCGTCTTTCGAGCACTTGTACCCGAGAAAGACACAAAGACAGTAACATACAAATAATTGTACCAATAAATTAGCTAGAATATAAAAAATGCTTGTAGATAATGGCCATTGTTTTATAGAGAGGTTCATATTAAACTTCTTGTACACAATCTGTGTAAATACAATGAGGATCTTACTGTATATTCATTCTTCATCACGTTTTTTCTGTCTCTCTTTCAAACACATGGCTATATTCTTTCCCATCTCTCATTTCTATTCATTTTTCTTGAATTTTCTCTCATTCCAATACATCCTCTTTACAATCTCCATCCGCACTAGCCAAATTTAATACTATACAATTCACGGAATCGGCATCATCAAACATTATTCTGCAATTTATATACTTTTCAGACAAAGAATAGCATCTATATTTAAACACGGCCATCAATACTACATTAAAATATATAAATAGTATTTTGTTTCTTTTCAGATTTATTCAATTAGACTAATTTCTTCTTGTAAATGAGCTCTCCTAATTACAACATTGACATCTTCAATCAAGTAAAAAAAAAGTTTAACAGCGTGTTTTTTTTATTAGAGCCGATAATAGTTAAAAAGACTTTATTTATTTATTTAAAGGTATACATATATATACATAAAGAAACTATTCTATTTGATTTAATTTCACTTAATGTTCTTTTACATGAGTAAAAGAATAAAAAGCATGACACCAAGTTCTTTGTCCCCGCATTACGTGGCTCAATCTCCTTCAGGACGTAAACCTGACTTGGTAGCGAAGGAGGTGCTGGAATGGTGGCAAACCAACGGAAAGCACCCGTTCATCCAGCCCCACATCTCGTCACCGAGTAATGTGGGTGCGAACTCACCAGAGAACTTACCACTAGGTGATAAGGTCCAGCTCATTCGACTACCAGTAGCTTCACCGTCAGCCGTTAAAGAGTTCAGTCAGGTTAGCAGTGAAGAGCCAGCACATCTCACCACAGATTAGACCTCCCTCCCCCCAGCATCATGATTCCACATTGGCGATGCGATGTACACAGTAGTCTTTCCAAAAATGAAAAGAGACCATGCCCCACGACTTCTCAGAATTAACTGAGCTGGCGAGTAACAACTTTCACTTTCCGATGCTTGTAGCATGGAAGAATCTCCCTGCAACGGTCGCAAGAGACGCCTCACTATGAAACCGGGACTGTTGTTGCTCAAGGAGAAAACAAACGACGCGCGTTGGAGGAGGTCTATAAGTAACAGAAAATTTTTTCATCTGCGATTAAAGATTAGGACTGCGCTTTTTGTCAGTCATAGATGTCCACGTCAGAGCAAACGTGATATAGCTGTATATTCTTTTTCTGAGCTCGTGTAACTGTTCTACAGCATAATAAACAGCTAATAACATTTAATTGAAGTACTTATAAAAGCCACTTTGCAAAGTGAAGTAAAGCAAATTAAAGAAGCAAAGATATAATGAAGTAATGAAGGGTTTGGTCTTGATCGGTGTAGAGATGACTCTCAAAGTGGAGTACAAGTTTCTATAACGGCGACATGTAGGTTACTCTAAGCTGGTCTGTGCGCTTTTTGTTCAAAGGCACAAGAAAAAGCTTTCTTCTTTTGTCCATACAAGTGGACACAAAAGGTACCCAATAGCCTCCAAAAAATCTGTCTCTGTATATCCCAAAGCAATATTAAGCAGCAAGTATAAAGCAGAAGATAAAGAAATAAGTATATATATATATATGTATATTATCGCGATCTCAACAAAGTAGGTGACAGGACTTTGGATCCCAGGTTGGGATTTATTGAAATGAGGTTATACCAGTGGTTGAAAGTGTCAAAATGATATTTCAAGAGAATGAGTTATAGATATCAAATGTCTGGAAATTATGTTGCAGAAAATAACAGAAATTTACAGCAGAATTAAGGGTTAGCTAGAGATAGAATGAGAGTTGATATCTTCAATAGGGAAAATATAAATACTGGAGACTCTGTTAAGGGTTAATAAAAAAAGAGCTTAACTTCACATTCAGCTTATAAAATACCAATATATTGACTTACTTATTAGTATAGTTAACTGATCGAATATTTTAATAACCTTTCTGCAGAAACAACATCATGATGCTTCGCTGGGCTATACAGTTAATTCTGTATTGGAAATGCTGCCTACAGACAGGTGAAGTAGTTATTTCAGCAGAATTTATATTTTATAGAGAAATACCCTAAGGTAATAATATTAATTTCTCTCACACACACTTTATTTATGAAAGAATAAGATATTCCTTTCTCTCACAGCTGCTTCTCTTTTCTCTGCTTATACTTAATTAGTGTTTTGATACTAAAAAAAATGTTTGTAAAATTTAGGCTTGGTTGTCTCGCTGAATGGGATCAATTAAGTCAATTGTGAAACGCTTATTGGGTATTACAGCGCCGACTATAATGAAGTTGGTGAAAAATTGAGATTCTCACTAGACGACATCTTGTCTATTATTGAGATATCGTGCCAACTTGGTCAAGAACTCGAGATAATACGCTATATAGCAACGAAAAATACTTTACCGAAAAAATACTGTCCTTCATTTTTATGTGATCCGGATTTATCTACAGCTATTGAGGATACAAAGTGGTTAAGGAACTGGATCACTATCCTGCGGTTGGAGTCACTTCCTCATGCCAATACCATCACATAACGGTTATGAATGTTGATTTTGACAGCTTTCCAACTTGTTTTATCTATTTTTTTATCTTAGCTTCTATTGCACTCTGTATTTTTTTAATGTTCCCCAGTATGTTTTTAAAGGTGTGTTTTGCACAAATATCCTACTAAAATCGTCCTTTTTTTATCTTAGTATAAAATACGTGAATAATAAACAACACGTAACGAATAGATTAATCCAACATTCAAATAAATGGGATTATGCTTTCCAGCGAATATTGTAAAGGAGCAACTGTATTACTACAGCATACCACATCCGCCCAGAAAAAGAAAAATAAATCTTGGGAAGGTTTTCCGGTCGCTGGAGAGTGTAATTTACACCCAAGTAATACGTATAACCTTATCTACATCTCTCAAAAGCTTTATCTCTTATCTTCCGCACATCTTGTTACAATATAAAAGCCGAGCACAAATTCCATAATACTTGTTAAGTTAGGGTATTGACTTTCGTTAAACATTTTACCTCATTGCATGGTCCTAATATGTACTGGAGACTCATTAATATAAGCATACACACATATGTATATAAGGTGAACCTTATCGTTTTTTTTTAAAAAAAAATAAAAGAATTGTACCGAAGAGCTGTTTCTCAGCCAAAAGAATGAACTTAAGTTTTTAAATACAATCAAGTTTAATGAAATTCCTATGAATTCTTATTTATTTATTTAACAAAAGAAAAAGGAAAGGATAAAAGGATAAAATTTGTATGCGCAATCTCTTGTTAACAAAAACAAAGTCGAGATTACCAAAGGTACCAAGATTGTAGAGAGTTTTAGTTCTAAATAAACCGCAGAGAAGTCTGGAACGGTAAAGAAGCTAGTGTTATGACACTACATATATTAGCTCATATTCTACCTCTCTTTCTTTCTGCTGCTGTTGCGAGCTTATTGTATTTTTGTAAAAAGATAATTTACATAATTTTATATACGTATATATTATACACTTTTTCTTGTTCTTATTATTCTGTCTTTTATGCCTCTAACCATCATTCTGATGGTTACCAATGTCAACATAACTATTAGAGAAGGTACAAAAAACGGAGTACTTTTTGTAAGAGTTTTTAATTTGAATTCATACCGTGAATATAAGCTTGCTAAAAGAAGAGGCCTAATCCTATTCTCTCTATCTCTCTATTCAAATTTGCGCAACAGAAGTATTACGTTTGGTAAATTTCCAAAAATAAATTACTTTTATTATTGTTATTATTGTTATTATTAGCATTAATTGGCATATTTTCCTAATAAAATATTAGGCCTGACTTTTTTGTTAGTATCCTCATAATGTCATTTTCTAACACACATTGTGCATTGTATTCAGAGTATTTGATCCCTTTTGTATATATATATAGATAGCTTCTTTTTACAATAATCACTGCTTATCTTCCAGAATTCCAATCGATTAAACGCAATCTTTAAACCCAAAATATGATTATTTTTGTGAAGATGAGAAAAGTTGTAGTGAATGCTAGGTGAATCAAGCACTGTACTAAATACTGGGTATAATTATACAAATTATCGGTGTGAATATACGCACAAACACGAATATTTTATTTTGAATTCAAAGACAAAAAAAAGTAGTGGGTAAAAATGAATCTGGTACACCTAAAAGGAGAGTGGTCAAATTAATACAAAAAAGTAGCACTTAAAACTTGTGAAACAACTATAATGAAGATCCTAATCCTTTTGTGGATAAGAAGCACCAAGGAAATATTTAACATATTTTTGAGCTTGGGCAAGCAAATTAAGTACAACAACTGTATGCATTTCCCGAGAAAATTACCTATATATATATATATATTCACGAAGGTAGGTTCAATATCGATTTGAAATCAAGCAAGGTATTATACACCAAAGAAATAAAGAAAATAAAGGATTGTTATAAATGTAATAACGAGAGTTCCATTATATTCAATCATTAGAGCCATTTCAGCCACACGAAGCTTAGGCATAATGTGCCCAATAAACCCATGACAATAGATGAAGTAATGGATACGCAACACATAAAAGAGCCAGAAAGAGCCAGAAAGAGCACCAGAGTTGCATTACATATATTTTATCAGCAGTATCTTATAAGCTGTAGGCATTTATGACACGAAATAGGATCTAGTTTATCATAGGTAACCAACCTACACACATGTGTATATTGACGATAGAAAAGAATACATAGTGAGCGTATATTATGACAGTCATTAGGGCTCAAAGTAACTGAGTAATTATAAGTGGCAATGAAAAAAAAATAGGGGTCAGACCCTCGAGAAGGTTAGAAGGGGTATAAAAAAGCAAACCAAAATCTAGAGATACTGCATCGATATACATATTCACATTAGGATCTATATTCAACCTTTAAAGAGTCGAAATGTTGATTGCTTTGAGTACGAGCTATTTAGTATAACTTATCCATTTGGAATCGAAACGCATTAAATCTTATATATAATTGCTTGTCAGACCTTTTCTTTTTAAAGCTTATTTACTATAATTTGAACATTGGATATCCACCAATTGGAATAAAATCTTTTTTGAATTTAATTTTGGTAAAAGCACCAATATATATATATATATATTTACATATATATATATATTTATATACTTATATTATTGAACCCAGACTACAATTACACAAAAGAACTAAACCTGGTATGAAATGACCGTATCTATGAAGAAAAAGGGTTTGAGTCAAGACCTGAATTCGAAATCGAATGATATTTTTAACCTCAAGTTACCAAACTCCGGAATAGTTCCTTAAAAATAGGTTATAAAAGCCTTTGGAAGAATTGTCAGGCCATATGGTACTCCATCCCAAGGCTAAGCCGATTGAGCGTATAAGAATCCCCAGAAACCACACGGTCCCTCTTCTTTCAGTCCCGTCCCCAATTCAACATATTCAACACTAAACAAGCGTCTCATAATGTCCAAGCCAGACTATCTTTTTGTTTACGGTGACTCTTACTCTGGTGAGCAGTAAAATCAAACTTTCATCGTCATTCGATATTGACATCAATTGCAGATCTTAGCGAAAGAACCCGCAAATCAAACGGCCCTCTTTGGAGTGAACAACTATCAGATGCTTGGGGGACAAAGCTCAGAAGTTATGCTGAATCTGCAGCCCTGACCTGTCCTACTCCTGGTTCTTCGTCAGATCTATCCAAGCAATTTAAAGCAGCCAAGGCTCTCGCAACTGCCAATAAAAACAGCTTACACGCAATATTCTTCGGAATCACAGATGTCGCAGGTGCCCAAGGTATGTCATTAAAGGCAAATTGCTTTTGTGTGTATTATTCAAACCCATTGATTTATTTAATGTATTGCAGATAAGACAGTGAAGTCACTATTGAACTGTGTAAAAGACCAGGTGGTAAGTATATGTTTCCGTACCCATAATTTACACAGCAATTGCATATTATATTTTTACTAATTTATATACGAATTTATTTTTACAAAAAAACATTAAAATAATCAGGCTGAACTGGAAGCATTAGATCCTACCAGTCGAATTCTATTGTTCGGTCTTCCTCCTTTAGAATACTCCCCTTATTATTCAAACAGTACACACAAGAGCAAGGTTAAACAAAGAGTCTCGGAGTTCAATGTCGGGCTGGAGGATGCTGTGAATGACTGGACAAGTGAGACACAGTTGAATATCGCATTCGTAGACAATTCTGGATTATTCAGTTATGTTCTGGGAGATCCTGAAGGATACAATGTGGAAAATGTAGAAGAAGCATATTGGGAGACCTGCCAAGGCAGATGTTCCGACCCAATTGACAGTTATTTATGGTGGGATCAATTACATATGACAGGAGGTAATATTTAAATGGTTGAAGAGTCTCTATCATTCGCATAGTACTGACATGCAATATACAAAAACCAAAAAAAAAAAGCTGGACATCGAGCTATGGCAGAAAATATCATTAGTAGTAACCCTTTTTCATTGCCCACAACTCCAAAATCCACACCACCGGCTGCACCTATTGCACCCCCTCCAATCACACCGTCACCTCCTAAGTCTGCACCCAAGGATTCGACGTCAAATAACATTCCTTCAACACACAACTCAAATCTTGATGATTATGTATCTTCACCCCACTCATATCCAGACACCACAAACGACTCGGCGGATTTCAACGTGGATGGCAGCGTTGACCATTCTGCTTACTATCCATGGCTATTCATTGTGCTATTTATCTTGATGCTGGTATTAGTATTCCGCAGAAACAGAATCATCAATACCTTCTCTTCTTACTGGAAGGCTAGACGATCTAACGCTCCTGCTACAAAGACCACCGAATACTCTCCTGTTTAAATCCAGCCGTACATCAATTAGCATAAACTCAAACAACCACAGTCTACATATATATATTGATATTTTATCAGAGCCAGTAAATAAATAAATTAACAAAAACAATACCAGCACAAAATGCAGAATATAATAAAAATCATATTTTGCTTTCTGGATCCTTTTTTGTATGAATCATTTTTTTTATGCTTTTCGGTTTCACTACGCCAAATATAAACGTCACAATTCAGTGTTCCTCTCCAATCAAAGGTTAAACTTCTAGTTTCTCATTTAATATCTAAAGAAAGGTACCCTCCACGCATTATTTCTCTTACGGATACTTTAACTTGTCATTTTTTGACAAGCAAGAAATAAGAAGAAAGAAAAAAACACCATTTTAAATAATCCTAATTTCAGGTCAACGATCCCATGATACCACCGCCCCCACGTTCATTCGCTTCTGCGCCAAAACCTGTCGAGCGCACACAAATTCAATTACCCCCAAGCACTCACAACTTGGCAGGTAAATTGATTCAAATAACACAAATAATAAAACTCATCCAATAAGATGAATTCAGAACTTCTTGAATCAGACGGTGAGATAGATCCAACAAAAAGCATTGATGAAAACAGACGCGATGACGACAATCTAGACAAATCATCCAGACGAAGACGAAATGATAGATCAAGAGATAGATCCCAAGAAAAAAGAGAGAAGAGACGTAGCGATAGAAGGAGATCAAGATCACCTAATTATCGTGATAGAGATGATGTCAGAGACAGAGACAGAGACAGATACAAAGATAAAAGAGTTCGAGAAGGCAGAGAAAAGGATTATGAGAGAAATAGTCGTAGAGACAGAAGTCGTAGTCGGGACCGCCACAGAGATGATCAAGGCAGAGAGAGGCGTAGAACAAGGGATCGTAGTAGGGATGACTACCGAGACAGCTACAGAGAAAGATCGTCTCGCTCAAGCAATTATGATCGCTACTCTAGGCGTTCTCGGTCTCGGTCTCGTTCTTATGATCGTTATTCTAGACGCGACCGCTCTCGGTCTTATGATCGAAAAAGTTCCGTGAGTTGATGGTTTTTTTTTATTTCACTTCTGCTGTAAAAATATGTATATCATAACATGCACATAATTGTTCATTAGAGTCGTTCCGGAAAAGATAGCTCTGGAAAGTATGTATTTAGCAATATGGACAATACAAAGAGTATATTCTTATTTTGATTGAAAAACTAGCACCCTTCTTGATACCGGAATTTCAATTATTATCGACTGCAAAGGTGATCCTGACAATATTTCATATGGAGGAAATGATGACAGTAACGTTCCTAGATACAATAGACATGGATGTGGGTATCTGTTATGTGAATAATACGGAATACGAAGACATGGAGTAGATTTAACCCGTATTCTGATGTACACATATGTGTAGATGGTAATGTTATTGGATACGCTGGTGATGAAAAGATCTCTATGGAAAGTAAGCACCGCAAAGTACTTGTTATAGAAAACAGGCTTAATAGAAAGGTAAGCCATATTAATTATAACGTGATAGAATTACAACTATACGTATATGTTCTTACTTGAAATATTAGAGAAAACAACCTACAGTAAGGTATTCAGACTCTGTCTACGCTTGGAAAGATATCGATAATAGCACAAAGAGGTAAAACAAACCAATAAATGTTAATATTGTTATTAAGAGAATACTTACATTTATATCTATTATAATATCAGATCTATAATCAAGACTAAAGCATCAAGTGAAGAAGCTGATTTTTCCAAAGGCCAGAATTTTATATCTCTTGGTGACAAACAAAAGAAGGAAAGACGCCTAGATGAGACAGGAGAGGATGGTCTCTTGACTAGTGGTGTTGATTACCGTGATATAAGAGGTGATAAGCACCTTGGAAAATCGTTAGAAACAGACGAAGGCGAAGACGGAGAAATTGTCGATGAAGAACTTTTTACTGAACAAATGAGACGACGAACCATCGAATTTAATAACAAATTAAGAGATGACCCACACGATGTCAAGACATGGTTAGAATTCATTAAATTCCAAGACGATATTGCTTCGGGATTGAATACAGGTGTAGAAGCCAGTACACGCACAAAATCCAATAAATCCAGCATTAATGAAGTCAAGATGAGCATTTTTGAAAAGGCAATGGAAAATAACCCTGACAATGAAGAGCTTGTGGATGCATATCTGAAATGCGGAGGAGAGACTTGGGAGTAAGTGTAATTTTGACTATAAAGCCATTCTAACCACTTTATTGTGTGTTGTCTTTAGCACTCTTACTCTATTGCGTGAATGGGATAATGTCCTCAAAAAAAATCCAGAGTCAGTTAAACTATGGGCAGACTACATCAACCTTCGCCAGACAAATTTCGCCAGTTTTTCTTTTACAGAGTGTGTAAAAGTCTTTGAAGATTGCATTACAACTCTCAACAGAATATTAAAGAAATTACATGCTAACAGAAATTTGGAAGAAAATTCTTCAAGTAAGTTTCAGGACAAAGGAAGAACATGGATATCAAGTATTGACATATATTTCTCTCAGGTCGGGAAAGCATTGAATCTATACTTGTGTACATAGTTCTAAGAGCATGTCTTTTTATGAAACAGTCCGGTAAGGGCATTATTATCAAAATACCTACCTTTGAAAAAAAAAGAAAGAAAGAGAATATTAAAGGCTTATCATAATTTGAGATGCTTTTTTTCTTTATTTTTCTTCTTACTATAGGCTATCAAGAAAAGGCTTTTGGAACTCTCCAAGCTTTAGTTGAATTCAATCTGTTTCAGCCTCAGATATTTGATATGTCATTGGATATCACATTTGAGAAAATGGTTCAAGAAATATGTGATTTTTGGGATAGCGAAGTTCCTAGGTTTGGTGAAAATGTACTTATTTGTTTTTGAAACAAGAAATGAGTTTGCGTGTCTTTTATTAATATCCATATATACGTGTAGAATGCGAAGGGATGGAAGGAGTTTTATCGAGCAAGATATAGTAAGAAAATTGGCTTGATTGTTTTTTTACAAACTCGAGGTCATCTAATGGTAGCCAAAACTCTTAGATGAAGAGGACACTGGTACTGTGCCTGATCCGGAAAAAGAGGAGGACGAAGAGGAAGAATGTAAGCATTAGATATGTGGTATATTCTGACACGTTATTCTGACATTTTATGTTTGCATATAAAAAGTGTCTAGTATTCAAGATTGGATTTCGGCAGAAAATAAAGCAGACCAAAGACATCGTTTAGCTTTGAGAATGAATAGTGAGTACAAGTACAAGTACAAGTACAAGTATATGAGATGAAATAAGTAATAATTATTTAATTATATTAATAATTATAAATAGCCGTAAATCCTGAGAGGGTGGACGAGGATCCTTATATTGTAATACTTTCGGATGATATCCGAAACTTCCTATTCAACATCACCACTCGTGGCGCACGTTTGGGGTTGATCTACAGTATATTTGTGTTCCTCGGCTTACCTTACACTCCCCCAGGTGTAGGCACCAACACACACTTCTTCACTGATACTTTTACTCACAATGAGATGAAGCTCCACAACATATGGCCAGACTTAGAACAGAAGCCAATGCTGGTGTATTGTTTGGATGGTGTCCCGATGGAGCCAGACCACATAGTTACCAACAGAGACCCCTATGGTCTTCCAATTTCTTACCCTGTTGGTATCTCTGAGTTATTTGCACGACCAAAGCATTGGTTTGGATGTGCGGGAAGAAGCCAGCTTGAATGCGATGCTGATGTAGAATTTACAAGGTATGTACAATATAAATTTTCTGCCAGTTTTTCTAAGAATACTGATGTATTATCTTTGTATAGAAATTCATTTAAGCAATTAGTTGAAGTTGAGAAAGACTATCATTTGAAATTATATCATCTTTCATTTGAGTCAAGCTGTGGATACAAAGGGTATGTAAATTATCCACATAAGTATGGTTATTAATTGGAGATGATCAGGGGCCGTACACTTGCCAAAAATATGCTGAAGGAAAACCGTACCAATCTGGTTTTGTGGAATGCATACGCTCAGCTAGAGAAAAGCCACGACAAACCACAAGAAGTAAATTGCACCCAGTAAATATATAGTGATTTTAAATTAACTCCTTTACTTTCAGGCACGAAAGGTATATCAGACAACACTTTCTGCATATCACACTTTCCCATCATCCGATCAAGAAGATATACCATTGGTATATTGCATGTTTTCTCAGCTCGAGATAGAGTACGACAACCATGACGAAGCGCTCAATATTCTTGTAGCAATGGGAAACCAGCAACCCTACCAACCAAATGGAGATAAGCCTTCTTCAACTCAGCTCCTCCGGGCAAAAGAAGTAAGTAACCCTTTTTTGACTGATTATGAAAATATTAATGGTATCTCTGGCTTTAGTTTTTTTCCCAAAAGACAATGCAGCTATCTACTTTGTCTGATAGCGACAAGGAAGACAGAATCGCCCATAGCTATAATGTATGCTATGCTTTGTTTGAGTACCTTACATTTGGTTTGGAATCCGCTTGTGCTGTTTATGAGCAAGCGTTATTATACATCAAAGAACACCAGGCAGAACGTGGATATGCTAGTGAGACTATGTGGATGGCCTATGCCGAACTTCTCTATCGTCATGCAACCCGTGGTTACGGTGGCCACAAGCCTATAATACTAAGAGAGGCTATGGAAAGAGCTCTCCAGCTATTTCCTAACAATACCTTATTCCTTGGGCTATTCATCTGGAATGAAGCAAGAACAAGAATTCATAATCGTGTCAGAAATTTCTTTGGATTGGCTTTAGACAAGTAAGTAATATATATATATATATAGGATTTGAATATAAGAATATACACAAAAAAAACTTATGGCTCGAATATTTAATGCAGAGATCCAAATGTCATTCTTTGGGTGTCTGCGATTCACAGAGAACTACACAACCACTTTCCGTATGATATTAATCTTGTCCGGTCACTTTTTGACCGGGCTGTGGAAAGTCCAAGGTAAGACAATTAGCCAAAAACGAACACAGCTAATATGCTTATCTGAGTAGTACTCGATCAAGCATTGTCTTGTGGAAACTTTATATTCAACATGAAATTTCGAGAGACAATCACGAAAAGGCACGCACACTATTTTACCGCGCAGTGAGAGAGTGCCCTTGGTCAAAGGGTAAGTTAAATAGGACCAAGGCCTCGAATGTTTAATTAATTCTATCTAAATAGATCTCTACTTGATGGGGCTGGATATTCTGGCCAAGGATGAATCTGAAAAGGAATTGAATGAGGCAGTAAGCTTGATGATGGAGAAAGAGATTCGTATTCGTAAACAAATTGAAGATGAACTACTTGTATGAATATTTGGATAATGGTGTATAAAATTATTATTATTTCTTAAAAAAAAATGCAACGCTTTATATATATATATATATATCTTTTACACTGGCTTCTATCGTCATCTAAACACATACACATACACAAAATCAAGGGGCATACTAAAAAGGAGAGATGTTTTGTCATTTATAGAGACCCTTTAAATTTCTTTCATACATGTATGCATTTCTACTCTTTTCCAATCTTATCTAGTGTTAACCTCGGCACCGTTTATCATTTAAGCACTCACTAGATTAAACCCAACGATCAACTCCAATAGCGCACACGCTCTCCCTTTTCTAGAAAACCGTCGTGCGTTTATTGCTTGATGGATCTTATATAGAATCAAGGAACACTGCGGTATCGAATTGTTCTGGCACATTATACACAGTAATAAACGCCCCTGTTCCCTTGACAACAATTTTTTTTCCATTTACCTATACAGCACTGTACCAAAATCTCGTTATAAAAACGCCAGCCGCCCATTTAAACCTCCTATGCCTTCTTTCTTTCCAACCAGTTCCATACTACCTACAGTCGACCAAGAAGACAATGATAGTAACCATGAAGCAGAAAAACGTTGGCTCACTTGGTCAAATGCCCTTTTGAAGACATGTCGATCTTCTATATCAGGGTCAATTGACGAGATCCAGCACTTTGATTTCAAACGCTACACGTACCCACTCAGTAAACGAGAGTACGATACATTATACAACATCAGTCGGCCTCCAAAGGCCACTAGAATCTATCGACGTTGTACAGTCTCTCCCAGTGCTACTGTTCCATCAAATAAGGCTCAGCAGACCTTAAAGTCTTCTTTTGGACTTACCCCGCAGATAAAAAATTACAAGGAGTTAAAATTATGTGATTCTGTTGGTAAACGAGCATCTCAACCTTTACAGTCCATCAATGAAACAAATTGCGAACTGGGAGCTCATCAAGAATATCGGCACTCCTTGGATATCACCCTTTCTTCTGGTCTTCTTCGTGCCTCTACTGTATCCGATGCGGCTCATTCCCGGCAAGAGGCTCCTTCTGCTGTGCTTACTCCACCAGAGCCTATACAGCTCCCTACACTAATACCTATGCTGCGTCATCACACAATATCAAGCATGTCATCTCTCTCTATATATAGCGCTGTTGAACAAAACGACCTCCAGTCTCGCCACATATCAGCCATATGGGTAGACTCATTTGGAAAATTCCACAAAAATCACTTTCAAGTAGGACAAAATGAAACTAAAACACAAGAGCCGGAATCTGTGCGAATGCCATTTGGTCTATGTATATTGCCTTGTTCGACCGACAGCCTATTATTTCTATTTGGATTTATTTTCTTTCCACTCTGGTGGATTGGAGCTTGGCGATACTTCAAGTACCCTTCTCGTGAGATAAATCCAAGCGAAACCAAATCTATATTACCTTTATCATCTCGAGGAATTAGACAGTTGAACTGTTGGATGAGTGTGTCAAGCATACTCATCACTGCTATATTGGTAGGGTTGCTGGTCTGGCTTAGCAAAGATGAAGATTGGCTGTAACATATAATGGATACATTTGATTGTTGCTATTATTCTATTGTTGATATCTATTTATTTTCTATAGCGCTTTTCATATTCAAAATTGTTTTTTCTTCTTTAAAGAAAGGGAAAAAAAAGTACATTAAGACCTAGAAAAAATTAATTTGTACCAAGTAAAAATATATTGTGGCATTGAAAAGAAGACAAAGTCAAAGTAAAATAAAGAAAAATTATTCGTATAAAAAAATGCAATAAACTCATAGTATTCTTATGTAAAGGTTTCACATTTAGGACCACACAAGATACAATAATTTTTTTGGATAATAATTACTACAATTTAATGAAACTATTATTGAGGGAAAAGTATTATTGAGTATTGCATAGTTTCTTTATAATAAAGTAGTTCTAACGATGCTTTTATAGAGATAAATATGAATACGGTTGTTTTTGACAGTAGTATTATCTAATATTTTGATCGGTACACAATAGCGGTCTAATTGACACCGAAAGAGTATGTACTCTGATATATAAGCTTAATGTTGACTTGATACAAGAGCAAATATTTGTCTTTCGTGATATATTCTCATTATAAGCTTTATTCTTTAAAATAAATCTACTTCTTGAACATATTAAATACAATTATCATGGCTGAAGTGGTTCCATGTGTCACTAATTAACAACGAAATACACTTTTAGCTGCCTAGAAACAATTTCAAATTATCGTACATTGTTTCCCTTCTTATGATATATATTTATTTTCTATATATATTTGATACTTTAATTGTTACTCTGTAAGATAATTTGAAATTCGCCAGACCATATGATAATACTCTTCTAGCACGTTTAATCAAGGTGGTTTTCTTTTGACTGGACAAACCTTCCAATGATGGCTACATTCCTAATATGGCTGGTTGTGAAAGAAAAAGTAAAAGTAAATTATTCGACCATGTTATTGATAGTCAATAGTGTTCTATGGCTTATAGCATTTTTCTGGTACAAATAATTTCTTCGTATCGAATATGATTATAATATTAAGAAATGTAAAAAGAAAGCTTATTTTATATTTATTTTCCCGTGATTAAAGCTATTCTTTTTTTTTGGTGCGAGTATGTGCAAAAATAAAAGCTTATATGACAAGATCAGTTACTATTTCATTTTCTTTCTTTAATCTTCTTCTTTGTATGGTAGCTTCTTTATATTAATAATCTTGCTTCTCATGTCATTCCACGGTTTGTTTCCCACGGTATTTAGATTGTATTTTTTTTTAAAAGAAAAAGTGGATGTAAAGCTTGATCCGTTGATAAGATAATAAAATCACATCTTTTCAGCATATTACTAAATATACTAAGTATTATCTCAAATATTACTTTAGGACATCTAAGAAACATTATGTGTAGATAGATATTAATGTAGATAGAGAGAAGAGCATATAGTTCTAGGGTTTAAATGCCCATAATACTCCTTTTACTTAAATAAAGTATAAACAGGTTTGTCAATGAGATAGGAGATTGTGTAACTTGTTGAACAAAGCTGACTGCATTCTATTTACTCGGTCTATAAATTATCTATTGTATCTAATCAAAAGTAGCGGGATGTCTTTGTTCAAATTCAATTCGTCTCAAGGCTCTATCGGATTCCTGAACACATTCATCGAGCTTGAATTTTCTTCCGTGAAGACCAGCATGTTTGTAGAACTGGGAAGCTTTGGCTTTGTCGCCAGTTTGCTATTATTATTATTATTATTTTACAGTAAAATTAATATCTTGATGTGGATAATATATCAATTTCCTACTGGCAGTAAAAAAAATTACCTCAAATAGCATGCCCATGTTGTAAAGAAGAGTCCCACATGTTGCATCACATTCTTCTCCATCATCATTGAGTTTACGCGTATTTGGGTTCTGAGCGTGGTCGAGACCCTTTTGACCCCATTGCTTGGCTTCCTCAAATCGTCCCATTGCAGCATATGCTTCCGCGAGGTTGTTCATCAAGACCGAAGTGTGACATGTCTTGAGTCCAGCCATATTCAATGCCTGTAAATAAAGCTGTATAGCAAACCTACAATAATTACATTAGCCCAAGACTTGTGGCAACAATATCATCAAGCGCCATGTTTTCTTTCTTACACGTAGTTTCCATGAGTGGCATAGAAAGTTCCCAAAGCTTCCAGCGCTCCACCAAGCTCGGCCTTAGTTAACCATGCTGGCATGTGATCCTTGTCAAAGATAACCTCTTCGGTATCATTGTATTCTGATTTGGGACGTGATGATATTCTCAAGAGATGTTCTACCGACCAGGTGTACCACTTTTCAGCTTCGTCATCCAAGCGACACTTTGCTGCAATGTCGCCAAGCTTCTGAGCAATTCCAACGATTTTTTTTTGTGTTTGGGTAGGAAGTGAAGACAAATCGACATTAAATACATCACTGTCAGGTCTTTTATCTTTGACAGATTCTCTATCATTCTCAAATCCAACTAGATGACGAAGTGCCAGAGTGAGGGTCTGTCTTGCTTCAGGGAGTCGCCCGAGTGTTTCAAGAAGAACTCCCAGCTGTATCATAATACCCGTCAATGGGGCACCATCTCTTTCCATTTCAGGTGACTCGATACCCAGTTCGAGAGCCTGACGAAAGTATTGAAGGGCGAGCTTTGTGTCCCGGTCATCTTGGGAGAAATAAAGTGCCTTTCGCAAGGCCTGGCGGATAGGAGGAGGATATTTTTGGATATCAGATGTAAAGTACTCGTAGAGCCCTACACCAAGGCAGGCAAATCCGATACCAATAAGAAGAAGAGGTATGCGAGGAATGTTAATCGTGCGTTCTCCATTCGTCGATGACGGTGGACGCGCAGTAGCAAATGTTTGCTTTTGGAAATTCACAAAATGGGTTGATTGAATAGGCAACCTTGAGCCAGCCCTTACTTGGGCACGGCTTATGATTGATTGTTTGGGGATCAATGAGATTGAGCGAAGTAATCGAGTAGCCATGATTTAAATGAGGTCAATAAAGCTTTTAGGCTTGTCAGAATTGTTATTTCTGTAGTTGATGTTTTCAGAGACCGATCACCCTAGCATGGCCAGAATGTTAGGTTATGGAACTCTGATCTGGGTGTTGGGTTGTTTATACATTGGAGATATTACTTTTTGTTTACACTGAATTATGGGATAAAAGACTATTTAATCGATCCAGCAGTAGCTGGTTAGGTTCTACTTTTGTGGGTGTGCTCCTTCTCAGCCTTGCTCTTTGTTTTGCCAGGGTAGCGATGGAAACTGATCGCAGATCTTGCACAGGAAGGGGAACGGCAGCCTCGTCAGTGAGCTGTACGAATGTCTCAAGTGCCAGGGTGGTTTTTCCCAGGTCTAGAAGGGCAGATACGAGGGTATACATTGTGTCAGAGTTTGGTGGGATTTTTTGTTGTCTCATGGTAGCATAGAGACGCTGAATAATATCAAGCGATTGTGCATTAGGTGGCAGTGATAATGGAGGTAGGGATTTAGTATATTGTTCAATATTGGATGTATCCGGCAGAATATCATCTTGATAGCTGTATCCGTCTTCGTATTTGTGGTCGTAACTAGGTTGAAAAAGGTCAGGATCGGGATACTGGTTTTCAGTAACTGATCGCATAAAGTAAGCAAAAAAGGCGTTGTAAACAGCAGCGATGGGTTTTATCTTATAGGTTGACATTTGGTCAAAACATGTCAATGCGTCATCAATATCTCCCTTCCAAAGTAACAGTTCAATATATATCCGGAAACTCTGGACATCTGCAGGTGGAGCTTCCTTATGTTGATGTTGTGGATCCCGTAAAGCGGAAAACATGTCCTGAAACATGAGTATTGCTTTTTCTGTCGCTCCATTGCAGGCGTAACTAGACATAAGTGCGTTCCAAGTTATGGTATTTTTAATAAGGTGATCAAGGTTATTATCCTTCAGGTCGGTCATCATACGCTCAATGCCATTCAGGTCACCCAGTTTCCCCATACTGTACATAAGAGTAGAGTAAGTATAAGCGTCAGGTTTGATTTTACGTGCAATCATATCATGGTAAAGGCGTTGTGCTGTTCTAATATCTGACAGCTGGGAAGCAATGTGAATGAGTGTGTTAAAGGTCACAAGTGAAGGCTTGATTCCGCAATGACCTCCAGGTTCAGTAGAAGAGGACTGCATTTCCTCGAAAAGCGCCAGCGCCTCTGTTAGATGGTGAGGGCGATTAGATGGTACAGAACGTCCACCTGCCCAGTCCATCAGTGAATTGTATTCTGATAATCTTAAATTCATCCCACGCAACTTCATGTCGTCGATCAATGCAAGCAATCGGAAGAGATTCTTCTGGGTGGCGCGTGCGCGGATAGTAGAAAGAAACATTTGTCTATATTGGCGCCGTGAAACGTGTTGAGTGTATTGATTGCTATAAATATATGTATAGACTGGCCAAATATAATCTATATCCTGCGTTGCTAGTACTTTATAGAATTCGGCAAACACAGCTGGTTTGTTCCTCGCGTTTATTGACAGGTTTGGTTGGTCATTCCGCACCTGCTCTATCTCATCCTTTAGGTACGACACAAGGGTTGGTAATTGGCGATCGCTATTATCTACTATATCTTCGAATGAAGACGAATATGCTAAGGCTGGTACATAATGTCGTGTCTGGGAATGTAATTTGGTTTGATTATTCAAGCGCATTCCATCTATCGATACACTTTGTCTTGTTCGCAGGGGCTGGCGAAAAGCGCTATCTTCGACCGTCCTGCAGAATATACATTTGGCCTGGATAGACATTGCATTGACTCTTGACCAAAGTCGTTGCATAGTGCGTAGGTTGGAGGCTGTTGAAGACAGAAGGGACTTGGAATGAGTCTTGGGATATGTCTTGGATTGTAAATAATTGTGTGGCTTTTCAAGATCCTCGTTATAATCCCTCTTTTAAAACTCCCTTTACCCCTCCCTTCAATTACAATACAGTGTTTCTCGAAATTATTCGTGCACTTGCTGAAGAAAAAATTGTGCACTAAATAAAATAAAATTCGTGCATTAATGCAATAAAAATTCGTGCAAAGTTAAAATTATCTTTGCCTTTCTTTTCATTAGAAATACAAACAAATTCCTAACTTTTATTATTACAACGGTGATAGGATGTTAACGGATGAAATGATATAGAAGCTTGCTAGTCAGTTTAATGATCTAGACATATCAAAATCTAATCTCCACAAATTTGTTACCGCCAAATGCAACATGTCACTCAAAAGAGTGCAATAGTGAAGCGAAGATAGAAGTTAGATTTCAGTGGGTTACTGAGATTTTAAAAGCTGATATAGACTATTTGGCTAACTGCGCTTTTATTGATGGGTCGGGTTTTAACATCAATATAAAGCGTAGTATGGCATGGACAACGGTAAGAAAGACACCGGTAGTAGAAACTCTCAAAACAAAAGCAAAATCGCATACCATCATAGGTGCCATATCACATTTAGGTGTGGTAAACATACAGTCGGAGACCCCTAAGGTCGTTGCTCCATCAAAAAGAAGAGCCTGGTGGAGCTCCTAAAAAAACCAGAGAGAATCGCTCTAGCAAGAGGAGACATTGTCTTAGGAAATCAGAGACGCTTGCAACAGAGTGCTTCATAGTGACCTACAAGGTTTTTGCAGATATTCCATAGCTAGGTTTGAAGATTGCTTAAACAGAAAACCATTATAACAAACACCAATGCACGATTTTTTATTGCACGAATAATTTCGAGAAACACTGTAACTGTGCACATATGAGAATTAGTAGACACTAGCTTACTTTATTTAAAAGTATAAAAAGTGATTGTAAAAAGATTGTCTGGAAAAATAATGATTGTAATGAATTGATAAAAGAATATGCTTAAACAGAATTTACCACTTTAATCACCACAAGGGCTCTCATCGAGTGTCTAGTCGGTAATTTTTATTATGCCATTTGTCTCCTTTCTTTCCCCAGCCAAAAAACATCATAAGAAACAGCCTTTTCTCCTTCAAAGTGTTTCGTTGAGAGTAACCTTGATACAAATCCACTGCTGGCTGTACCGAAAATGTGCCCAGGGATTCTTGGTTCGGGATTTTTGAATGATCTTAACTTACAAATGTTTAAATAAATCTATATACACTGATGCGTCTGTTTTGCTTCAATTTTTTTTGTATATACTCGATCCCCTACTCCACATCACCTGATACAATAACAGTCTAAATAGAAGTCAGTTACATGTCAAACATCCGCCGTTTAACTTACATCACAAACGACTTTCCAAATGTTGACTAATGTAAGGGGCACAGTTTCAAGCTTTAGCTTTAATTCTGAATTAAATAGCGTCAACAAATTAGAGCAATCGTCTTTGCCGAAGAGTATTCGTTGAGAATGAGTTGAATCGTCTGTAAAGTTTAAAATAGATTATAACCCATTTCTAACAAATAAGAACAGGATTAGTTAATTTACGCAACTTTTTTTAATTCATACTTACGATACAATCTTCCTTTCTCTAGGCGTCGATTTATTCATTGTTTTTTTCTGTAAAATAATTCAAGGGCCTTTCTCTTAATTATTGTGCCAAGTGATAAGCTACTGTTTGATACAAAGATTCCGTCATGCTCTACTTTTTCCATCTCTGTTCCTTAATTAACTCTTTTTTGTTTTCTGTTTCGTGTTTCTACGACTTGATCGTTTGAGTGCTTATTTGATGTATTACTATTTATCAGCTGGGTCGCCTTCTTTATGCCTCCCGACTTTAACTCATTCTCTGCTAATGGTTTTTCATAACGCTACTTCTAGGGAGACGACATTTTTATTCTACCAGACCACAATTTATGACCTTTCTGCCGGTATGGAATAACTCTATCTGGCTCCTAAGGATCCATTATTATATTAATAGTTAATACCAGTCAGGATACCAAAAATTCATAGAGATTTTTTGTGCTTTGTAAAAAAGAGTGAATGGGGATTACTTACCAGTTGGTACTGTCAGACTCTGGGAATATAAGTAGGTGAAAGAAAGAGAAAGATATGATGCGTAAGGATAATAAATATTAAAATATCCAACAAGATTGCATCACAGTGTAATGACAACAACTCTTTATTATCTTCTGCATAACTGGCTATTGGTATAGTGTATTTGGGACTAATTATTATAGTCCGGTCAGATAGAAATGTCGTACCCCACCAGGAAACCTCGCCCTTGTAAGATTGCTATTAAACGATTGAGGCTAATAGACTAGAAACTAGGATTGGTGCAGAGAGCAAGAGTTTCAGGGTGGATAAACTGTATCTCTTGCTTTGCTGAGTCCATTGACACTGGCAAATGTATTGACAAAAAGACTTTTATTTAAGACAAAAAATATATCACAAAAGTGATTTAGATTTATTTATAGCAATACACAGTATGCTAAATTGATGGTTATAAAGGGGGGAAAATGGGTATAATATTACAGCTGTAGAATACCACTGGTATTCTTCTTTTTTTAAAAAAAGACAAATAAATAAAGCCATTAAATAAATAAATACATTCTAAAGAAGATGCTAGAATTCAAACTAGTCAAATATATATATATATATATAAAGAGCATTTTCACAAGCATCAAGTGGGTTGATTTGTGCATGTCTTTCTTTCACTTTTTTTTTCGGATTTTGACTGTTTGGTTAGTGTGAACACACAGTGGGTGTCAAGCTGATCCGAAGAGTCACTGAGGGATGATCGAATATAAGGGACTCCAACTCTAGTGATTTCTGTGATAAAGGACGCGACGAGACTTGATCCTCGGAGATTCCAGACTGACAGGTTATGAAAGAGGTTACTGTTGATGTAGAAGACACATAAGAAGTACAACAGCTGGTGTGTGTATCGGACTTGGGAGTGAAATAAGGCACCGAAGACAAGTTGGATCGAAGACGGTCTTTAGACTTGATGAAGAACTTGCGTAAAGATGCCATAGATTTGGAAGACATTTTGCTATTCTTGGTTGATTTATTAAGTTCAGAATGCTTGCATTGAGTGCATTTTGGCTGAGTGTGGGATTGCATAGAAAAGAGATGCATGGTATGATTATTGTTTTTTTTTTGAAGAAAAGAAAATAGAGAGGCAGAGGAAAGAGAGGCTTATGGATTTTACTGTTGTTGATTTTAGAAAGAAAGAAAAAAGTTGTGAGAAATTCAAGCCTTTTTATACTTGTCATGGCCTTTACATGTTGTGCATTTGGAAGATATCTGAAAAAGTATTATAAGAATCCGATGTCAATCTTTTTACAAGGCTCTTTTTTTTTCCTTTTTTGCTGACATCGTAAAAATCTCTAAATGATTTTTTCTCCCCCCCTTCATTCTACGATTGTATATTAGAGTCACTAGAAGGCTAACAAAATCAGACTATTATTCAGGGGAAATAAAGAAGACTTGAGCCAATATATGGTCAAACTTTGTATTATTGACACTGTAATATTACCCTTAATATACGCTTCTAGAAAAAGGCAAGAGTAGCTGATCGGTGGCAACGTGCACAAATCTATGATCTTGAAAGACTCACCCTTTCACCAAGGTCTCCTTCCTTCATTGTCTTGTTTGCAAACAGCACAACCTCTTGTTTTTCTCTTTACCAAATAAAGATGACTAAAGCCAAATCTTGATTGTTGATCTGTATTTTGGTGAACCGATGCTCTAGACTTTGTTTAATTTATCTTAATATAACACGACTTCCGAATCAAAGAAACTCGCATTCGCATTGTCCTTTATTTTTATAACTACTATTCGTATCAAATCTTGTAGCCAGATAATATGATGGCATCAACTTACTTATCCCTTTTAATTTCTATTTGTACTTTTTTCAAATATGTCAATGGATCTGACGATGCCAAGATGTTCGTAGACTTCCTCGATAGGCTAGTCTCTAATAGTAACAACAATAATAGAAATTAGGGATAATAGATTGGCTTCAGGAAAACGTAGGCACCATTGTTCAGTCGCGATGATCTACTCGATTTTTATTTAACAGAAGACCACACGATCATGCAGCTGGCTACCTAGCTACCTAGCCAAAAAAAATCACATCATTCAAAACAATTCGCTCTGTTAGATTACAGTGGTCCATCAAGACAATCTAGATCCAATTATTGTAGTGAAACACATGCAAGCCTTGGCTATGATAATATTAGATCATACCAAATATGTTTGGTTTTGCTTCTTTATTGTTATTGCTAGTAACGTTTATAGAAATAGAACGATAGATAGAGCATATTATTCGCAGCTAAAAATACCATGTCAAAAAAAAGGCATTGGTCTTCTAAGATTAGAGTACCCTTTGGATGTAAAACAAAGCCATTCATTTTCTGGTAAGCGGATAAGAATCTAACAGCAAGACATAGTAGCATCGTGTAGGCCAAAAATAATCAATTTCGATACAGGCGTACATTAAAGTGCATGATGATGGGACCAGCTCATCGTGTCTTGTGGACAATGTCATAAATAACCACAAGGCCCTCGACCCTTTAATATTTTTAAAAAAAGAAAAAGAAACAAGCAGATACATAGAGAGAAATGATAGGATGTCTATTACAAGTAACCAAACAACAATATAATTCTATCTTAATAAGTCTCGGCCACGAGCTCTTAGAAGAAATGACAAATGAGCATTCCAGCCGCAACAAGAGCAACGACTGTATTAGTGGGATCAATACTAAATAGTTGGGTAAGATTATCGTAATGAGCCTATCAATATACGTATATAAACTTATGTGTATTTCTTACCGGGATGAGCTTCCTTCAGCTACATTGTCAAGTTCGGTATTGCTATTAGATGATGTTGTACTATCCGCAGGAGCATCATGGGTCCCGTTGAACATCGAGCCAATTCCAGGCACTGACCCATTTGAAGTATCTCCGTCATTGATAGGTGACTGGACTGGAGCTGGGGTTTCAATAGCGTAGACAGTTTCTGTTGTAATCACAGTTACGGTGGGTACAAAGGTGGATAGAGCACTCTGTGGACGATGGATAGAACTCTTGGTCTTGTTAGATGTATTAGACTCCAGATCAATATAACCATCACCAGCACTTTTGTTATTTAGGAGTTGAGGACTAGCAATACTGTCAATGGCAGATTTTGTCGAGTTGATTGTTTTCGTTGGATCGGTGTCAATACCATCAGTACGATCGTTGCTCTTGTGCTTCATGTGATCTCGGCCAGGTTCTCCCTTTTTCCAATCGGGATCGCCCATCAGGTCGTGGTAGTTTCGACAACTGTCTTGCAGTTTTTTGTGATGTGTGTGAGGTTCATTTTGTTCTACAGTACTGTTGCCTCTATCAGCGTGCGGACCATGGGCAATCGTTTCAGTAGACAGCAACCCAAGAAAGACTGCAAAAATAAGAGCGTATTTACCAGTGATCTTCATTATAGTAAAAAACAAAAAAAAACAAAAAACAAAAAAGAGACAGAAAAGAGTAACAGTTTAAAACTCTCTTTTGCCTCTCGTCTGTTTTCCATTGCTTTTATTGCTATTTACTTAATAACACGGTACACTGAACGGCATTTTGTTTATCTACACCCAATACGTTTTTATTGTATTGCGGATTTGTCGGCAAAATATTATTAAAAGGAACTATTGTGCCTAGCTCACGTATTTAAATAAGAAGTATGAAAGTTCCCTTTTTTTTAAGAAAAAAAAAGGAATTTAGCAAGAAGGATAAATATTCACAAATGAAGTGCTGTAAATTGGTTGTCATCAAGACAGATCCAGTAAAGGTGCGGTTCATATTCGGTTATGTCCGATGCTAAATAAGCTGAATACATAATCCCCTTTAATAGTATTATTGTACGTTTATTCAAAAGAAACGAGTGATATGAGTATGCGTACAAAAAGAAATGGTGCTCAAGATACTTTGTTTGATGTAGATTTCTTTTTTCTTTTTTTTTATGATTTATGAATTGGCCTCCTGGTAGACATCTTGACGGGTGTCGGCAGCAGTGTCCTGGGTAGGAGACCACATATTGGCAGTAACATGTTTTACAATCTCGTCATGTGTCTTGAGATTTGTAATAATTTGAGATCTGGCTAAGTTTTCTTGGCATGCCGTCTCACATACTGCGGCAGCCACATCGGCAGATACGGCACGAATACGCTTGAGGGATGGATACAGCCAGCCCTGCCCACGCTCTTCGGGTGTAAGCGAGTTAGCGAGAGCCTTTGCAGCACTGTATATCATGCTGTTTGAAATAAGCTTCGGGTGGGCTAGGACAGCACCAAGTCCAAGCCCAGGGAAGATGTACATGTTGTTTCCCTGACCAGGCACGTGTATTTCACCAGTTTTAGGATCAGTGTATGGTGGGAAGGCAGTACCAGATGCAAAGACCACTGAATTATTAGTACTCTCCATAGCCTGCTCAAAGGTGCATTCGGCTTGGGATGCCGGGTTGGAAAGTGGGAAAACGATGGGTTGCTTGTTGAGCTCAGCTAGACGAGAGAGTACCTTGGAATTAAAGGCTCCAGTTGATGATGATAAACCAATAAGACTATGAAGGTATATTGAAATAAAAGGTTTCGTATTAGTGCTTATTTTCTTAAACCATTGTATGAGTTTTAGATTAACTTACACTGTTGGTTTTACATAATCAACTATATCTGTGAGCTCCTTGAATTGTTTGCCGTTGTTATCATCTCTGGCATAATACACCTTGTGGTTTGCCAGTTTATCGCCACGATCTTGGGTAATCATTCCCTAATAGTATTAAAATTCGTTAGAGAGGCATACAACCGAGTGTTTCGATAGTTAATATCTTACCTTACTGTCTACCAGCCAAAACACCTTCTTGGCCTCGTCCTCTGTCATATTGTACTCGGTCTGGAAATATTCTTGAATTTGGGTGGCTACTCCGACAGCAGCGGAGCCTGCACCGTAAAATACTATTCGGTGGTCTTTAGGAGCCACTTTAGACTCAGACTCCACTTTGCGAATGGCATTCATAAGTCCAGACAAAATGACGGCACCTACATTTTAAAGAAGGTTAATAGCTGTTGAGATTATACCCTTAGAGTAATGTATAGGCACCTGTTCCTTGAATGTCGTCGTTAAATGTAAGAATCTTGTTTTTATATTTATTCAGCAATCCAAAAGCGTGTTCAGAAGACCAATCCTCAAACTGGATTAAAAGATCTGGGTAAACTGTGTGTAGGCCAGCGAGCACTTTATCAACGGCAGAATAAAATGTGTCTTCATCTGGGCGGGTCTGCTTGAGACCAACATACAATGGATCTTCTAGATATTTTTTGTTGTTGGTACCGAGATCAAGTAGAATTGGCAAAGTCTTTCGAGGATCGATTCCAGCACCAGCAACATAGAGCTGAAGCTTTCCAATCGGGATTCCCATGCCATTTACGCCAAGGTCGCCTAAGCCAAGGATACGAGATCCATCAGAAATCACTGCAATTTCTGGAGAGAAACCTCCTGATTGACCAGTGATTGGTCGATAGTTGCGAATAATTTCTTCGATATTAGGCAAATCGTTCAATGTGAGATAGAGACCATCAGAAGAACCTAAAGTGTTTATTCTATGAGTAATTGTTTTGCTTTATTGAAACAGTCGCACAATATATTTCCCAAATAAAGGAATTTCACTTTACCTGGTGGTGCAAGAAAAGGATATATATTGGAGTAGTTTAGACAAGCCTCTCCAACAGTGGGGGTATATATAAGGGGAGCAATTTCCTACACAGCCAGCATGATAAGATCAATCGTCTACTCTAGAATGTTGCAAATGATTTCCCAGAGTATTTGTATGGGGAAAAATAAAAGTAAGCAGAATATTACCTCTAGCTCATCGCACGTAAGCTTATAAAATAAATGCGTATTTGTGTTTCGCAAGTGAGCCAAAAAGATATATTTATCCAGAGATGTTTTCTTTGAGCGTAACATGATTAAGGCACGTTCCTTTTGTTTTTCGAGACTTTCTACGGCAGATGGTAGATAACCACGCAAGCCTAGCTTAGCACGGGATGCCTCGGACAAGGTAATGCCTAATTCAAATCTTATTTAGACCAAGGAAATCTTAACGGGGGACCTTATCAACCTAGACCGAAAAATAGATAATTACCTTGATTGTAATATGGCGAGGTAGCCATATCTTTGGTAGTTGGAGATTTCTCTACTTCTGTTTGTTTGGAGATAGACATTGTGGAAGCAAACGAATATGACCGATTGGGGAAAAGGCGAGAAATTGATCTAGCATTAAGTGCTTTATAAATCAAGGCGCGACTAGAAATAGACCGCTGGGTGATGGTTAGACCATAAATTGGCATAATGTGAAATTTAAAGAAAAAAATATATTTAAAGTAAAAAAAATGAGGTTAAGAAGAAAGCTTTTATGTTTTAAAGAAGGTCTAATATAAGCCTGTGGATTGGCTACTCAGATCAAAGGTATTGAAAGTAAGCAACTTCTATCAATGCGGTAGAAGAGTTTTAGCAAATGAGCGTGGAGTAAGTATCTGTAGTCATGATGATCGGTGGTAGTTTTCACCAAAAAAGCGCTTTTGACATCCGCTTTGCATGTGCATTCAACATGACAGCTTCCGAGTCAAATGCGTATTAATGTCCATCGGTAACAATAGAAAGATATATACGTTGTATTTATTGGTGCGCATTGCTGCTAAGCGTATATAGTTCTTGTATATATATGTGCATGTGTGTATGTGTGTATGTATGTATGTATGTATGTATGTATGTATGTATGTATGTATGTATGCAGGTATATAGACGCGTGTGTGTGGTATAATATATTAGATACTACCGTAATCCCTGCTGCAACCATTCAAATGTCACGGACATACTGTCGATGGATACACGCATTAACTGAGGTCTGTGATGACACCTCCAAAGCTCGCACGTACGACAAGCGTATTTTGGCTCACTGGTGTACAAACATCGATACCGTACTCTGATTCCAGAATTTTCTTTAATATTATCGCCTTGCGTCCATATGACTGGTACCTCACCTCGCCGATCATCTTCGCTTAAAGGGCGTATCCATTGTGTACAGCGCACTCTTAGAGTTTGATTTGCATTTACAACTATCCATGCGCTTTGCCTGTCACGAAATTGCTTGGGTTCGAATCTCAGATAACCCGATCGTGAGTCATACCCTACACAGAATAGACGTTCCATGGGGCGCATCCAAAGATCACCATTGCAAAGGGCTGCAAAGTAGTTTGGCGAAGAATAGAGGTCGAGGGACCATTGTTGGGCTTTGATACGGCGCATGAGTGTGTGAGTACAATAGAAATTGAAATGATGCTGTCGGAGCAATCGACATAAATCAGCTAGACTAAGGTAAGAAAATATGTGCAAGACAATATCGAATGGCCAGTCTTGTTGAACCATGTACTCTATTAGTTTGACGAGATAAAGAAGAGAGAAAATGAACCAAGGACTTTCTCTTTAATATTTGATTTGGATTTATTCTAACGAATCTGCCCTGGTGGTGCTTAAAGATATATATGTATATATTATATATATATTTATATTTATAGCCGGCGTAATACATTTCAATAAACTTCTTTAATATTTATAGGGACATTGATAAATAAAAATTCATACAATCTATAGCCACTTCAATGGTCTTAAAACATGTATAATTGATTTACCACAATAGCAAGCGATACTTTACATTTCTTATACATTCATTTAATCTTTTTTATTGTACGTTTTGCCTACACTACCCCTTGGTACCTTTTATTTCATAAATTACCTAGAATATTAATTATCTAATATTAAACAAGGTATTGAATTTAATTGAATGCTACAATTTGTGTTTATCAAATATCAATATACACATGCATATATATATATATATATACCTACGATTGTAGCCTCAGCCAGCTATTTAGGGCTATATATAAAATTAATAATAACAACAGGAACGAGAAAAAAGAAGAAAAGGCAGAGGAAATGATATAAAGTGCCCGTAAGAATTCAAACGAATAACCTCCTTCCCCCCCTCCCCCCCTCAAAAAAAATGGAAGAAAAAATAATTAAAAAATAATTAAAAAATAATAATAATCATAATAAAGGCGCGCTCAATTCCAAGAAGATGGCTTGCGACCGAAAATTTTGTCTAGCCAATTAAAAACAGTCAATGTCTCGAGGGGTGCGGCAGAATTTTTTTTGTTGATGTCGACCGCAAATAGTTCTCTCCCTTCTCTTCCCTTTTTACTCCCTTTGTTTGTAGGAAAGGTACGTCTCGATTCCAACCTTTACTCGCTCGGCACTCTCTTCTCTCGTGAATATCCATCCAAAAATACGATGCGAAAATAAAACACACACACACCTTGCTCTGCTTGCAAAAAGAAAAGTATACAAAAAAAAATAACCTCATCATACATGTGGCTTGTACGATGACCATCTTGAGATGGACGCGCCAAGTATATAACTTGAATAATACATTGTATTCCACGCGTGTATGAATCTTTGCTATGGATATTCACGATGAGAAATGAATGAGACGAAGATACAAGCCTCTCGTCTTCATCATTATTTTTCCAAAAAAAAAACAAAACAAAAAACTAAAAAAAAAATACATCCTTTGCTCATATAATCATTTCAGCACTTTTATACATCATGAACGCCGACAAACTCGCCAAGCTCCAGGCCCAGGTCCGCATCGGTGGCAAGGGTAAGTCCTATACAAATATACTCTTGTTATTTTTGGAAATGTAAGCTGGCAATCGATCTAAGCCATATTCTTTCTTTTTCAGGTACCCCCCGCCGTAAGACCAAGAAGGTCGTCAAGGTCTCCAGCTCTGGTGATGACAGAAAGCTCTCTGCTGCTCTTACCAAGTTGGGTGTCCAGCCCATCGCTGGTGTTGAGGAGGTCAACATGTTCAGAGATGATGGCAAGGTTATCCACTTTGGTGCCCCCAAGGTCCAGGCCGCTGCCAACTGCAACACCTTTGCCATCCACGGCCGTGCCGCCGAGAAGGATTTGGCCGAGCTTGGTAAGTCATTATATATTTGTATATCATATTCGTGATTTGTTTTTTTAACATATCATGAAATGTTAGTTCCCGGTATCTTGAGCCAGATGGGTCCCGACTCTCTTGCCAGCCTCCGTAAGCTCGCTGAGGCTTACCAGGCCCAGCAGGGTGCTCCCGCTGGTGAGGATGATGATGAGATCCCCGACTTGGTCGAGAGCTTCGACAAGGCCGAGATCGAGGAGGAGAAGAAGGAGACTGCTTAAACAAAATAACTGAGATTTTCCAGTGTGTTTTTGATTTATTGGTTGTATTAAAAAGAATCTGCAAAATAAAAAACGTCAATTCAGTCATATGCATATATATATACATACTACTACTACTACTACTACTACTACTACTACTATCTTATCAAAATTTCTTGTATATATTACAAGCTTTTACATATGACAATGTAACTTGAGTACAATCATTTGTGTGTCTTAAAAAAACAGTACTTTATGAATGTTGTTTTATTGTGAGAGATCGACCTTTCAAATATTATTTTTATATAAATACCTGTTTTTTTTTCTCGATTTTCAATTAACATTACAATAAAATCAATATGTCTTTTGGTTCAAATCTACTTGGTTTTCTTATCCAACGTCTACCTCACCGCCACAATTCTAGTAATCGATCTATGAGCCCTTCTATTGAACTAGACGAATCCGACACCAGTGAATGGGTCCGTTGCGAATTTTGCAAGGTTTCATTTGCTTCTCATTATAGACATGAATGGCACTTGGATATGTGCCACTTAAAATACTCCAAATCTCGCAATGATAGCATTCGCTTAGGATAAGAATTGTATTTTTGTATTATACGTATTATTTTTTATCTACTATTTATTATTGTATCTACCTTATTGTACAAAATAGAAACTACAATAGAAAAACATTGAATCTGCAATAATTGAGAACAAACAACTTGAAAGGATAAAGCATCAGAATCATTTTATTTAATAAATTTTTCTTTATTAAATTTAATAGTGTGTGTGTGTGTTTTTTTGAAACAATAAAAAAAAAGAACCAGCTTAATAATGAAGGTTTCAAATAAACGTCGTAAATGTTAAAAAAAATAAAAATAAATAAAAATCTTTTTTGCTTCAAAAATAATAATGAAACGTAATATAAGAAATACAATAAATCGAAAATATATATATAGTAATTGATTTTAGGGTGTATGTGGGTTGGGGGATCCAAGTGTTGAATAGTTTTGGTCCTGGGATGCTACAATATAGTGTTGAGCTAAAATGGGGTTCTGTTTTTTTTTATCGACAAGTCGTACGATGCCATTGTGCTTCTTATTTTCAGTATGAAAAAAAGACAGGCAATTTTATCAGTGGCGTCGGCTGGAATCGGTTTACCATTGAGAGAGTAGTGTGGTGAAGTGATTTTTTAAACTGTTGTGAAACAAAGAGTGCAATCGGTCTTTTTCTTATGATTTTGTGTCTGCCTTTTTGGTCAACGATCAAAGTAGACGGATTCTGGTGAGCCAGGAGGTGTGATGTAGCCACCAAATGAACGAGCGACTGATTTTGTACGGTGAGAATGAAATGAAGATAGGAATGGTTCGAGAAGGGGTGATGAAGGTGGTGAAAGAGGAACCGCTGGACTACTGGACTTGTTTTGTGTGCGTTGAGAAGTATCCTTGTTGCGGCAATTGTCAGAGCAATACAACTAAGTAACTGAATAAGTATCACAGCCAATAGATCAGCAAGTCATTTTTACTTACATTGTCTTCAGTACAGTGACAGTCGCAGATAATACACCAAGAGAGATCCATAGTTGTGTGAGATATCAGATTAAGTGCTGAAGAAAAGGTGAGGGGAAAAGTAAGGTACAAAGAGGTTGAAGGCTCTTGCACTTTATAATCCCTCCCTTTCCCCTTGATCTTCCGCAATTTCTGCCATCGGTTAGTCATACGAAGTTGAGTTTGATTATTGGTGACTAACCTTGACGGCTTGGTTTTGTTAGGATGCAACAACGGAGATTCTATTTATGTCCATCGAATGATGCCATGGGCCTGGGCTTACCATTCCATGAGATCACCTGACAAACTACCATTATATAGCCATTGCAATGGTTACCATTGCAACACCTTAAGATGTATCCGCGTTTCAGACTAGATATGGTCCGCATATTAAAGAAGTATCTCTTGCCCCCCTTTTTTTTACGCTTTCTTATCTCTTAACTTACAAAGGCTGATAAGCCTAGAATCGTGTAAATCTCCTTTAACCTGCTCCGATACATTTACTCTGGGTCTGTGGACTGAACGTCCTTGTATTTAAACTCAGTGGATGATTGAAGATCATCTTTCTCACGCAAATTTCCCCACTCAATCACATCTTGGTAAAGTGCTTCGTGCGCAAGATGAACTTGCTTGTAAGACCATAGATTCTGATATGAAATACAGCAACTGCGCTGTTTATGATGATAATGATATATTCTTAATATACGAAAAAATGTATATATACATATACATACACATATACATATATATACTCTAACACTGTAGATTACATGTGCTCTCGCAGAACACAGATTTATAATTTTAATTTTAAGTCTCCTTTCGTTTCTTTTTTGTGACTGGTCCTGTTGCCATGGTTTCCGAGCTAGCAATCGCAAACTCGCTTGCATGGTCATAATTACGCTTCAATGGGTTCCGTCGCTGAGCTGCATCCTTGCCAATCAACTTGTGCTTACCAGGCATGCGCTCCTTCTTTGCCTCCTTCTTCTTACGTCCCTTACTCTGCTCATGCAAGTTGGAAGGAGCCTCTCTGAGCGCAAATGATTTGGCCAGGTGGCCCAAATGAAGGTTTTTGATGTGGAAGATATGTTTCTCTGTCGCAGAGTGTGTTGCATACGCCCTTACGCTTGACCAATAAGCCTTTCTTGCCAATGTCACACGCTAAAAAAACAATCGTACATATTAGAAATCTGTCTTCTTATCAAAACAGAAAATCATAAACTTACTTCTTCATCTGTGATCGTATAACGTTCCATTGCATTTTGCAGGTCCTGTGCAGGAATCTGGTAGTCGCCTTGTGGCGTATCAGCCAATGTGCGCAAAATGGATTCCATCTCAACAGGTTCTGGGGTTAATTCCTGTGCTTTGAGAATATCAATGTATTCAATTTCACTTGGCAACAAAAACAATGTTGCACCACCGGCCTTTCCGAGACGGGCTGTTCGACCAACTCTGTGTACATAATCCTTCATATCTGAAGGTGGGTCATATTGCACAATTCGGTCAACGTTGGGAAGATCCAGTCCACGGGCAGCTACATCCGTGCACAACAGAACACCAGAAGATGCCTTGCTGAACTCCAAAAATGTTTTTGAGCGCACTTGTTGCTCAAGGTCACCGTGTAAACGGAACACGGGAACTTCTCCAAGCAATTTACTTGTCAGGAATGGCAGCTTTAATTTCTCAACCAATTTCTCCTGCTTATCTTTGCGTTCACTGCGAGTGCCGGACGACTTGCCATTGTGCTTTGTTGCCTGGTTCTTGTATTTCTCATTACCCATAATCTTCTTAAGGGTACGCTTCATCAACTTGGCATCCTCATCCCCTTCTTCATCGTCCTCTTCTTCATCTTCTTCATCTTCTTCAGCCTCTTCTTCATTGCCTGCATTAGCAAATAAATCATAATGGAAGTCGACTGAGTCACAGCATGAAAAGAAAACGATGATCTTGCTCGATGGCTCTGGCTTTCCTCTCTTGTGAACAAAATATGATTTGAGAAGACTAGTCAATGTAATTAAACGCAATTTTGCTGGTGTAACAGTATATGTCTGCTTGAGTTGATTGGGAGTAGTAAATTTGACTTCCTCTGCATCTACATCCATGCCCTCGCCAACCTTAAGCAGAGCTGTGGCGTCCCTCTTGCTTTCTGTGCCGCTCACAAATGCAGGATTGATAAGAGACCACCCGGCCAAATTCTTTACATCATCACGAAGAGTTGCCGAACACAAAACTGTCTGTCTACGCTTAGGCCAGTACTTGGTGGCCAAAGCTTTTTTGAACTTGTCGCTAGGTCCAGCCTTGGTGCGTTCATCAATAATATTCATAATCTTTTTCAATGTCTCTTCAAAACCGAGATCCAACAGACGATCGGCTTCATCGAGCACTAGCCACCTTAAATTCTGAATATTAAAGCTCTTGGTGTTCTCGAGATGATCCAACAAACGACCAGGTGTGCTAACCAAAACATTTACACCTTTGCGAAGACGTGCCTTTTCTTTGCTCTTGCTATCACCACCGATAACAGTTCCAGGTACGATCCAGTGGAGGCGACGGGTATTAGGACACTCCGACTTTGGCAGGTTCACCAATCCAGCCAGAACACCCTCGACCTGCTGAGCCAATTCACGGGTTGGTGTCAGAATAATGGCCACAGTACCAATAGAACGATCGCCAAATGCAGAAGAAGATTCCTCTGGTGCAGTGTACATAGAGGCACCAATCAGGCGGTTAACAATAGGGAGAAGGTATGTCAAGGTCTTTCCGGAACCAGTCTCGGCTTGAACGACTACATCGACATCCTCTTTGGGAATTTCACAGTCCTGAACAGTACGAGAGGGTCCGAGAAGGAGAGGAATGGCCTTTCGTTGAACATTGGTGGGAGTTGTGACACTGTGTTTGTTCTTGAGTAGATTAACTAGATCGGTCAGGATTCCGATACCAGTAAAGGTGGTTGAGTCGGCCATTGGGGCATTACTAGGCACCTGATTCCTGTTAATCTTTTTAAAGACTTTTGGGAGAGGCTTGATCTCGGGGTTAGATGAGAAGAGAGAAGAAATGACTTGAGTTCTGCCATGAACCATGGTATTACTAGCAGTTGATTGAGTTGTGGCAGCTGGTGTATCGGTTGAGGTGGCAGAATCGGCATGTTGAGTGGTATCTGGCTTGGGATCTGCAGGTTTGGGATCTACAGGTTTGGGATCTGAAGTCTTGGATCGTACAGGTTCAGAGAAACTCGAGATCGCAGGTACGTTAGTGCGAGGGCGAATTGGTCCGTACGACGTCTGTTGTTGGTGTTGTGGTTTCATAGTAGAAGGTTTTGTACGTTTAGAGTGGCCTCCCCAAGATGTCACCTTCTTTGGCTTGGCTCCATTTGAACCAGAATTGCTGATATTCAGCATCATACCATCATCTTCCATCTTAAAGCTTTTATTTTATCTTTTATTTTGTATTGGTATTGCTTGAAGAAAAAGAAGTTTGAAAAAATGTAATGCAAAATGGAAAATTTTATGGGACAAAAGGCAGTCATAAATGGCAATAGTTTCTAGGATAACACATTTACAGGCGCCTTTTTTTTTTTTTTAGAAAAAACTATATTGTGCACTCTCTTTCTTTTTCTTTTTCTCATTATCATTTTTTAAAAAGTTTATTATGATTATCTTGCCTTGGAAATTGTTTGTTTTATGTATGTGGGTGGTTTTACTGAGGGGGAGGAGGTCTGTTGTACATGCCTGGGGGAGGCATTCCACGGCCTGCGCCCTGAGGGAATCCCTGTGGAGGCTATTGTGTTGTTATGAAGAGTTTCAATATAGTTTCTTTTTTGGACATATTATCTATAGCACACATATATATCACTTACCATGCCAGGACGGAAACCTGGAGGAGGCATACCGGGAGCACCGGGAGGTGGAGGGCGGAAGCCCATGGGAGGACCACCAGGAGCACCGGGCATGGGAGGTCTAAAGTTCTGGGGCATACCTGGAGGAGGACGGAAACCAGGAGGAGGCTACATATGTTTATTATAGTAGAAGAGTTTTTTTTTTAGCTTGGATCAGTACATATGACTTTAGTAAACCCCCAATCCCAAACAAAGATATACTTACACCTTGTCCATGCATTGGAGGACGACCATAGGCAACGGGAGGACCCTGATATCCGGGTCTTGGCTGCATCATCTATATACGTATCATGTTTAGTTGTGAGCTAAATCAAACTGACACCAAATATATGCATATGTCAATCGTATACAAAGCACTAGTTACTTACGTGAGGAGCGGGGCCACCGACACCACGAACGGGACCAGACAATCCCATCATAGGAGCACCTGGTGGTGGTGCGGCAGGAAGACCGCGACCGGCAGGCTGTAATAAAAATAAAATAAAAAGACAATTTCCTTTTTAAAAAAAATCCCACTCTTTTGGTTTGACAATGCCAATTGATCTGTTCAAAACTTACTCTTCCGAAACCAGGACCACTCATCAATGCAGGACCTCTGGAAGGAAGGTCGTCGAAGGATGGTGGTGGGGGTCCATCAACACTCATGCTGACAATAGTCTCGCCTCTCAGGATAACCAAACCAAGTGTTCGCTTCTGCTCCAACTCCGTTTGTCCTTCAACCTTTTTTCCCTTGGGCTTTACTTTACGGAATTCTTCGCAGTCAGCCAATACGAGGTTCATATGTTTGTCGAATGCAAGCATCTGGCCAGTCAACACACGCGAATCGGACAGGGTAATACGAAGTCGGTAGTTGACAATATTCATCATTTTCGAGTTTCTCGACTACGCAATCACCAAGATGACAAAGATGTGAGTTTGATCGTCTTTTTGTATAGTCTAACGCGACATCAATCCATCTGGGATGATGAGCGAATAAAAAGAATTTTATCTGATATGTATAGGGATGGAGTCCAGGCTATGGATCTGTCCAACCACAAAGAAATAACACCAAGACAGAAAAAAAAAGTCATGTTCACACATATCTAATTTACATACCATGGTTTAAATTGGTTGATTCCTTGGTACGGAATCGAGTTTAATGCGGGAAGGGCGTAGCAGAGAGGGTACAAAATATAGACGTAGATGGCCTTGGAAGAATTAGCACACGTCAGAAAAAAAAAAGATATATCAAAAAAGGGAGATTCTTTGCGCGCCAAGTACCAAAGAGAAGGGCAGGATTCAGAGTGAATTGAACGTAGGTTGGCGCGCCTTTGGTGGGTGGCTTATGTCTACGTCACGCACTAAACAATTGTTGCCACCCCTCCCTCGGGCAATGAGACCTTGATTTTTTTTTGTAAAAAGGCAAAGACAACTGCCAAAAAGCTACAGTTCAACCCTCCTTTGTAGTTTTTACCCGTACGGACGCAAAACGCAGACGCACACAGACACACACGCACAGACATACACACAAAACATATCTACGATGCCTCGCGTTCACGACCTTTGCGCCCGTATTCAGAATGGATTCAGAGCACGACTTCAAACAATGGCAATACCCGAGACTAAAATGAATCTCGCCATCGCCAACATTCTTTACAAGGAGGGCTTTATCTCCTCAGTAAGCCGCGGAAACCACATTTCCCCCGACACAGAGTACACAGCAACTACTCCTGACAATGTCGCCACTCGTCGCCTCTGGCTCAACCTTAAATACAAGGAGAACAAGCCTGCACTCGAGAAACTGACTGTAATCAGCAAGCCCGCCAAGAAGGTTAACTTCTCTGTCAACGAGTTGAAAAATCTTGCCAACGGCCGACGAGCCCAGTTTATCAAGCCTCTTCAACCTGGAGAGATTGCTATTTTATCCACTAACCGTGGTGTATTGGAATTGCAGGAAGCCCTGAAGAAGAATGTCGGTGGAGAGGTTCTTTGCCGTGCCAATTAAGAAAAATGTATATACAAATATACAAGTGCAACCCCTACGCACATAAAATACACGAACATCAACACAACACTACCACGCCTTACAGACCATCCTTTCCTTCCTCCACTTCTTCCTACTTCATTTGGAACAATTTACTATTGTTTTTATTTTTAAACATAAAAATATGCATAATTATATAATGATGTTTACATATAAATATACAAATACATATACAAATACAGATACAGATACATACATACACACACACACACACATATATATATATATATACTTGTTTATACATGTGCATAATATGTATAAAAGAAAGGAAGAAAGAAAGGAAGAAAGGAAGAGGTTATAATAGACATTCAATTGATTCAACTGAGCTCATACACAATAATACCTTTTTTTTAAATTTTTGTATAATATTTTATTTTGTCTCACTTCAGATTTTGACTTGTTTGATTAGATAATCTTGTGGATCTAAATTGGTTCTCTCTCTCTAGAACAAGTACTGTAAATTACAAGAAGCATAGATAACCACTAAAGATAAATAATAATTATAATAATAATTCAAATTAACGGTATATTGCTTGCGATTATATAATTATACTTGCATATATACATATATATAAAGATATATATATATTTGTCTGCCGTACACTTGATTCAGCTTGATATGGATTATTCTCAAGAGTATGTGAATTTGGATGATTATTCTTGCCCCTGTCCCACCCTCCAACCCTTCTAAAAAGGATGAATTACTGCCCGGTTTGGGAAAGCTGGTGAAAAACTGGGGGGTAGAGCGTGGGCATGTGTTAAAAATCAAATCGAGAAAGAGAAAAGATCGTATCGTGGGAAAGTGGCTTAAATGTGGGGCAAGGGCTATAAAGCTTTGGCTTCTCTGTGTTGCTTTACAAGCTCGTCAATCTTCTTCTCTTTAGTTATTCATTCCATATTTTCTTAACAAAATGAGCTTCATCCGTTCTGCCCTCAGACTTTCTGCTGCCACTGCAATTCGCCCTGCAAGCGTCTTCCGCCAGGCTGCCCAACGGTAAGCCATGGTTTTCGTCAATTATTAAATACCAGCCAGTCGCTAATCAAAGAAACTGCGTTTGTAGTAACTATGCCGCTTTGACCTACTCCACACCTACTGTATCGGAGAACCCAACTTCTCTTACCGCATTCACCGAGGAGGAGCTTATGCTCAAGGAAACTGGTTAGTGTAGCGGCTGATATAAAAACTCATCCAGGCTATACCTGCATTTCGATCTGAAAATGAGTGTAAATCTTTAGTTGCCCGCTTTGCCCGTGAGGTTGTTGCCCCACGCGTCTCTGCTATGGATGAAGCCGAGAAGATGGATTCTGATATCATCAAGGCTATGTTTGACAACGGTGTAAGGTTCTAGATATTTAATTTCGTACCGTATAGTTCGATTGGAAATACTTAATCTCGTATGTATATATATATATATCTCATATGAAAAAAGCTGATGGGTCTTGAGACTCCCGGTGATTATGGAGGTGCCGAGTGCTCTTTCACTGCTGCTATCTTGGCTGTCGAGGGTACGTTATCTATACAACAGGGGAAAACAAAATCTAGATATTTGAATATCTACTAACACTAATATTTACCCCCTCACAGAACTTGCTAAGATTGACCCCTCTATCAGTGCTTTGTGTGACATTCACGTAAGCTATTTCTTTCTTTCTTTCTTTACTTTGTCTCGCTCGGTTTGGGTTGGTTTACTAACATAGATCTATTGGTATTTAGAACACTTTGACCAACACTGTCATCCGCAAGTGGGCTAACGAGTCCCTGAAGGAGAAATACCTCACTCGTCTTGCCACTGACACTGTCGGAAGTTTTGCTATTTCAGAGGCGGGTGCCGGTAGTGATGCCTTTGGTCTCCAGACCCGTGCCGAGGACAAGGGTGATCACTACATCCTGAACGGTGGCAAGATGTGGATCAGTAACTCTGCTGAGGCCGGTATCTTTGTCATCTTTGCCAATGTGTAAGACTATTTTTTTTTTTTACTTTTTTTCTTGTGGTTAGATAATAGGATCATTTGAATCTAGAAATTAACTCTTAACTTTATTTCCCTTTTTATTTTTTGTTTTGTTTTAGTGATCCTTCAAAAGGCTACAAGGGTATCACTGCCTTTATTGTTGAGAAGGAGTGGGGTGTTGAGATTGCCAAGAAGGAAAAGAAGGTTAGTTGGGTAGTAATGATGTGGATTCTACAGTTTTTGGTACTAACTCGATACCATGTCTATTATCTATACAGCTGGGTATCCGTTCTTCTTCTACTTGCGTCCTCAACTTTGACGACGTCAGAATCCCCAAGGAAAATGTTTTGGGTGAAGTCGGCCATGGTTACAAGTATGCCATCGACTCTCTCAATGAGGGTCGCATCGGCATTGCTGCTCAGATGATTGGATGTGCTCAGGGTGCATTTGATATTGCTTTGCCTTACATGATGGAGCGCAAGCAGTTTGGCACTGCCATTGGAAACTTCCAGGCTATGCAGCATCAGTTTGCTCAAGGTGAGACAAAATCTACCCATGGTTGTACTATCCGGATGAACTATGTTATTGACCCAGATCAAAATTTCCCACAGTCGCTGTTGACATTGAAGCCGCTAAGCTCCTAACCTACAACGCTGCTCGTCTTAAGGAAGAGAACAAGCCTTTTGTCATGGAGGCTGCTATGGCTAAGTTTATGGCTGCCAAGGTTGCTGAGAAAGCCTCGAGCTATGCTGTCGAGTGGATGGGTGGAAATGGTTTCGTGCGTGAGACTGGTGTCGAAAAGTTCTACCGTGATTCCAAGATTGGATCAATCTATGAAGGTAAAAATATTAGCAAACCATTATTGGCGTGGGATACAAGAAAATGAAACGATTTAGACTACATTATTGTAAATACATATGCATATGTTTCTTGATCTCAATATCAATACTAATTTCATTTGTATTCTTATTTTATGATATTTAGGAACCAACAACATCCAGCTCCAAACTATTGCTAAAATTATTGCCACCAAGTACCAGTAAATTTAAATGAGAAAGAAAATACCTCTTGGACTATAGAGACAAGACTTTTGGGACTATAGAGCTAGATTTATGTAAAAAGTACCAACTAAAAAAAATGTCATCCCCCACTCCCCTTTACTTCTCTTCTGAACTCATCTTTATCTTTGAAAAACAATAAACTGCCTGTACAAAATTCGTATTAAGCTATTTGAAAAATTCATTAATATCTATATTGTAAAAAGTTTTTGAATTGATATTCTTGAGCATGTTTAGTAGAGGAGGTATATTTTATTATTCAACAAAAACTATTTGTTTTCTAAAAAAATTCATGAATCATACATCTATAGATTGTTAAACTAGAAGGATACTAGTTCTCTGTATTAAGACATTAGATAAAATACACACCAGTAGTAAAACATTCGATTATGCTTTGAGTCTATCTTTGTCTTATAGTGGTATGAGTATTACAAGAGTTTGAAAGTTGTGCCGTTGAATATAAGATGCCTAGAGCGTTATCAAAGATGCTTATAATTTTGGCGTTAATTTATGATATAATACATAGACAAATTACGCATTAATTATTTAGCCTATTTGATGTTTCGTTTTGGTTTCAATGATAGTCTGAATACTTGTTTTGATATCATGTAAAATATAAGCCTCTAGGTACATAGTGAGCATATAATTATATTACTTGGTCTTGTAGACGAGAATGCTATTGATTTTAGACAGAGACATAATTGTACTACAATATTAAAGGGTATCGGACAACTTTTTCTTATTACTCTTAACACTATTTTTTTTTAAAGAAGAAAGAAGGGAAAACTCTTGTAAACCAGCGTATTAATCAATACTATCATGATATTTTCCTGTTTTCAAACGGACAAATAAACAAATAAACAAGAAAATACCATCTTGTTTTTTTTTGCATAATATATGTGTTAAACACATCGATATATTATTGTTTAAGTATTGTTTCTGCATAATAAAGCAGTATTCTTCAAAAAAAAACGAAGACCTTTTGGTAGTCGCCTAACTTAAACGTGCACTTTAATATGAGATACAAGGATCTTTCAAAGCAACCAAGCATTATACTCGGTGCCTTTCCCCGGATATTGTATCTGTAATGACTTGAAGATAACATGTAATTTGAGAGTCAAAACAAGATAAACATGCAGTTTATGTGAAAATACCTGATGCAAAAAATAAACAAATGATTAACATATTGGCTTGTAGCGAATGGCGGTGTTATCCAGAATCTAATCTTTCCACGATAAACAAGATGATGTCTTGTAAGAGCAAGTAATATATACCCGTCAAGAGTCCTAATTGGCTTGAAACCATTTTATCGTCCGATAAATAAACACTGCTCGAATCAAACGATATCAAAAAGCACATCTAATCCATCAAGAACGCAAATAAACAAGTAATTTACCTGGACAGATAAACCACTTTGAACTTAGCCATGGTGAAGCCGTTTTGCAATGAGGGATAGAAAGAGTGAGAAATATCGGTGCGCTTGAAAAAGGCGGCTTGACATCTATTCGATTTTTGTATAAATAGAGGCCATCAAAGCAGCCGAATTAAAAACTCATTGCAAACGCTCTCCAGCTCAATTCAATTCAATCCAATCCAATCCAATCCAACCCAATCAAAACATGTCTTCCAAGTTCATTTGTGCCATTACCAATGTCGATTCTCTTGTTGGCTATGCCGTAGCTCATCGCTTCCTCCAGGAACAGCAGCAAGGTGGTGAGGGACACGAAATCCGTCTTTTATGTCGCAGCTCTGAGGGTCTTGAAGACCTCAAGCAAAAAGGTGCCAAGATCTTTGAGGTCGACTACAGTGATGAGAACAAGCTCCGCGAAGTTTTGAAGGATGTCAGAGCCGTGCTCTATGTCCCTGAGCACTCCAAGGATTTCAAGTCTCAGGGTGAGAATGTCTTGAAGATTGCTCGTGACCAAAAGGTTAAATGCCTTATCATGACCTCTATGTAAGTATTCATACACATATACAAACACAATCTATACTAATAATTATAATTAATCACCGTCTTACAATTCTTAAAAAAATATAGTGTGAATGTTGACAAGGTTTCTGAGACCCGTTCCGGTGAGAAGTTCCGTCGCTTGCAAGAATTGCACCAGCTTGAACAGAAAGTTCAGGAGTATGGTCGTGAACAACAGTGGACCATCGTTCGTCTTACTATCTTTACCCAGCTGTTCTTCTATCTTGCACCAATGATCCAGAACCACAATCGCCTTAGACTTCCCATTGAGAAGAACTGCAAGTGGAGTGCCATTGATCTCCAGGATGCCATTGATGGTATCCATGCCATTACCGAAAAGCATCGCAAGAACCAGGCCGTTGGTACCCAGCAGGTGTGGAGTTTCACCGCCTCCAAGACCTCAACTGGCGAAGAGGTAGCCAAGTCCATCCAAAGGGATCTTGAACTTGACAAAGAAGTTCAATACGAGAAGGTTGACGAAAATGAGTTCCGCAAGTACCTCCAGAAGATCCGCGATGACAATAACTTCCAGGACCGTCCTTCTGAAGATGCCCGCCGCAGAGGAAATGCCGATGAGCCTTACAACTTCCCCTTGGCCAGATACTTGAACGAAGGTGCAATTGAATGTATGATCGAGGTCCTCCAATTGGCCAATGAGGGACGTGCCGATACTGTGACCAACGACTTGAAGAACCTTATTGGTCGCGAGCCCCAGGATGTCCACAACTTTATGCAGAACAACCGTGACCAGTTCCGTCGCCTCAAGTGAACATATTCTTCAGGATCAAAGGGATCCTCTAATCAAACCACCTTGAAATATCTCTATTAAACATTATAGTTAGCTTCTTGACCTTGGGAATTGCAATTATTTTGTCGTTCAAAAAAAAATCTCAAGCGAATCTCAATAAAATAAATGCCCAATATTTTGTCGCTTTAAAAAAATCATGATGTCTCCACACAAATATATATATATATATATATTAAATTTCAATGTGTGCGCTTATAGTATATAAAAACCAATCAAGCTGATATTTTCAAATATAAACAGCAAAGTTCAGATCTTCAATAATTATTATATCTTCTAGATTACATCAAACCAATAGTATAACTCTTCTTTAACTTTCCTATTATAGTGTGTCTGCTTTCACATAGCAATACACAGTGCTTTCAACAAGCACTACGGCTGAATAAACGGGAGTTGGGCCGAAAGTAGGCACATAATTGCCATTTGTTTTTTTTTTGGTCAAAAGCCAATAAAATCTCTGCCGTTTGTGCTAAGATGGCAATGTCATCATTAATTTATAAAACTGGCATTAAATCGATTTTTTTTGTTGTTGTTGTATGATAGCTTTGATACTCTAGAAAATATTTGTAAGTTGCAATGTCCACTTTGAGTGTTGAAATGCATGTTTTATTTAATATTAAATATGTCAAAATTTATAAAGATTAATAATTTATGGAATGTGTTAATGAAATGAGGTGCTCACGGAATCCTTTATTGATACAAAATCGAGTATTGATATAGATACTAATCACCATATTCAGGATAGCGCAAATTACCAAATATAGGAGCTATTTACGTAATTTCAAGTCGGTGTTGCAATCAATACTACACTCAAGAGGTATGATCTTGTTTGAACATATAGCATATTAAAATCAATTGTTTTTCCAATTTCTTGTTAATGAAGTACAAAATATACTGCTTGAGACAAAATTTTCTGTTTACAATAATATATTGTTTGCTTCTTTAAAAAATACTAGCTTTAATATATATATAAAAGCCTGGAGAATAGGATACTATAGTAAAAAACAACATGATTCTTACAGGCAGTGTTGATAGGAATTATGGAAATCACCATATATGATGTATTTAAAAGGATTTAACCCCTATTTTTGGCAGGGGTTAAATTTACGTACTTTAAAGGCAAATTGCATTTTTTGAATATTGGAAATCACTATATATGGTGTTTAGTGTCTATATCAATACGCAATTTTATACCAATAAATCACTCCAAAAACACCTATAAGGTTTCTAAAAATATGACTTCCATTTCTGAAAGCACAAAAATGATTTTGATTGATCCGGAAGTTAAAGTACAAATGTCCGCAAAATCAATTTTAATTGGCTGTGACATTGCTTGTTAGATTCACTGTGCAATTTTTTCAGAGAATAGTGAGCAAATGATTTAGAAAAAAGTGTATTAAGGGTTTTGGGATTTAAAGCCAGATTTTTTTTTCCTTGAAATATAATCTTCGTCAGATCTACTGCATTTTCACCGAAAAATAAATAAATATAAATTGGGCATTCACTTGTTTTTGCGCCAACCAAAGTTAGCTTTTATTGACATTTGTTTCTTGCTGAAGCGATTTTTTTTTGTTTTGTTTTTTTTTTTTTTTTTACTTCGGCCAATAATTTTTTCTGCTTTGGTCATTCGTTTTAAAAGCCCGCCATTTTTTTTTCTTGAACGCCAAATTACATAGTTTTGACTGCACAAAGAATACAGACACACATATAACATATATGTAATTAATTTATATTACGTTACATTACATTATACTGTACTGTACTGTACTGTACTATTTTTTATATTATATTATTTATTTCTTTGTTACTGTCACATAAATATATCCCTTTTCTCTCTTTCTCTCTTTCTCTCTCTCTCTCTCTCTCACGCACACACACTATCACTCTTATTCTTACTCGTTTACTCGTTCGGTCGTTTATTCGTTTATTCACTTGTTTGTTCGCTCGCTTATACATTCACGCTTCGTATACTTCTTCTATTACTTCTTCTACTTCTTCTTCTTCTCTATAAAAATCTTATTAATTTTATAAGCTAAAAAAGAAAAAAAAAACAAACAGACCAAAAAAGGATCAAGTTTTTTTTTCTGATATATATTTATATATATATTATTATTATTTGTTTTGATTTATATATACATTTTACTTTTTTTTTGTAATTTCCTTCATCTATAATGAGTATTGCATTTGAGTCTCCCACTCCAAGGGCACCGGCCAATGAAGCTTACTTTACGCCACTAAACATGCCAACGATCCATTCTACCGAGGAGACTACCACAACCAACACTCCCTACTTCACAGCACCCATCAACCCAATGCTCCATCAAGAATTCCTTAATGCCATCCACACTCGTCATGCAGCACAACCCACCGTACTTAGTCCCACAGAAACCCCAACACCTGGCCCTCGACTCACTCTCAATGCAGGTGCTCTTGCCAGCCGCCGAAGAGCCACCCCTTCCATGGCCCTGAGCAACATGCCCACAACCCCTCCTACAACAAACTCTTCTCTTCTGGTTGCCATCACACCAGACGAACTTCTGGGTTGGATAACCGCTCGCCCGGACCGCATTTTACTAATTGATGTCCGGTCTTTTGTTCAGTTTAGCCACGCCCAACTACGCACAGCCCTGAACATATCAACACCAAACACAATTCTCAAGCGGCCAAATTTCACTCTTGAAAAGGTTTGCGAAGTGATTGTGCCCGGTGCAGATCGTACTCGTCTTTCCCAGTGGAACAAGGCCGAAAAGATCGTATTCTATGATCAATCGTCAAACGTCATTCCTCCAGCAAGTGCTGCGATATTCTTATCCGAAAAATTCAAAAATGCTGGTTACAAAGGAGATCTCTGTTACCTCAAAGGTAAGTTATATATATAATAAATATAATTTGTAACAAACCTTATAAACTTTTTTTTTCTCGCTTCTTCTTCTAGGTGGATTTGAAGGTTTCTTTGCCAGATATCCTCATCAGTGTGCAACATCTCCTCTCCCAAAAGACTCGCGTGCCTTGGGTGGATCCCTACCTGCTTTTGAAGGGCCTGGACTCAGGACAAACATGACCGCCGCCCCAGGCACACCTGCGCTTCTTTCACGGCGCCGTCCAAACCTCAATCTAAACGCACTACCTACACCATCTCTTGGACCTTTTACTGCACCAATGCCACAGTTTGAAAATCAAGCTTTCAATCCATTCTTCTCAAACATTCGACAGAATATGGAACTATCTCATGGACCGATCCGCGAACGATTTCCGGTACGTTTACCGGCCGAGTGTAACATCGACCCCCGGACAGGTAATGTGGCATGGCATGGTCCAACCCAACCGCGGTCCATTCCTGGCAGTCACATGGACCATTCAACCCACACATTCAGTCCGCCTTCTTGGTTGAGGACCGTTGTAATCAAGGATTCACCCAATCAGAAAGCAGGTGCTCAGTGTCTGGCTGAGATGTATGAGGTAAGGCCCTCCCCTTTCAGTCTACACTGATCTGATAACAGTTCTCTTCTTTAATACTACCGCCATTCTTTCCCCTTCCTCTTCTTTATTTTATTTTATTTTATTCTATTTTATTTTCTGTGGAGGTGTAATTGTGTATCTGGTAGTTAGATTGAATTATAGACCCACACACATAGACACACCCCCCTTTTTTTTTGTCTGTTTGTTTGTTTGTGAAACGGCAGAATATAGAGCCGCCTAATTTTTCTGTCTTTATTATGATTTGCTGTATTAATATTAGTATTCTTGTAAATTCTGCAGAGACTAGAACGAACAGAGCAAAGGCGCCTTCAAAACATCATGCTTTTCCACTCAAAGCACACAAACAATCCGGCTGAATATCCCTTGAGTATCGTTGCAGGCATCGAAATGGGAGCGTTGAACCGGTACACTAATATCTGGCCCTTTGGTAAGATACTGATAATAATAATAATAATAATACCTATATATACCTATAATTGGTGTGTATTTTTATAATTTTCACGCCTTCCTTACTTACTATCTATAAAAAAAACAGAATATACGCGTGTCAAGGTCCAATCATCTGAATCTGGATCGACAGATTATATAAATGCCAGTTTTATCCAATATGCAGACTCTAATTCTCAAGATTCGCCCTTACCAGACCAAGTTAGTCAGATATCTCTTGATACAATGTCGTCAAAGAATGAGGGCTATGCAGGCACCGATTACAGACGATACATTTCCACCCAAGGTCCTCTTCCTGCCACCTTTTCAGACTTTTGGCAAGTTGTCTGGGAACAGAATTCACGCGTCCTGGTTATGCTGACTAAAGAAGAGGAAATGAATAAGGTTAGTATATATATATTATGTGTGTGTGTGTGTGTATGCTCATATATTGAATGTATTATTTTAATATTATTAAATTTTTAGATTAAATGCCATCGTTATTGGCCATCAAATATCAATCAACCTGTACGATATGGTCCATTAACAGTAACCATGCTGTCAGAGACAAAAAGTCTCGTATTTAAGGACAAATCTTCTAACCCTGATGATGCTGTAATACTTCGTCAATTTGTACTCGGTCGACAAGGATCGGAAAAGCGTCGGACCATTACCCACCTTCAGTATACAGGCTGGATGGACTTTGGTGTTCCAGACAACCCGGTCGGTACGCTCCAGGTCATAAAGGCGGCTGATGATGCGCAGGTGTTGTATGAGCTGCAGGCAAAAGAGGATGAGGAAGAGCAGCCTGTTGGACCCATGGTGGTCCATTGTTCTGCTGGGTGTGGGCGGTCCGGCGCATTCTGTGCAATTGACACTGTCCTTCGACGGATAAGTCGAGCAAATCCAGACGACTCCACTCATGATTTGTTGATCGAGACCATATCACGTTACAGAGAGCAACGTCTAAGCATGGTACAGACTCTACGCCAGTTCATCTTTTGCTATGAAGCCATCTGGTGGTGGATGCTTGGCCAAGGTCACACACCTACCTCGGCTCTTTCCCAATGATTATCTTCTATTTCTTCTTCTTTTTTATAATCATTGAAAGAAAGACCTATTTCTTGCTTTACGTGTGTACATTCTGCTTCCTCTCTCTCTCTCTCTCTCTCCATTTTTCTTTTCAAAAAAAAAAAAAAAGAATAGGATTATTTTGCTTTTGGTTTTTGCTTTTGTTATTGCTTTTGATTCATTTCCCTCTTTCATTATGTTTTACGGTTGCTGCTCTTCTTTCTCTGTCATAGTTCCCTCCCTCACCTTTCTCATATATCTCTTCCTTGATATATTTCATTTTTGATAAAGAAGAAGAAGAAATATTTGATTATCTATACAATAATAATATTACAATTAATAAGACTAATAATAATAGTAAGAATACAGTAATTATCTAAATCCCTAAAAGGGGAACCTGTACTTATTATGTCGATTTTTGTTTGGTTTAGCCACCTCTTTTGAAAGTATGTGAGCACCCCCTCACCTCTCTTACAAACAAGAGCACTACAACCACGATGATATGCTAGATACACCTCGAGTCCTGCTCATATACCAAAGTCGGATTTTTGGAGCAAGTTGATCACCGATCCAAACAACTGTGGAACTATCGCTCCTTTCTCTCCTCTTCAAAGCTTTGTAATAAATCCCAACGACTTTGCATTTCAATCCCTTTAAGCGGATCAAAGCTTTACCAAATATATCGGCTCGAAATAATACCAAAGATGCCTCTGTATAGAATTTTCTATTTACCAAATACATCAATATGTGCACGTATATACTTCACTGAATGATACCCACTCTACTGATTTACAAAAAAGAAAAACATCTCGGCACCCTCTACTTCAGGACCCCCTTTTCACTCCTTTCAATTATGGCTTTCTTTCAACTGTTGGATTAGTAGTGCTTTATACAATTTTTTTGACTGTTTTGCATAATTTTTTCATTAAATAATCTTTAGAAGGAGTTGGGTCTGCCTATCGAACAGCTGTATGCAAAGTTTGCAAAGCAATTAACCACTACACAAAGGCCTATTTCAAATGCAAACTTTATAAACAAATTAATGCCGATGATGCTGAGTACTCATGTCTTTGAAAGAGTACCACACCCTTATACATTGTTTTTTATTTAATGTTATTATATCAAATTTGGGACATCAAGCAAAAAAGCTGAGCTTTTTATAGCAATGAAGACAAACACGATATATACAAGAAATTCCACAAGATTGGCCATAAATCAGCAAGATCACCAAGTTGTGAAGCCTATATTGCTTCCAAACAATTCATACTCAAATACAATCTTGGCCAAGGATATCAGGCTTTTACTAGAAAGCTGCCTCTTGACAACTATGTGCATCAGCAGTATATAAACCGCCTAAAGCCACCAATCATTTTTGCTAGCAGAAATACCAAGGAGATAGTATTCCGTTCCAAGATATTTGTAAACTATTACATTAAATTTCGCTCCCAACAGCTGCAAAACAACAATATCCCTCACTGCATCCTTACGCAACAATCTCGGTATTATGTCTGTCAAATGGTGAGTGCAAAAAGAGTTACAGGCAGTACAAACATACCATCATATATACTAGCAGTCTGGAATATATTTATATCTAGTCATAGGGTTATTGTATATATAAAAAAAGATTGAAGCAGGAGCCTTGCAATGTATAGCCGAGGTGTGCACTGAGCTTTCTACAAGCTATCAAAATAATATAGCGGAAAATTTTGAGGCGCGACTTGTGAAGTATTTATACTATCATCTACAAAGCATTTCCATGGTAAACAAAAATGTATTAACAATTCATATAAGACTAGTTCTAAATTATATCGCTCATATACATAGCAAATTGATCCCAATACTATTAAAAATATTGCTAAAAAATATTGCTACCAATATGTTTGCCATGGGGATTCAGTATACCCAAACAATTTGTTATTACCATCGGGTTTCTCTGAAGATGCTATAAAAAAACCGTGTAGACCAAGAATGTCAACCGATAAGAGCTCTCATTAATCAAATGGTAACCATACTTACTCTATCATCTGCTCTCCGAAAAGGCTTACGAATGTATTGAGAACGTCTTTAATTAATATCAAGGAGAACATGAACTTCGTCATGCCTTTGATGTTCGGCGGCTTCCTATACCAAGACTATTTAATGGCTTACTAAAGCCTTCAGTGCATTGGAGATATGTGGCTATTAGTGTAAATGTGTTGTCTGTATTTTGTCAAGGATCTACTGCCAAGAGGCTATGCTAATCAACTTCAATTGTTTCACAAAGTATTTAATTTCAAATTGTTAAGATATAGCAGGTAAATACAATATCTTGAAATCTAAAACCAAGGAAATTTTAGGGGCACAACATTTCCTGGTGGCAGACGACATTTTGATTCCACCAGACCACAAATCGTGACTTTTTCCGTGATGGAATAACTTTATCTGGTCCCTAACGATCCAATCTTATTATAACAATTAATACAAAATATTCATAGAGAATTTCCTTTGTGCTTTAAAAAAAAGAGTGGATGGGGATTACTTACCAGTTGGTAAAAGAAAGCAAAAGGCACGATACGTGTAAGGATAATAAATAATAAAATATCAAGCGAGATTGCGTCAAACTTTAATGACAACAATTCATACTGTTCTGCATAATTGGCTATTGATGTAGTGTATTTGTGACTAATCATTGTTTCTTTATTGTCAACTCAAAATTCAGGGCTACTAACTAAATATACGATATTTGATTCTTCTTTTTTGTATGAGACAACATTGTATTATTAAAATTCCCAAAGATAGGCTGTAACTATTAAAAGAATGAGAGTTAGGTTCCTGGAGAGAGATAGATAAACACAAAATGTGGGGACAATATAGTAAGCCAATGCGTGTAATGAATATACTGTGATGGCATTTTGCCATAACACAACACCTGCTCTAATTTTCTCAAAGTGATGAAATTTACCATTCTCACTGTACCAATTAATAAAAATAATAATAATACTATCGATGATTTGTAATAATGGTGATTGAATTGGGAAACATTTATCTACAAAAGGGAATATCCACTTTTTTTGTGTGTAAGTGTAAGTGTGATGAAAATAAGAAAATAAAGAATCTAATATATATATATATATATTATACTATGAGAGAGAGGGAGAATGAAGGGTAAAGAGACAAGGATGCTATTATGATTATTATTATTGTAGAAAAAAAATGTACAAAAAAACAGATAGGTAGACAGATAAGATATAGATGAATTTAGGGTGTAGAGCTGGTCATTGAAGAAGATGTGTTGATGCGAATAATGCGTCTTCTTGGGACTTTTTTATGTTTTGGTTTAGAATCGATTTTTTTGACGGTGTGTGGAAGGCTTCTGTATGTGAAATGGTCTATGGTGTGTGCAAAGGGTGAAATTGTGTGGTTGACGGATGCCAGATGGGCTAGTTTGGCTGCCATTCCATTATGTACTGGATCAACAACGATATTTTGGTCTAGAGACATGAATAATGGCTGGTCTATGCTCGCTGACGATGGCAGTTCGGGTCCTTCGGTCACATACCATGGTGCGTCTACATCATCTGCATAAATATCCAGTGCTGCAAGTGAGTTTGCAGAAGAAGGTGTGTCATTATAAGAAGATCCCATGTCAGAATGTTCTTCTGAATAATGGCTATCGTTGATTTGTTGTTGATGTTGCAGTTGTTGATGTTGCAGTTGCAGTATTGATGCGTACTCGGTATAAAGTGGATGTGTTGCATTCATCCCCATGGCAAATCTACTGTTGTACAGTCGATTTAATAGTGATAGGTTGGCGGCTGTTACGGGTGCACTGGCAAAGAATTGTGATCTCATTCCCGGTGGTGTATGGGCTCCATTGGATCCATTTACAGACTCAACACCGTCAAAATAGCCGTTCCTGCTACTTCCATCAACAATGCTTGGTATCGGGCTACTACTACTCTGGATCTTGTGAAGTGTATTTGGTTCACAAATTGAAATATCACTAAGAGTTCGGTAGCCAGCTGAATGCTGGGGACGATAAAGAGGTGAGAATTCACGGTGCATACAATCTGCATACGATTGACCTTCTAGTCCAAATGGGTCACCAGCACTGGCTGCACCCAGTGGAACTGGTAAGCCGGTCGATATTGACCTCTGTGGAAAGAGGTCAGGCATAGACATTGTGTCGTAGGCTGGTGTTCCGGCTGTTGAATGAGAAAGGTGGTGGGGGTATGCATGAGGTTGTCCAGGGTCAGAGAATACAGATTGTGGTGGTGAGGGGATACCGCCATTAGCCCTTTTTTGTCGATCGCGTTCTAGTTTTCGCAATTTCTGAATTTTGAGGCGTTCCTCCTGTTGCTGTTTCTTGGCTTTTTCTTGTTCGCTTTGAATGTGACGTAGACTGAGATTGTGGATCATGACCGGCAGATCTTCTTGGAATAAGTTCCGGAGTTGCTTTTCAATCTCACGTTGCAAGAAGTTCCTCACACTGGTTACACTATCAAATGTAGAGCTAACTAAGATACTTTCGAGTGGATCGTTCTTGAAGACGAGAGTGATGCCTTTTGTTTTCGACACTACCAACACAACGATTCCTCGCAGTTTGAGGTCACTAATTCTTAGTAGCATTGGAACTACAAGGGGTTGGTGGGCAGCCAATATGTTCGGTCTCGAATGTCGTGGAAGGTCGGATTGTTTTGTGTGCATTGGGTTTGCCTAATAACCATATATATATACACTTTATCAGTGGACCTTTATTTTTATTTATTTATTATTACATTTAAAATTTAAAGAATTCTTCTTTACCTGAACTTTGGTTTGTAAGACAATGTGAGCATCGCCATTGTAAGTTAATTTAAAGATTCCACGGAACTTATCAGTCGAGAGTTCACCAATTTCTAGAATTTCAAGCTCGGGTGGCTATAGTCGAAAGAGAATTATGTTTAACCGAGCGAATAAGAGTTTTTGTTGTTGTTCTTTTTGTTTATTATTTTCTACTTCTTGAGAAAGTTTACCAAAGTTCCCATGTACAATTCCTTGACTGCAATGTGATCAACAATATTCTTGGGTTTGTTACCCTTGTTTAGAGCAGCCTCGAATTGAGAACGTGCCTCATCATAGAAGTCTGAATCAAACTCTGGCCAATTGAATCGGAATGCCATTATAGCCAGGCAAGATTGTTATTCTTCTTATTCTTATTATGATTGCTGTTGTTTTTTTAGCCTCTTTCTTTCTTTTTTCTTTAAGGATAAATATTTTAATTATTTCTTTAATATATATATATATATAATAAATAAACAACAACAATAAAATAAAATGAGAAGACAGAATCAAGGGGTCCTTTTTGAACTGTGTCTTTTAGCTGTTGTTTTGTTTCAAAAAGAGAATGGAAGCAATGACGGACTGAGACGGTAAAAAAAAAGTATAATTAGATAATGAGCTTGAATTTTGGCTGATTAGCACAAAGTCTAAAAAGAGAAGAAAAAACGAGAAAGAGATATATAGAGAAAGAGAGGGAGAGGGATAGGGGAGGGGAGGGGAGGGTTCTATTGAGATTCAATAGATGTGTATAATTATAATTACAATTTACAATATTTTTTATTTATTTTTTGGTTTTATTATATAATAGAAATATATACAATATCAATATTATAATTTTTTTTAAAAAAAATAACGGTACAATGCCTCCAGCACCAATTTGCGCGAAATTAAAATCCTTTTACGATTTAGTATAAAACCAATTTACGCTTTTGTTCGCATCAGATTGCGCTTTTCTGCGATTCCAGATTGCACATTTTAGGATAAAAGATTTTATTAAAGTGGTTTTAAAACGCCAAAAACATCAAATAACCCCCATAAACCCTCAAAACAAATGTTGTAATTTTCTCTTTTGCCTACTCATTCAGAGAACTTTAATAAATCTGAGCCTGTCACAGCTCCATACAAACAAAAAAAATAAATTATTAAAGTGGTTTTCTATCATCTTTGCAAATTGTTGACAGAATATTGGGTAAAACTACCCAAGCCTTTCCTAGTAGCCTTTTCACTAACTTTCGTAATTCTAGTTCGTAAATATTCGTCCTCCTTTAACATGCTTCGTTTGACGGAATTATTGATCGTGGCCCAAAAATTTTCGATAAGATTGAGCTCTGACAAGTATTTTAGAAGATACAGGGGCCTGTAACTTCTCCTCACAGTCATTTTATCAATGTCCTTAAGAGTGCGGATTAGCGAGTTACCTATTTAATTCATAATATTTGACATAAGCTTCATATAATGACCAGTACATATATTCCTTTTCGATAGGTTTTATGCTGGTACTTTCTTTCTTTCTTTTTTTTTCTTTTTCTTTAGGGTGCACTTTTTTTATAATCGATAATTTTTATATGTAAAATTGGAAAACCATAAGGCTTTATGGGATCTTAATTTTTCTAAATTCTTCTACCGCTGAGATGTTCGTTTTACTATTTAGAAACTCTTTAGGATGAGACATCTGCTACTTTTCTGCAGAAATAGTTTTCTTTGACAATATAAAGGCTCATTGTTTAAGTAGTGCGGCCAAAATAATATTTTTACTTTTATCCAATAATATATGTTTCTGAGTTTCTAACTCACATATATAAAGCTAGAAAACCATAAGGCTTTATGGGATCTTCATATTTTTAACTTTTAACTGCTTTAAAGTTCTCTTTGTATTATTTAAAAGCACTATTCAGTAAAAAAATCTTCTACTTTTCTGCAAAAAGATTCTTCTTAAACTAGATAAAGTGTCAATATTTAAGCATGGCAACAAATGTAAGATTCCTTTTTTTTTTCAGCCAATTATATTTGTTTCGGAGTCTTGCATAAAAGTTGTATAATGTATCGTGTTACATAAACGACTCTAAATTGCCATTCATGGAATCGGGTTTAAATCCAAAAAATGGCCTCTTTTCAAAAATTGTCTATTATTTAAAAAAGGTGCACCCTATGAGCAAATAGCTTAATTGCTGCTCTAATCTCAACCGTGAAGTCACCTTTGATCTCTTTCATTCTTCACTAAATAAGTCTACGCCCTTGCTGGGGATATACGAATAAATTAAAAAGGAATCATTAGGTACTGGGAGAGTGCTATTTATTAAATAGAGTCAAATAGTATTGCTTATGGACCACTTTTTTCCTGAACTTTGGCTTTTAGAGCATGTTAAATATACTCGATTAGGTTCCAATTCGAGTTTTGAAATGCCCACTAGTTAAAGCATTCGATTTCCTAAAAGCATTGGTGATTAATTTGAAGAGAAAGGTGTTAGGAAGAGAAAAGTAAAGAATACCAGTATGTATATTATATATATATATATATATAGATGTGTGTCTATAATATGTACAAGTTACATTGATTGCTGTCATATAAAAAAACTAATATACAACCCAGGTATTGTGGAATGTGGAATGTGTAATGTGTGATGTGTGATGAGTTTTGCTCTCTCTTTTCTTATTCTTCCCATTTTATTAATCTAATCATTCGTGCAAGTCGTAAGAAGAAGAAAAGATAATTAAAGTGACATAATAAACACACTGATTATTTTCCCGAGGAAGCAATATGACAAATTGTGTAGTTTCATGAACTAAGTTTAGGGTAATTTAAATGATGATTAACCTGAAGTCTCTATCGATACATATACATATATCTGTGTGTATGTTGGTGGGTGTAAAACCAAATGCTAATAAACTATAACAGTCGAGCCCAAGATATATTCTCTAAATATACAGCTGTGTATATATATTATGCCATAAAATGAAAACAAAGAAATAATCTAAGAAGAACTATCGAGCTTAACCTGAGCCAATGATTTTCCGTGACCAAACCCAAAAGGTGTTGTTGAATCTGCAGGATCCATTCTGCAAAAAAAAACATAAATATGACAGCTTTGATATTATTTTAGAAGATTATACTTACTCCTTAAATTCATAGTGGCCTTCACCATCAAATCGCAATAAATACTCATGGTGACGTACAAGAGAAGGTCTACATATTACAGCAACAAAAAATAAATAAATTTCATTCGGAATCCCATAGGTTCGAATAAAAGGCTCATACCTGTGCGAGACTGTGAACAAGGTAATTCCCAATTTACGAGCATGTTCATACATAATACCCTCGATGTCTACACTCACGGCACTTGTACATTCATCAAGAATAGCCTAAAACACAATATTAGTAAGCTAATAAGAACAAGCTACACCAATATTGTACTTACAAACTGCGGTTTATGGTAAAAGAGGCGTGCCATAGCTACGCGTTGCTTCTCACCGCCAGAAAGGCTACAAGAAAGAGTTAGTATTGATACATAAAAGTGTCTTGATTACTTACACATCCGCCCAGTCTTGAACAGTGTCCCAGCCGCCCTCACGCTCGACTATATAACCAAGGTGAACATTTTCCAACAATGCCATCAAATCATCATCATTGAAGCCACGGGAATGTGCTTCAGCGACAGTATCAGGATAGATAACTTGATCACGGAAGGTACCCAAGGGAAGGTAAGGCTTCTGCGGGACATAAAAGAGTTTGTTTGGTGCAGGCTTTGTAACAGTTCCACCTTTTACATCATGGGCATATTCATTTAACTTGTGTACTTGGCTATATTTCGGAAATAAAGCTTATATCTTACCAAACAAAGGCCACAAATCACCAAGAATACGGAAGAGTGAGCTCTTACCGCACCCGTTTGGACCAGAGATCAAGCAGTTCATTCCGGTTGTAACCTTGAATGAAAGATCCTTGAGCTAATTTAAAATAGTTAGAATAAAAATGAAAAACTGTATACACAAATGATAGACTTACAAGAATATCGTTATTAGGTGTAACAATTGGGACCTTGTCAAATAGGATAATGCCATCCTTTACAATAACCTTGCCCTTCATATCCTTGGCATTTACAACTAAAGCTTCCAGTGAGTAGCCTATTCTTTTTTCTTTTCATTTTGCAGAATATATAGTTACCTGTGTTTTGGTTGATTCCACTCTCAGAGTCAGATACCATAGTACGTTTGTACTTTCCTTCGCGGACATCATTCAAAACATCAAACAAATCGGCAACTCGAGACTACAAAACTTATGTGAGCCAATGTATTTTCTACTTCATAGTTTTCATTATTGTTAGCTATTTTCCTCACAGTATATCCTGCAAAGCGAGTCAGGTCACGGCCAGTCAAAATCAAACGACCGACTGCCTGAGAAAGGTTGATCAGGTAGCTTGCTACAAATATTTATAAATTATAAATTTCCATGTAATACTTCAAGCTTGATATACATATACATATATTCTAAGTTAATTACTTACAGTTTCTCGAATACTCTTCCATAATTACAGTGGGATCAGATGACTGGGAGCCCATATTCTTGGTAGCTAAAATATCAAACATAAATATTTGATATATGTTTTTTTTTAAAAAGTGATATAACTTACCGTATTTAGGATTAAACACCGGACGAGCGAGTAGACTGAGAAAAGAGAAACTTGTTTATTACAAGAAGCTAATTATTACTAAGAGTAGTCACTTACTAATAGGCTGTCATTGTAGCGCAGTATTTGACAAGAACGGAATCAAAGATACCGTTCAAAAAGCGGAGTGTGTACACTTTACGAACATGGTTTACAATCTATAAAATAAAAACCTAAATATTCAAACCAAAATGTCTTTTGGAGCTCTCATAAAAAAATTACCTTTTGGAATGTGCCATTTACTACTTCTTTCTCACGTTCACCGCCACCATAGAAAGCAATTTCCTCAGAATGAGTAATAATACGGGACTATATGATGCTGTGAGCCCAGGTGGCACAAATGAAAATAATTATAAAAAAAAGATAAAGAAAAATATCACTTACATGGGCAAAGCGGAAGTCACCCTCAAGTTTTTGTTCGATGGCAGTATCTAATATACGAGTCAAATGTTAATCCCTGTACAACGCAAATTCCGAACCGCAGTACATACATCGTCCAAAGGGAGGAGAGAATGCCCGAAGAATGACACCAGACATGATAAAGTAAGAGATCATGAAAAATGGTGCTTCGTTACCACTACAAATCGAAATTATAGTTTAATTTATATTACAGCATTACCAGCCCCTTTTTTGCAGTCCCTTACATAGCTTCACCTAGTTTATAGGCAAACAAAAAAATATCAACTACTGGTTTGGCAATATCAGAGTATAAATGAGATAGATTTTCTGAGAATTTGTCGATATCCTGGGTCAACAACTGGTCGGCGTTCTGAAGACGATTATCGAGATTTGATATCTTATAGAAAGTGATGCCATCCAGGTACTGGTTGTGGGCATGCTATTAAAATAAATACGCACACACACACACACTCACAATAGGGTCAATATATGCATGTTTTTCCCTTAATAAATTTACCATAGTCAGACGTTCGCGGAAACACAGGGCAAGTGCGCTAATAGACAGTTTAAGGGAGTTGTTGACGATACTCATTGGCCACTATAGTATAGTATGAGAAATGGTTTGCTCGCTTTATACTCAATTAACTTGCCATCATTAAGCCAAATTCTACAATAGCCTTTGCAACAAATTCCTTTCTGTTGCGGGATACAATAGCTTTTACTACAGAACTGGTAAAATAATTTCAAAATTTAGTGTCGTCTTATCGCGCAGCTTCGTTATTTATCTACTATACCCATTGAATGCCGAGAACCTAAAGAGAAATACAGTTATTAGCAATCAAGCAAATATTACTATTTAAGAATAATATTACCAAATATCAAGCCATGTACGGGCAATAAGTACAGTTGCAAGAATTCCAAGTAACCCAGCTTCTTTTGTAAAAAGGCCTAATAGTCAAAACTCATTAACAATCAAGTACTTTTGGAATTCTTAGAAGACAGAGACTTGCCTGGAACACAAATAGGCAAAAGTTTGCGCATTTGCTCAAAGAATTGGGAATTCACACCCACTTTGTGTTTCTGCTTGCGTTTTGTGCGAGTATCTTTCTGCGCAGTCTGGGTTGTTAAGAGAAAGCGATTTTTTGCCTTGTAGAGTGCGTATATGAGCGTAATGAGAAAGACTCCCATGGTGGGGGTCTTTGCCTTTTTGGCCAGCAGTGACAAGACGTTTGCCATGGGGTGCGATGAAGGAGGTAAAAGGAAAGTTGTAAAACCGATTTCTAATGCACATTATCGGGGACTATAATACAAATCCCGATAGAAAGGACTGTCGTGGGTCTGTGGTGGGGTACTCGCAAACTCACAAACTCAATTAAAACAATTAAACGCATATATACGATGCAAGATAAACTAAAGCCATGATCAGGCCGTATTCTTTTGGTGGCTGTTTAGACCGCTACAACTAGTAGCAAAGTATGGCCCTTTACCGATACTTCCTAGAGATATAAATATAGGTCTTGAATGAGAAAACTATAAAGCTACAGTGAACATTCTACAGCACGTGATCTGGGGAAATTGACGGGATACAGAATGTGACCTTGGCCCTGAATTTCAAAGTCAACACCAGTCTCGCGAAAGTTTTTGTCTTAAGAAACTGAAGCGCTGAGTAAGGAAGATTGAAGCAATTGCTGCGTTTGAATTGATTGATTTAACCTTTTTTTTGCATTGAGTAGAAGTAAATTTTGCTCTCAAAGATCATTTCAATATTAATAGTTTGAAATACAATCGATGTAGTAGTAAGGAAATACAGGTGATAAGTAGAATCAAAATGAATAATTTCCGAATTAGGCCAACTGTGGCGACATAGTAAAAGAAGCATTTTCTTATGACATCTCATAGACAAGTCCCAACGCAAAAAAGGAAAACTTTCGTTTCTATGTTGCATTTTCTTCATCATCTCTTGATTTACCTTGCTTTACGTTATTTAGTTTTTTTTTGTATTCTTACACATGAGCTAAATTTCAATCTTTGTGAACGATATATAGAAGAGAAACTCGTCAAAGTCAAAAATATTTACAACAATTACTCACACAAAGACAGCACAGAATCAATCCATCTCATTAGCTTGTCGCATTACTTCTTTGTTCTCAATGACATTTATGCCTTTTATCGAATCAAGCACAGTTACAGAAACTTAACCTTTTCCAGATTGAATTCTCGGAAAACCTCTATCTCATACGAAGTACTGTCAATTCTTGGCCTGCTGAAGATTGAACATATATTTCAAGAGCTTATGATGAAGTAATCTTAGCCATTACACAGAGAAAATTATCGATCTTAAACTCTCTACACACATCTACAGAATCATATCTCTAAAAATGCGATTTGAAGAAGAATGAACCTTTTGAAATATTGACCACCCAAATATACATCCAGGAATTACGGTTCTAGAAACTGTTTGTGCAGAGCGAACTTCAGTTGCCATAACCGTACTCGAATTAATACTCAGCTCCAAGTCTTGCCCAACCAGAATGGATTACTGTAGCCGCAGTAAATATACATGTATTCTTGAATTGTGCACCTTACAAATATATTTTACAAGACGTATTTTCAAGAGTTACTAACCGTTATGAATGGATCGCATTTTCAAATAAACAGTACAGAAAGGTGTTATTAGGATATTAGGTAGCATATTGAACCTTTTAGTATTATTATTTATATAATGTTTACTCTACTTTTTGTCTATATAAAAAAACTTTGAAAAAAAAAATCCCAAGAAATGCTCCTTATTTTTTCGAATTGTGCGTCTTTTACAATGTGCTTTACCGCAGACATGTAAAGAAGACCAAGGCAATATTTGATAAGTTTTTTTTTGGTATGATATCACATTGATTACACTTAGTGTATAAACTGTTATAATGAGCACATATTTCAAATGTTATACCTTTCTGAAATACTCAACAATAAACAAAATATTCATTTTCATATTTAATTCTTTCTATGATCTTACTGTGTGACTTCTCTCACATTGAGAGTTTGCGCATTATACCAAATATTCCTTTTATGCTGAACTCCCCTTTAGTAAACAGCCACTGTTTACAAAAAAAATCAATAAATTATCCTGTTAACTTTCAGACTCAAGTTCTTTATGATCTTTCACTCAAAATTAATACACCAATCTCAACAGATTGCTCTCCTGCTAATATTCTTTGCATGGAATCATTTTCCGAGATCCACTACATGGAACAACACTTTAATGAACCCACTGTCTTGGATGCCCAAGATGCGACCGAGGAAATTCCTTCCTTGAGACGTAGTCGCCTTTCGAGTAGTTCAGACGACTCTTCCGGAGACTCTTTCTCCGAAAATGATGATTCTAACGATGAAAGAGATACCATAATCCCTACTACATTTGCCAATTTGAGTAATCGTCGACAGGTCTTATTTTCTTCAGAATCGGAATCAGAGTCAGATACACATGTTGTCAATCGTTCTCGCGTATCTTTGCCTGTGCCATCATCATATATGTATATGCCAAAACGCCAGATCGAAGAGGCTGTTCTCGAGAGTATTACTCACCAACTACACGCTGATAAACTTCCTGGAATTCTTACTATTCTCTCTTCTCATACCGCAAGTACGACTTCAGATGAAGTCGAGATCGATTTGTCTTGCTTACCTCGAGATCAACTTGTTCGCGTTCTAATTTATGTTGAAGCATGTATCGCCGAGCAAAACGGGGGACCTCCTGTGAACATTGCGGATTATATCAAAGAAGAGCTACACCAGCATAATGTATCAGATGATGGAAGTGATGAAGAAGAGGCTCTTCATCAGGCATATCGAACCCCAAAAAAATCAATACGACGAAAGAGGCCCGGGTTATCTGGTGTAAGCAGAGATAATTCCAACACAAACGATCACTCCTTTGGGCCTTCGGATGGCCCTATATCTATGGCAAGACTTTCTCAACAATCAGATTTACCAAAACGTAAAAGAACTCCACGCAAAAAGGTGACCCAATCATGCAAGCGAGAAAATGATCAGAAACAGCGTAAAAATGGCGATGCATTAGTATCATCTCCGTGTGTAATCCAAGATCCAAATTGTATTGCATCTACAAAACCCAAACGAAGGGTGGCCCTTCACAAACGCCGTCTATTGGAGGATATGCTTTTACCTTCAGATGAAGAAAGTATCAATGAATATGAAGATAACGGTGATATCGTCGTATTTAGTGATGAAAAAATGGACTTTCATGTCACAGGCAATCAGACGATAACACACCATTCTTTAGCACCTTCAACAGTACCTTGCAATATTGTTCCACCAGTGATAGAAGAAGATGCGGATGATGTTGAGGAAATTGACATTATGGTGTAGGGTTCATAACTTTTTTCATGCGTTCTTATATTCAACAACCTCTGCTTTTTTCCAATTCTTCACCTCACCTTATTCCCTTTTCATATCCATGTACTATTTTTCATTAACATTTTTCAATATGGAAACGTGGCTCGTATATACTATGTAATTATTTGGATTAATTTTTAAAGTTTATACTATTTTGTTCAATAACAATATTTATGTGTATATACTGGAAACCCCCAAGCTCTATTTACGACTAATTTTTGATTATTACCATTATATTTAACAATGTCGCTCAATTTGAATAGAATACTATTTTTCCACTTTTATTAGAAAAGTCGAAGTTTTGGTGGAAGAATGTTTTTACTTTATCTGATATAATATAAAATATTGTTGAGACTATTAGCCGTAGTCAAAGCATATTTTATTACTAACATGTATATTAACTTTTGATGAATGTTGCTGCGGTGAAGTCTGGTAATTAAAGTTAATTTTCTCACCTCAGCATCAACATCTTTGAAATCAAGGAATTTGCTGTATATCTTGATATACCTTCAATTGTTTCTATATGATCTTCTGATCATAATTGGGAGGTCAGAAGCAGAAGGTTTTCTACCCAAAAGATATGAGATGTTCTTTGTCCAATTACTTTAATGAGTAGTCATAGTTCAAACGAACCACACGTTTGGCTACACCTCAAAAGTGCTCGATCCAATTGGATTCACATTGAAATCTGAAATATTGCTTAAATTTACGTCTCGTCTCTTCTACCACTGCTTTGATTGAAGACTTTTGATTTTTTTTCTAAAAATAAAAAGTAGAATAGGAGGTCAAGAAGTTTTGGGTACAGAAATAGTTTTCTGTTTCGTCTTTGTTACAAACCACATTCACTTTTTTTTTGACAGACCATTAGGATAGAGATACATCTAAACCCCGTATTTTTGCATAATCTTTTGGGCAGTAATGGACTGCACCCTTTCTACACTTGCCTGGTTCTCTTTGCTTCTGATAATTTAAGACATGTGCTTACAAAGCGGTCGAGGAATAATACATCTATCCTTGAAAAAAACATGTATTTGAAAGCGGAATTTTTCATTCTCCAAAATGTGTTTTGGCTTCAGTACTTGGGGGTGGACAGACTAAAAGTTCAAAAAAGGGCAAAAAAAAGAGCGAAAGTTTTTAATCGACTCTAATTAGCTAGTTTTCATTGCCACTAGGATTGAGAAGAGAAGCGTTTTTTTGTGGAGAAGATGTGCCATATAATGAGAGGTCTAGAAAAACATGTGATAAAAGGCTCTCACTTAATGACAGAGACGGGATTATAAGCACTATTTTATTTAATATGTACTTTAAACTAATTTTGAACTTTTTTTTTAAAGATGTGGACAGCCATAAATTAGTCTGATTGACTAAGTTCTGGATGAACTTGTTTTGCCTTTTTTTTGCTTTTAATCTGTCCACACCAAGTGGTTAAGAACAAAGCCTCAGTATCCTTCTTTCTCTCCAATTATATTGAAGCACTGTATTTTATTTTTCAAAGGTATATAAATAAAGTTTTCAGAAATGTCAAAACCAAAGACTGCTCGTTCGAACATATTAAGAAACGTAATCTAAATCTTAGTAATAGTATTTTTTTTAGCTCTATTATTTTAAAAAACTTATATATTTCTGAAAAAATGCTTTGTTTTAATATGCTTTTTGTAGCTGCAATAAAAATATAATATAAAATCAATTTTTATATAAGCAAAAATTGGACAGGTAGTTTTTTCAGAACAATATATATAATCAACTTAAATGATGATCATTCTAAAGTCTTTTAATATGTAAAAATGGTATTGAATATAATACATTAGAAAAAGCTCTTCTGACTTTTTGGACTCTTTTTATTATATGATTATAAGCCATGACCTTAAAGATATACAATATATCTTTAATTGATAAAAACAAGCTTATATTGACGTTGTCATAGACTTTGTTTGAGATAGAGCAGGCTCGACATGTAATGTATCGTAAGATTAAGTCAATCAGTTACAGGTTAAACTAAAATGGGTGTTTCTATCCACACAACGGAAGACATTATCACCTCCCGGCAGCTGGGGTTGTGGTATACTTATAAAAGAAGTTCTGTTTGTTCCTCTTTTCTTTTTTTCTTTTTTCTTCTTTGGTTTTTAATTCACTATGAGCCACAGTGATAAATAGACTGAAGGCATTGTGAATGTTCGCCATATTCAGAACCAAACTTTGACATCAACCATAATTACCCCACAAACTACCACGATAGAATCATATCACTAACAGAAAACGTGATAAGTATGCAAGGATCATATTTTTATAAAATTACACTCAAGTTTGGGAATTTAAAATGTCTTCAGTTGTTGCTATAATTGTAATAATCAATTAATTGACATGAGTTGAGATATGTAATATCTGCATATGAGTTGATATTGAATTATTCCGATAATCACATCTCTATAGAGTTAAGCATCTTTTAAAAACAGTAATATATCCCTAATAATACAGGTTGAATATAATGATATACTCAAACCAAAAAAAGCAGCTCAAGCTATTCGATAGTTCAAGCAGACAAAATCCTAAAGTATGGAAATACTTGATTATCAGGGTTTCTATCCCTTTTTTTTTGAATATATAATAATTCCCGAGTCTAGTGGTACTAACATGATAGAGCTATAACGTTATCAACCGCAAAAAAATTATTTCTTACAATTTATAATATACTATATATAATAACATTGTTAGCCTTGCAAGCTGGAAACCTTGAATAGTCTATTTTAACCTGTCTTTCTTATTTATTGATTTATTTCTCCATTCTTCCCAATTCTATATATCTAATAAAATTAATTCTAATTTTGCCTATAGTACTACAGTATAGTCAACTAACGACCTCAAATTTATACTTTATTCTGAGAATAGGCAGTAGTTTGATCCCGCTTACACGACATCAATCTCAGGTTGATGACCATAACATTCTATGAAGATCTTGGGAAAAAGGGAAAGGATCTTCTATTCCAAGTCTGATTCGCTAGTCAACCACAGAAATCATGTAGAATAATATTGATGGGCTGTCAAATACACATTCATTCAGAGTAATTCTGTATCAAGCTCAAGGAAACATATTTCCTTATGCTGAAGGCCTTGTAACTCTGAGACATACAGACGAAATCAAACTGATCGGCAATTAGTACTTTTTTTTTGCGTCTGTGTACACAACTATCTAACCTTATAGAATAATACTAGCTTATTGGGATTAGCAAATAGTTCTCACTAGCAATAAGCTAGAAGTAGTAACCTCAGCTTGATAGTATTCTATTAATTAATAGTGATGTAGACAAGCAATCTTGTCTTTACTAAATAAAACCCAAGTTTGGCAATGGTTTTCTTGAGATCTGCTATCTATATCACCATATTCATTAATAACATCGCAATTAGCTGACCGCTGCTTTCTAAATAGCAGTGAAAGACATTTTGGCATATATTATACAATCTACTCCTACAATTAAAGGTGATGTTGGGCTACAAGGCATTTTAAAAAATGGTTACTGGAACTCTTATTAAACAGTATACTGTATTCTATATACAAATAGGTAAAATTATATATGGTCTTGGAATATTTTTTCAGCTCATTGATAGCTAACGAAAGTAACTAGAATAAGGTTATTGGCGGATTATACAAAGGTTTCAAAAAAAAAAGTAGATATGATTCAATCACAGTGTCATCTAACTTGATGCCTTGCATTCTATTCAATCCCGGCTATAAGACTAGATTTTCCCATTCTAGGAATTTTGCCACATACATGAACCTTTTTTTATGGTCTAGATACTTCACAGATTCAAATACTTGCACATAATGGCAATGGCTTCTAAGAATTTTATATTATTCAAAAACCAAAAGTCATATTCCGTTCAAACACTCCTATTTAGGCTTAAGAAAACACGTTTAATGTACAACTATAAACTAATAAATAAAATTGTATTTGAAATAAACAGTATCTGTCAAGATGTATATCAGTCGAAAGTAATCACATTTCTATACCAAAAGAAAAATTCCATCGTAGAATATCAAACAACATATATATTTTTTTGGAACCGTCCATTTTACTATGCTTTCTAAATTCCAGGTCCTATATATACCCACATAGAAGATTCTCTTCATCTACATTAACACACAAACTATCGATCTCAATGATTTGGGAAGAAATCTTTGTTCTTCTATCATTATCCCTCTCCGTATCAGCCTCCCCGGCTGCATTAGGCCCAAATGTTCCTTCCACGGATTTATCTTTAGATGCCGTTAAACCGGTACTTGGAGCACCTCGAACCTTCCCTCTTGCTGTCAACGATTTTTCTAATAACTTTGGTGTCCCCTCATTCGATGGATCTAATGGATTTGGAGATTTTAGTGGCTCTGATAATTTCGACGACTCCAGTAGCTTTAGCAATTCAAACAGCTTCGACAACTCTGGTGACGGGGATAGCTCCAGTAGCTTTAGTAATTCAAATAGCTTCGACAACTCTGGAGACGGTGATAGCTCTAGTAGCTTTAGCAACTCAAACAGTTTCGACAACTCTGGTGATGGTGATAGCTCTAGTAGCTATAGCAACTCAAACAGCTTCGACAACTCTGGTGGAAATGGTGATAGCTCTAGTAGCTATAGCAACTCAAACAGCTTCGACAACTCTGGTGGAAATGGTGATAGCTCTAGTAGCTATAGCAACTCAAACAGCTTCGACAACTCTGGTGGAAATGGTGATGGCTCTAGCTCAACTAGCTTTAGTAACACTAATAGCTTCGACAACTCCGGTAATGGCAGCTCTGGTAGCTTTGATAATTCCAATTCTTTCGGTGGCTCTGGTAACTTCGGTAATGGTGGTGGCGTTGACGGCACTGTAAATTTCGGTAATGGTGGCGGTGTTGGCGGCTCTGGTAACTTCGGTAATGGTGGTGGCGTTGACGGCATTGTTAACTTCGGCAATACTGGAGGTGTTGGTGGCTCTGGTAG